ATAGAAGTAAAGTATCATTCGCAAATCGGGTTAAAGTTGAACTTGTGGAAGTAATAATCTAAAGAAAAGAGAAAAAACATATATACACACATACATATTTACACACACATACATGTATACACACATACAGTACATATATACATGTATACACACACACATACATATATATACACACAATCATACATATATACACACATACAGTACATATATACATATATACATACACACACACATACAGTACATATACTGTATATACACACACATATATACATATATACACATATACAGTACATACACACATATACACACACGTACTGTACATGTATACACACACATACATATACACTCATACATACATTCAAAACTATTTTAAAAGAACTGCAAACATCAATTTATTTTTTTGTGAGGTAAAAATATCCTTTTCCTCTGCTTTGGGAAAGGCTTGTGTCTGTCTGTGGCGTTCCATGTGCTGAAGTAAAGGGGGGTTGTGTGAATTGTAGTTTGGACAGTTTTTGGAGGCATTGGGGACTTGAAAGCAGGTTAGGGCAAATGTTGTCACGGTGATGATCAGTGGGAGGGGCTACGTCACTCATTAGTAAATTATAACTTCTGGGTCTGACCTCTACTTGTGAATCTCCCGACCTGCTCGAATCTCAATCTTAGCATAGTTTTCCCATTGTAAGTAATGTGTAAAGCCACGGGGACTATATGTTTGAGTTTTCACAGCTCTGTTCAGTTTGGATCAAAGCCCTGTGCATCTGCGTGGATAAAACACACACAGACAAACATAATCTCTCTAACAGGAAGCCAGACCTACGCGATTATATGGACGCATGTGATTGGACAGAAAACAGGAAGTGGATGTAGAAAAGCAAAATGTCAACAACAAACACAAGTGCCCATGAGCTCGGATGTTTCTCCCTCTCTGAAAAAGATAGCAGCCGCCATCTTGGATTTTTTTTTTCTCCAAATGCAGTTTGATTGTCTCCTTCTTTGTGCTTCAGAAATGCCACTCCCAGTTTGGTCAAGTGACATTTATTTATCTATTTATTTATAGATTTTTTTGAGCATCAGGGTTTCACATTGTCCAGCATGTTTTGAACTTAGCACAAGATCAGCAGATGTTGCACAAAACAAAGTAAGGAAAGTAAATAACACTTTTGACACACCTTTGACACAGAAGCAAGATTCATATTAACTCCAACCCTCTTTTGTTATGACATTTTACAGTAAAAACAATAATAATTCAGTTTCTTATAAGCTCATACTTGATACACAAAACGTTCCAAGAGCCAAAGGAATCCTCCAGGGGAAAAATTAGAATCACAAATTATTACGGAACAGCACCAGTCACTAATCCATGTGATTCAGATAATACTAATGATTACGATTGTTAATATTATTTATCATTGTCATTTTTCAAATTTTTACTTCAATGCTATTGTAATAATATTGGTTTTATTTTTATTGTACATTATTTTACTATTAATATTAAGATTTATATTCATACAATCACTGTTATTATTATTATTTTTTTTTTTTCATTGTTATTTTTTAATAAGCACATACAAAACTGCATTCCATCTTGTTGCTTTCTCATTAACGCCATCTCCACGACGACACATATGTTTGGGTCCTATTCTGTGAGATGCATTAAAAGGCGGTATATTACATTTAACACAGATGATAGATGTGTTTTCTGCCACTTCAGTCAATTTTATGCCACAAAGGCCAATAAATATGACTTAAATTGAATCTGAGTGTGTACATTCTGCGTCAACCGTGTTCTGTGATTGGTGATTTGTCAACAGATACTTGACCAAATACTTTAACACAGGTGACATTAAAGACTGCTGTATCTGTTTGTGGTTTCAAAGTTATGTACTTGAGCTTTAAGAGACTTGTCAGTGTTTCCCTCTTTATGTCAACATTATTTCTTCTCATTTTTTAATTTCTTGTTTTTAGAGGCCCCCGGTCATTTTGGACAGGGGCCTTATTTAAAAATATAATCTCTTCCCTGAGGCTGAAAGTATAGAAATGTTCGAAGCTCATCTTTGCATCTAGATATTTTTAATGCATTTCTGAACGAAGCTAGTTACTGTATGTTTGGACTGAACTAAAACTGGGTTCAAAAATGAAAGTGTTGGAAATGTATTTATGTTTCTCTATCAACAATTTATAATTACGTGTTGGATTCAAATTTTAGAATAGAATAAATTATATGGTTGTTTTCTTGAATATTAGCCTTAAGATTTTTAATATATTGTATTGTATTATCAATGCTGATGGTTAATAGTAATAATTCAATCTTTTCAGGGGCCTTCTCTTTGACACCTACTGTATGTCCTACTTACATTATAAGTATTAGTACCATATTTTTTCGCACTATTAGGCGCACATAAAGGCCTTTACATTCAACCATGCGCCTTACAATCTGGTGCATCTTATATATGAAAATAAAGGCCTAATTTGACAATGCGCCTTATCATCAGGTGCGGCTTATACTGTGAAAAATATGGTAACCTGCAGTTTACATGAGACGGTTAAAAAACACAAAACACGAAATTAAAATACAATAAAAAACAACATTAAAATCCTGTTTGCTCTGGATTGGATTTTAATGTTTTTTTAATGCAGGTCACAAAAAAACCAAGCCTAAACCATGCAGTGAGTCTTTCAAAGTGCCTTGTTATACTGTATTTTCAGATAGAAGGGGGAAAAATCAGCGACTAATATATTTTTCCATGTTCAAAATGCTAATGCTATGGGTTCAGTATATATATGTGTGTGTGTGTGTGTGTGTGTGTGTGTGTGTGTGTGTGTGTGTGTGTGTGTGTGTGTGTGTGTGTGTGGGGCATGTCGAAGTGAGAGGCCGTGGTGTTTGTGAGTCGGCTTCCTGCTGCGGCCTCCCGTCGTCGAGCTCTTCCCCTCAGCTCTTTATTATTCATGCCTTCCTGTTTTTCTGAGCAAAGTGGATTTACAAATGGCTGATGGGTCACTGATGGTTTTACAATGTGGCAGGATCATAATAGTAGTTCCCCAGAGTTGCCCTAACCCTGAATTACATGTTATTTATTTATTTCAAAATTGGGGGCAATTACCTGCTATATTATTGCTACTATATTAACTTAATCTGATAATTCTGTTCTGATAATCCACTAGTCACTTTACCTGCTGCTATTATTACTATTGTTTAGTTTGTAGCCCCATAGTTGTATTATCTAAAAATAATCTGGGTGCTCTTATTTTTTTCTTTTATTCTGCTGTGATGTGGACAACAATAACATTAACATTTCCAAATAAATAGAATAAACATATAAAAGTTTATCTTACGGTACTTGCTGGACTATAAACCAGTACTTTTTAAAACTTCTGTTATCCCAGCATGCGGCATATGTAGAGATAAGGCCAATGTACGCATTTTTGTTATTTTGTAAAGGCATGGATGTGGACACAGCTCTTTGTGTTCCCTCCAGAGCTGAGGACGTAGCACACATTCCTGCTTCTTGTGTGTTTATGTGAACCGCAGAGAGAGGCGAGGAAGTGCAGGGAAACACACAGGACTGTATATGTGATTAGGGCTGTTGTCAGAGCAGAGTTTGTGGACTTATTAGTTTGACTTTTTGGTGTTGTTCGGAATGGGACACATGTTTATGGTCATAATTAGTTTCCCAGAGTACTTTGGTCAACACGGGTTAACAATGCGCCAAAACATCTCATTAAATCATTGTGTTCAGTTAAAACATCGTCCATCTGCTTTGTTTTTATCAGCATTTGTTCAAGTTTTACATTACAACCAGAAACCCTGCAGCTTAATTTCAAGTGCGGCGTAAACAACATATACCTTCTTCTCAAATGTAGCTGGTGTGGTTTATATACAGGTGTGCTTAATAGTCCAGGAAGTAATGTATTGATCTATTCGCACACAATTAGTGGTATCAATGCATTAGGTGTGTGTGTGTGTGTGTACATGTGCGTGTGTGTCTCTCTTGAGCTTGAAAGAAAACTAACAGAAACTAGACAAGAGAATTATGTGATGGTCCATACTTTAAAGTGTTTTAATAATTGTTTAGTATTGTGTTTTTTCTTTTAATAGAAGGAAACTCATTAAATACCTTACCATTTACAGGCATTCCAGCTTCAGGCTTGTTTCTTTACGACTAAATCCCGTCCAAAAGTATGATTGGAACAAAAGCTAGAGTTTTCTATTTAATCTATCCTTAGATTTTACTGTTTACATATTTTCAGGAGCCTCCTTCAGGCCTGCTTCTCAAAACCAATAAAATGTGGCAACAATTTACTCCTGGGGAGGGTTTCCACCCCGTTTGACATTTACAATCAGACTGAGAAACCTGAGGCTGCACTTTGAAGGCATTCCTTAAAGAAGAAATATAACACTTAATCTTACACTTAATATAACAACTTAATATTACACAAACATAATGACTTTGTATATAATAATCAGGAAATATATGGTGAAACAAGTGTGAAGGGCAAACAATGCTTTCATATCTATCGCCAAGAGGCTTTTTCCTTCAAAATTAAAAATTCCAATCTCACCTGAGAGAAGGAAAAAATGTGTAAAATTTCATAGTGGTACAATGACATAATGCTTTTACATGACTGATGCCACTTTCATGCGATCATGGAGATGTCAATGATTAGTTAGTTAAGCAGCGTTCATTCCCATTTTTCAGAGTGGGAAAGTTTTAGACCAGGGCTGTCCAAACCGGTCCAGAAAGGGCCTTTTTGGAAGTAGATTTTCTATCAGAACAAGCAGGAGCAGAGCTGACTCCACCCATTTCCTCAAGTGAGTTCAGTCTTAACCTGGACACCCCTGTTTTAGACAGATGGAGTGGAGTTACATGTTTGTGCCTGATATTATCCTGGATGTGTCTAAAAACAACTCCAGGAGGGATCAAAATGGTATTATTAAAAGTAGCTTTAATAATATGTCTACTTTAAGCTAACTTCTATTTACTTCCAACAGCGAGAGGATCATGGATACGTTTTTCCGACGGCACTTTAGGAGAAAAGAGGGAGCGACCTCGAGGGACGCAGACTCCGGGCGTCACAGGAGGCCGAGCGTCGCTGTGCCCACGAGCAAGGCACGCCGCCGGTCCAGCGCCGGACTCCCCTCCTCCAGCCTTTGTCAACGCCGCAGATCCAGCGTCCAACTCCAGGCGCCGCTGTGCATTAGCGGAGGGGGGCGCACAGTGTCCCGACCGAGAGGCGGCCCCGGCAGGAGGCGGTCCAGCACGACCACGCCGAGTCTCAACCCGAGGTTTGCAGTCCGACGGCGGAAAGTGGGGAAACTACGCACGATTGACACGCATCTTCTGGGACCTTCCATGCTGTTGGCGAGTCTTTTCCAAATGGCCGATGAGGGGGAGGGGCCACACGGCGAGCAGCAGGTGGAAGTGCGTGGGCTCCAATCAGACGGTGACGACAGCAGTGGGAGCGAGTACGACAGCCAATCAGAGGACAGCCAGATCTCAGTCGCAGAGCTTCCAGAAGAAGACGACCAATTAGACAGCGGCGATCAGTCTCCGCATTCCTCTCCTTCGCGTCCATTTGTGACAACGGACAGAGATGTCCCGCCCGCAAAGCCGCAGACTGAGAAGCCGCGGTCCACGTCGTCACGGCCGCTCATACGGGCCCCGCGTTGCCTTCGCAGGAACTCCTCGCAAGTTTTTGGTGGCGAGAGCTCAGGGCTGTGTTACCGGTATCGCGGTTCCAGTCAAAGTAAAAGGAGGAGGATTTCTACTATTTCCAAAGCTGGAAGCCCGTGGCCCGGACGTGGACTGCCACTGCCTCCGAACCGCAGGAGCTCCGTGTACCACATGCACCACCCAGCGTTCTGCCAGGGGCCGGGAACACTCAGCCCGATGGGGGCCTATGACTCTAGCCTGGAGAGCTGGAGTGCCTTCTTGTTGTATGTAGTTCCATCTATTAATTAGTCCAAGTTTTTTTATGGAGCACTTTAGAACAACTCAAAGACAAGAGTTTTACAAGAGTTTTCCATGATTTGTCATGATTATTGCATAGATCTTTATTATGACTTCGAAAAGGAGTAGCTCTCTGCCTCTTCTGTTGTATAAAAGTAGCTCTCCGATTGAAAAAGGTTGGAGACCTCTGCTCTACGGCCTCTGTTAGGAGCTGTGGTCGCCGCAGTCGTCTTGAGCAGTTATCTAATGCATTCTGTGGAGCCACCTGAAGGTGAAAGCCAAAAGCCTCTGAAGCTAAGCGGGTTAATTCTGTGATGGGAGACATCTTGGAACACCAGGTGCAACAGTGCGACACTGCGGCTGTAAAGTGCAAAAATGTGGTTGTGTCCTCAGGCAAGACACTTCACCCACATTGCCTAGAATGAGTCTGATGTGTGCATGTACTGGTTGCCTCGCTACTGTCAGTGTGCCCCAGGGCAGGTGTGGCTTCAATAGTTTATCACCACTGTGTATGAAATGAATGTATTCTGACATGTGGAGCGTTTTCCAAAAAAAAAAAAAAAAGTAAAAAACTGATGCTAAATGTCAGGATTACCAGAGAATGTGGAGGAAACCTACTCTGACACAGGGAGAACATACAAACTCATCTTAAGAAAGGCTCTGTTCTGACCCGTATTCAATCCCACAACTTTTTGCTGAGTGGACCTTAAGAGATGGTGCTAACCTCGTCACTTTGACTGGGCCAATTCTGGTTCATTTGGGGCGAGAAAAAGTTAATATTATGGAGGTTAAGCCACCAAACATTGTTCAGGGACACTGCATGACAGAGACTAGAGCTCCAGACCTTCACCAAACCAGGCCTCAATCAGGACTGACCCGAGACTCCAGTCTGATGGCAGAGAGTGACTGTAGTGTTGGCAGAAAGTCAGTATTGTGCGGCGCTGCATTCTATTGAACAGAGTGAAGCATCTCCTGGAAGCAGCTCATTAGTGACTCCGTTGATCTGGTCTTTGTCATCGCTCTGATGCTAATTGAGTCCTGTTTTTTTTTTTATTATTATTGATGATAAATGGCGAAAAAGGCAGATATGTACAAAACAGCAATCAGACAGAAAATAAAGGTACAGTTAGTAGCTTTATATCAATAGTCTCTCGCTCATGTCTCTCTCTGGCCTCTCTTTTTTTCTCTCTCTCTCTCTGGTCTTTCTGTCTGGTCTCATTGGTCCTCTCTCTCTAGTCTGGCCCTGCTTGGTTGGAATGAAAACCTGCAGCCACACCGACCCTTTGAGGACTTGCATTCATTTTATTTTTTATTAAACCTTTATCCAACCAGGAAAGTCCCATTGAGATTAAGAACCTCATTTTCAAGCGAGTCGTGGACAAAAGTTACATACAATTACAGATTATAAAAACGTAGAACATAGAATTTCATAAAATTACAGAATATCGCTGGACGCTGGTCTAGAGACACGAAACACTCCAGACTGTCCTAATTTTAATCTATGATCTGAACTGTACAGTTTTTTTATGAATGATCCTTGGACCTCCGTAAATGCATTTTTAATATAATTGTAAATATAAAATCAACAATTTTTCATACAGCATTTTATTGTAACAAAAGCTGTTGTTGACAAATAACTCAATATTAGACATATATGGATTAGACAACAAGACTCAACCAGGACTCAACCAGGACTGAACCAGGACTGAACCAGGACTGAACCAGGACTGAACCAGGATTAAACCAGGATTAAACCAGGACTAGATAGGATTAAACCAGGATTAGAACTGGACTAAAGGTGACGAGAGCTGTACTGAACCAGGACTGAACTACGATTAGACCTGGACTTAAACTGGACTGGAGGTTGGATTAGAGGGTGGACTAGAGGGTGGACTAGAGGGTGGACTCGAGGGTGGACTCGAGGTTGGACTAGATAATAGACTAGAGCTGGACTGAACCAGGTCTACACTAATCAAAATGAATATGACATCTTTGTGAATATAATCTTTATTTTAAAAAGATCTGGGAAAACAACAGTATATGATTCTTCCCTATAGTTTTGTACCGTCACCTGCTTAAAACACTGATAGTATTCACTGAAGCCTGGGAACTGTAGATGATTTCCAAAACCGAACCATTCTCTCATCTCCAAAAACACATTATTATTATTGTTATACCTAGTTAAATAATAGCACACTTAGGAATTCTCTTGTTTTTCTTGTTGCAGAAAAGCCATAGCAAAGTCGGGTTTGCAGCACACAGGACCTGCCTCCACCGAGCCGCGGCCAGAGCCCAGCAGCTGCATCGACTGGACCGTGAGTGCCCCTGCCCCTCATCAATACCCCGGTGTCGATAGTGTTGTTTTCAGGTGCTACCGTGAGATCAATCACAATTTCTGCATTGATTATCGATTATGTTGTTTGTTTTTTTCTCCCAGGAAAATGCACAGTTTGGTGACCACATCTGGTTTGAGACGAGCGGCTCGGGAGATTTCTGTTACGTGGGTGAACAGTACTGCGTCGCCAAGTCACTGGTGAGAGAAATGTAGACGTGAATGTACTGTAGCCCCGTTTCCACCAGCCCTACTCTGATCTACTCGGCTCTGCTCGGCTCTGCTCAGTTATATTCTATTCTACTCTACTCTACTCTACTCTACTCTTGGGAACATTTCCACTGGCCCTGTTTAACCAGTGCCGGGTCCTTCTTTAGTCCCTCTTGGCACTGGTTCGATACAGGCCGAGCTGGTACTTAAGTGTTCTAACTGGCAGTGATTGGTCAGTGCTGCTGGAAGCCATAGTTACCAAGGAATTTCCCTGGATACTGGTTTGTTGTGGGTGGATTTCAAGGATACGTTTTCAGATGCTAAAGTATAATGGGGTAGAGTTAGAGTAGGGTGCCAGAGTAGGGTGCCAGAGTAGGGTGCCAGAGTAGGGTGCCAGAGTAGGGTGCCAGAGTAGGGTGCCAGAGTAGGGTGCCAGAGTAGGGTGCCAGAGTAGGGTGCCAGAGTAGGGTGCCAGAGTAGGGTGCCAGAGTAGGGGGCCAGAGAGTAGGGGGCCAGAGCAAGGGGCCAGAGCAAGGGGCCAGAGCAAGGGGCCAGAGCAAGGGGCCAGAGCAAGGGGCCAGAGCAAGGGGCCAGAGCAAGGGGCCAGAGGGGGATAAGGCTGGTGGAAACGGCACTTATATGTGCACTATGTAAAATGTTTTTTAAAAAAAATCTAATATCCTTTATTTTTATATTTTTGTTTCTCTTCAGCAAAAATCTGTGGCCAGGAAGAAGTGCGCAGGTTGTAAGATCTCGGTCCACACCATGTGCATGGAGCAGCTGGAGAAGGTAACACCGGTTTGTATTCACTTTAAGAAGTAGTAGAAGTTTTATAACCTTCATGAATTTATATGATCTGATCTGTTCTGTCCTCGTTCAGATTAACTTCAGATGCAAACCTTCATTCAGGGAACCAGGCTCTCGTAACGTCAGAGAGGTCAGTCCCAGACCACTCAGGACAAAAAACATTCACTCACACAACAATTCCAATTTTGATTGTTTAAAAAAATAAAATCCAATTACATCTTTTATTTTTTATCATTTTATTTTTATCAAATGAATATGACCCATTTTATAATCAGAATACGTGTCTTGCATTTTAATATCTTAATTTGGTCATTGCAACAATAAATAAATAAATGGTAAATAAGTTTACATTGAAAACATAAATTGGACATGAGAATGATTGGGGGGAGAGAGACCAGAGAGAGACCGCAGAGAGAGAGAGAGAGAGAGAGAGAGAGAGAGAGAGGGAGACCAGAGCGGACCAGAGCGAGAGAGGGAGAGACCAGAGCGAGAGAGGGAGAGACCAGAGAGAGAGAGGTGGAGACCAGAGAGAGAGAGAGGGGGAGACCAGAGCGAGACCAGAGCGAGACCAGAGCGAGAGGGGGAGAGACCAGAGCGAGAGAGGGGGAGACCAGAGCGAGAGAGGGGGAGACCAGAGCGAGAGAGGGGGAGACCAGGGGGAGACCAGAGCAAGAGAGGGAGAGACCAGAGCGAGAGAGGGAGAGACCAGAGCGAGAGAGGCAGAGAGGGAGAGACCAGAGCGAGAGGGGGAGAGACCAGAGCGAGCGAGAGAGGGGAGACCAGAGCGAGACCAGAGCGAGACCAGAGGGAGAGATTAATTTTTAATTGTATTGACACTTACTACTGAGTTTGTAGTTGTTGTAGCTCTATCCATACAACTTTCAGGAACTTTAATATTCTCAAGATTAAGTTTCAACACAATGAATGTGTTCTTAAAGTAATATATTTGAATGTTCCACTGTGTGAAATGTTTGGAAATAGCCTCCGCCCACAGTCAAAAGAGGTGTGTGTGTTTGTGTGTGTGTGTGTGTGTGTGTGTGTTTGTGTGTGTGTGTGTGTCTTTCAGCCGAGTATTGTGAGGCATCACTGGGTGCACAGGAGGCGGCAGGCGGGGAAGTGTCGTCAGTGTGGAAAGGTTAGTGCGGAGATAAGCTCTGGTGCTTCTATTGTCCTCCTCATGAAACAAGTGCCGCTTCATTCTCGCCACAATCTCAACGTTTTAGGTCATAGTTGAAAAAATAATCACCGTCAAAGTTTTCATTTATTGAACTTGCATTAAAGTAGTTTATATATGAATTGCACCGGCTAAGTTTGAACTGAAAGTACATTTTGGTGATATATAAGCCGCACTTGAATATAAGCTGCAGGTTTTCATGTTATAAAAAAGCAGATGGACGACTGGTTTAACTGGACACAACGTCGCTGGTGCAGGTTCATAATTATAATGTATGTAGAAATGCCATAATAACCAAGACATAGAAGCCATTGGTCCATAGCAAGCGGGATGATCACTGTTTATAAATATCCCGGATCGTCACTGTCCTTAGACCCTCCTGCATTGGCAAGGAACGACTCAAAAAAAATGGACTGAATCTGCAGATCTGGGACTGAAGAAGCTGTAGATCCGGGACTGAAGAAGCTGTAGATCCGGGACTGTAGAGGCTGTAGATCCGAGACTGAAGAGGCTGTAGATCCAGGACTGAAGAGGCTGTAGATCCAGGACTGTAGAGGCTGTAGATCCGAGACTGAAGAGGCTGTAGATCCAGGACTGAAGAGGCTGTAGATCCAGGACTGAAGAGGCTGTAGATCCAGGACTGAAGAGGCTGTAGATCCAGGACTGAAGAGGCTGTAGATCCGGGACTGAAGAAGCTGTAGATCCGGGACTGTAGAGGCTGTAGATCCGAGACTGAAGAGGCTGTAGATCCAGGACTGAAGAGGCTGTAGATCCAGGACTGAAGAGGCTGTAGATCCGAGACTGAAGAGGCTGTAGATCCGGGACTGAAGAGGCTGTAGATCCGGGACTGAAGAGGCTGTAGATCCAGGACTGAAGAGGCTGTAGATCCGAGACTGAAGAGGCTGTAGATCCGAGACTGAAGAGGCTGTAGAGCCAGGACTGAGGATGTGGGGGTGCAGCCTGCAAGTCCAGGCCGGGCTAAAAACAACTTTTCTGTCTTTTTCTGTCTACAGGGATTTCAACAGAAGTTTTCATTTCACAGCAAAGAGATTGTGGCGATCAGCTGCTCGTGGTGCAAACAGGCTGTGAGTTGTAGTGCTGTCGTCTTTATACCGACGTTATTTACTCTGTCTGTGTGTCTGTCTGTGTGTGTGTGTGTGTGTGTGTGTGTGTCTGTGTGTGTGTGTGTGTGTGCGTGTGTGTCTGATCTGTTCAACCATTATTATAACCCAATGAAATCTGCTTTATTTACTGGTTTCAGTATCACAACAAGGTGACGTGCTTCATGCTGCAGCAGATAGAAGAGTGCTGTTCCCTCGGAGCTCACGCCGCCGTCATGGTCCCTCCCACGTGGATCATCCGGGTCCGAAAACCACAGGTAAAAAATACATTTTGGATTATTCTTTTTTTTTTTTCTTGTGCCATGTATATACAGTTCTTGCGAGTCTTTTTAGCGCACTTGTATAGAGCCTGCACCAGCGACATTTGAAAAGAAAGTATGTATTTTCCACATATAAGCCTCACCTCGGTATAAGCTGCAGGTTTTTATATTGTACATTTTTTTGAACTGGACGCAACAGGATTTAATGATGTGTTGACTCGTGACAGTCAAAGCACTCTGCTAAATCCAGTCTTTGTCAAGGCCAAGGAAAAGATGCACAGATGCCATAAAACGACTTTGTTTTTTGTTTTTTGTTACTCATTTTTCCTCAACCATTTGGTGGATAACCTTTTGAGTAACTATATCTACTTAAACCTTGGAACTTGTGATTTTATTGCATCTTACAGGAGTGAACATTAAAGGTCCTGTGTGTTACGTTGATATAGTGGATTCTTTTGTACTTTTTCCCATAGACTGTATATATTAACGGACATAGTCACACCTATCTCCGCCGTTCTTACTACTGGGCCAAAAATTGGGCTTTCATGGAGTGATTCAAAATGGCCACGGGGGCTGGAAAATGTGAAAAAACGCATCTGCGCATACGTCAGCTGCACGAGCTCCATTCATTTAAACGAGAGACTTCAAAAATTCACAGCGAGTAAACTAGACTGGTCCAAAAATGTTCACCCCCCTCATCATTGACACACATGTGGAGCGGAGCTTTGGGCCAAGAGCCAACTTTTGGTCCATCCTGTAAAGACGTTTTTGAGAGGTCTGCCAATGCTATATGTTAGCATTGGCTAATTCTTATTCCGGGTCCACCCCCATTGGCCTGGGGTGGTATTGCAAACGTAATTTTGGCCCCCACTGCTTTTTCCCCAAATAATGTTTGTTTTTCAGTCACTGTATCTGATTTTCCAAATGCACTATTGAAATATTCTTCTAATAATGATTGTTTTTGTTTTTAAACGGAAGACATCGTTGAAATCCAGTAAAAAGAAAAAGCGGACGTCACTGAAGAACAATAAGTCGAGTAAAAAAGGAGCAGAGGTGAGAAGAGTTTGGGTTGTAGATGTGTGAGGTGGAGTTTGATGTATCTGTTATTACGTAATTCACCTTTTTACTGCTGTTTCACTGATTTTGGTGTTTTAATTTTTTGGCAGTTTTGACAGTTATCTTTATGTCAGAAGACTTTTGTTGCTTGTGTGCACCGCAGTAATTGATTCAGAGGATTTTCTCTCCCTGGTCTCCTTCTTTGGTCTCTCTTTGGTCTCTCTCTAGCCTCTCTCTAGCCCTTCTCTTTGGTCCCTCTCTCTGGTCTCTCTTTGGTCTCTCTCTGGTCTCTCTTTGGGCTCTCGCTTTGGTCTCTCTCTCTGGTCTCTCTTTGGTCTCTCTCTCTGGTCTCTCTTTGGGCTCTCGCTTTGGTCTCTCTCTCTGGTCTCTCTTTGGTCTCTCTCTGGTCTCTCTTTGGTCTCTCTCTCTGGTCTCTCTTTGGGCTCTCGCTTTGGTCTCTCTCTCTGGTCTCTCTTTAGTCTCTCTTTTTGGGCTCTCTCTTTGGTCTCTCTCTGGTCTCTCTTTGGTCTCTCTCTGGTCTCTCTTTGGGCTCTCGCTTTGGTCTCTCTCTCTGGTCTCTCTTTAGTCTCTCTTTTTGGGCTCTCTCTTTGGTCTCTCTCTGGTCTCTCTTTGGTCTCTCTCTCTGGTCTCTCTTTGGGCTCTCGCTTTGGTCTCTCTCTCTGGTCTCTCTTTAGTCTCTCTTTTTGGGCTCTCTCTTTGGTCTCTCTCTCTTTGGTCTCTCTCTCTTTGGTCTCTCTCTGTGGTCTCTCTCTGTGGTCTCTCTCTGTGGTCTCTCTCTTTGGTCTCTCTCTCTGGTCTCTGCACCACAGAACATAACCCCCGCGATAAACCAGAGACCATGGTAGTTTAATTGTTTTGTGGTTTGAAGTTGGATAACCCAGCTTTAAATCCCCAAGATGAAAATGTTGTGTCTTGTCTCAGCTCCAGGACGGACGCTGGAAGCCGTTTCTAGTGAAGGCTCTTTCTTCTCAGCTGGTGAAGCCGGTCCTGGTCTTTGTGAACCCAAAGAGTGGAGGAAACCAGGTCCGGCTCATTCATTCACACATCTTCAAACAGAATATTTATAAATATTTATAAAAGTCTTTTTTTTCAGGGGGCAAAAATCATCCAGTCCTTCATGTGGTATCTAAACCCTCGGCAGGTGTTCGACCTGTCACAATCTGGACCAAAAGAGGGGTAAGACCAGCACTTTGAAACGTCATCCTCACACCATGACCAAAGGCATATGCAATCCTTAGAGCTTATTCACTCACATCTTTCTTTTTTATTTTAATTTTTTTATGACTGAAATGTTTATTGTAGTTTTATCATACAAGGTGGGAGACAGGAGGGAATGGGAGATAAAAAAGAAAAGAAAAAATACATAAATACATTCACATTCATTTACTCATTCCATCCATCCATCCATTTTCTTCCCCTTAATCCATTTCTGGGTCGCACCAGCCCCTCACTGATCCTCTGCAGGTGGTGAGTCCGGGGACAGCTGCTCTGTAAGTGTGAGCATAGCCTTGATCTTCCAGCAGGGGCTTCAGGCAAAGTGGGGTTAAGTGTGTTGCCCAAGGACACAACAACAGCAGTCATCAGTGGGAGTCAGTGGAGAAGGTCTCGTGGTGGGTTCGAACCCACGACCTTCAGGCTCAAGGGCCAATGCTTTACCAACTGGACTACTGTCGCCCCAATATTTACATTCCTTCTGTAAATATTATGTAGAAAGAATATAGAAGGGGCGACAGTGGCGACCGTGTGTCAATATTTTTACAATTTAAACATATTTGCTACTTTATTTAAGACAAATAGTGGAAGAAAAAATCCCTCCCCATGTACATTTGAAGATTGTAAAAACATTTGCAAAAACAGATATCTCTGTTTGGAAATGTTGTCCAAATATTGTATTTATATCTAGTCACAATCTTCAACATGTTCTGTTAATGGTACACTCGAAGGAATTTTTGCAAAAAGGGGTGGCACTTTAATTGTATGGCACTAAAATAGATCTGGCTTTTCACAAAACGACTTAAAATTGTGAGCTTTTTTGATATGTTTCCATGGCACTTATCTGTTTTTGCATTTAAACTATTCATTTGAGGGCAGATGCTCAACAGACCAGACTCCAAAGTACTGAACGCAATTTTATTTTGTCTTAAGGTTGGAGCTCTACGCCAAAGTGCCAAACTTAAGGATCCTGGCCTGTGGAGGAGACGGAACGGTGAGTGGGCAAAGAGAATCATACGTGAGAAAATGCAGGATTTGGATTTGAGTCTGTGTTTTGAGAGCAACCGATTTTGAAGTATCATGAGACATTGATAATTGACTGACTGAAGTTTTTTGTGTGTGTTTTTATTTCCCCACACTCAGCCGCTAATACCACTTGTCAAACTCTGCCCAACATAGACTTGTGAAATCTCTAGACCAGGGGTGTCAAACCAGTTCCAGAAAGAGTCGGCGTGGCTGCAGGTTTTAGTTCTTACCTGATCAAGAGCACTCCAGACTCGACCCTTTTCTTCAAAACTCACTCGAGGAAATGGGTGGAGTCTGGTGTGCTCCTGCTTGGTTGTAATCAAAACCTGCATCCACACCGGCTGTTTGAGGACCGGTTTGACACCCCTGCCCTAGACTGTATATAGATAGACCATGCTAACCCGCTAGCTCTATGAAGCCCAATAGCAAAGGGCTCATCAACTCGTCATCAAATCATGTGGTTTCCCGTTGTAACAGTCGTCCATCTTTGCTTTCATCAGCTGTGGTTTAAGTGTTTCTTTACAACATGAAAACCTTCGGCCTATATGTGGCCAACATTTACTTTCTCTTCAAATTCAGCTGGTGCGGTTTATCAAGTACTGTATTCAGTTATTGGTCTGTTTGTGGCTGGTCTAGCGTCAAAGAGTTGTTGTTTTTTTCCTTATATGAACATTTATGACGGGTTGAAAAAAGCGTATTTGTATAGCACAGTTTATACACTCCATGTTATACACAAGGAAACTCAAAGTGCTGAACAAAACGAGATAAAAGCAATCACACAAGGCATTGAAATCATGAATAAAATCCCTCAGTTGCCTGCACAGCTGAAAAGAAGCGTCTTGAACCTGGATTTGATCATTGTCAGAGAAGAAGCCTGTCTCACATTTTCAATAAGACTGTTCTAGATTTTAGCTGCACCAATCTGAAACGCTGCCTCCCCATGTTTAGTCTTAACTGTCTCTTATCTGCAGAAACAAATCCCAAAAATATCTGCAGATGATCTAGTTGTGCTACAAACCGTGTCATGACAGTGTGCTTGTTGGAGCAGGTCGGGTGGATCTTGTCAGTGCTGGACCAGTTAAAGATCCGGCCTCCGCCACCGGTCGCCATTTTGCCGCTCGGGACGGGGAACGATCTGGCCCGGACGCTGAACTGGGGCGGGGTGAGTCTCTCTCTGTGGTCACTTTCTGGTCACTCTCTAGTCTCTTTCTTGTCTCTTTCTGGCCTCTCTCTCCGGTCTCTCTCTCTATGGCCTCCCTCTCTGGCCTCTCTCTAGTATCTCTCTCTCTCTCTCTTGTCTCTTTCTCTGGTCTCTCTCTTTTTGGTGTCTCTCTTAGTCTCTCTCTCTGTCTCTGGTCATTCTCTGGTCTCTCTTAGTCTCTCTCTCTGTCTCTGGTCACTCTCTGGTCTCTCTCTGTCTCTGGTCTCTCTCTGGTCTCTCTCTGTCTCTGGTCACTCTCTGGTCTCTCTCTGTCTCTGGTCACTCTCTGGTCTCTCTCTGTCTCTGGTCACTCTCTGGTCTCTCTCTGTCTCTGGTCACTCTCTGGTCTCTCTCTGTCTCTGGTCACTCTCTGGTCTCTCTCTGTCTCTGGTCACTCTCTGGTCTCTCTCTGTCTCTGGTCACTCTCTGGTCTCTCTCTGTCTCTGGTCACTCTCTGGTCTCTCTCTGTCTCTGGTCACTCTCTGGTCTCTCTCTGGTCTCTCTTTGGTCTCTCTCTCTGGCCTCTCTCTGCTCTCTGACTTGTGTTCTGGTGTCAGGGGTACACAGACGAGCCCATCACAAAGATCCTGTCCCACGTGGAGGATGGGAATGTGGTGCAGTTGGACCGATGGGACCTCCAGGTGGAGCCCAACCCAGAGGCGAGGCCCGAGGACCGGGACGAGCAGAACACTGACAAGGTGACATCATGACCTTCAAATACTAGCTTGTAGATTCCTACAAAGTCCATACTGTAGCCAATAGGTTGCATTCATGTTGTAGAACTATTTTTCAATTGGTGTCATAGAGCTTACAATAGTGGACTGAGCGAGTGCTGGTGTCACCGTAGTGTTAGCCTTAATGCGGAAGAAGACAATTTGAACATAAGCTAGCTGGAGCCCATTTCCTTAGCTTCGCGCCATAGACGTGTTGCTATGACTGTTGCCAAGGCAAGCTGGGGTTAAGGATTGACCATCTGATCCAGTCTATCCTTATACGGTTCATATCTGGATTTACAAATACAATGTCAAAATTGCGCTAGCGGGTTAGCATACTTCATCTATTGACAGTCTATGGTTTTAGGGCAGGTGCCATAACAACTATAGATTGACAATGATAAAGGATGATACAGCAACCTCACTGTAGATTTCTGTGTGTGCAGTTATTTTTACAGTGCGCTTCTCATGCACCGTGTGTTTACTCGTCATGTACAACAACATATAACCGCTGTCTTCCTGTATTTCTGTGATCGCACTTCAGCAGTCGTGAGTTCATGTGGTTAGAAAAGTGTATAAAGTGTGAGGTGAGGGGTTTTACAGCCTTCAAACATATAGCTGCTGCTTCAAGGATTATTGCGGGTTATTTTTAGAGCGTAACCCCAGAGATAAACCAGGGACCATGAAGAAGATGACAAAGTCTGGGATCGCGTCTTTCATTCAGACAGAAGACATGTTTTATTGTCAATGGTAGAGACAGCACGATCAAAGCACACGATCACAGATACAAGAGAATGCAAGTGTATTATACAGAGCGGAGGCATGGAGTCCTCCAATCAGCAGCTGCCACGGTGTGCTTGTAGCTTGGCCTTCAGATAGACAAAACAAGGGAAAAGTACTGGCTTCTGCACATTGATAGAATGATGAGTTTAACTTTAACAAAAGTTGCTTCAAAGTGTTATGAAATCTCACATTCCCCCCTCTGGTCATACATTCACGTGTGACCATCAGGATTGATAAACAGCAACATAACATCATAACTCAATACTTCAAAAACTCATAAACTCGGTACCTCAAAAAACTCAGAACTCGGAATACTTCAAAAACTCATAAAACATGTTCAGATCTTTCATAAAACTTGTCAACAATCTTCAGTAAAATACCAAACTTCATCAGTCGACGGTGGTTCTCAGATATTGCTTTGAAAACAGTCTCTCCCACTTCTCCGTGTTGGTTTCTTCAGGCTGCATTTGTGTCGAGCCATGAATTCTTCTGTGACGTGTCTTTCAATCACACGTTTCAGCTTCAGTGTCCAGATTCAGCAATCCAATTCAGTCCAAATTATGTCCAAATTCAGAAATCCAGATTGTTCCAAATCATGTCCAAATTGTGTAACCCAATTTTTCCAAATGATGATGCAAAAGAGGACGATGGTATTGTCCATGTCTCAGCAGCTCACAGCCTGACTGGAATCAGCAGGGGCTGTGCAGATTGTCCATGTGCTGGTCCAGATGCATTGTTTCTCTTGAGGTTTTTCAGTTTTGGCTTAAAAAAAAAACACTTTTTTGTGTAAAAAAAAAAAGTAGTCTCCTGTTCTCTAGATGTTACAGACAATGCCCGCATCCTTCCACCACCTGAAGAAGATGCCAAAGTCTGGGATCGCGTCTTTCATTCAGACAGAAGACATGTTTTATTGTCAATGGTAGAGACAGCACGATCAAAGCACACGATCACAGATACAAGAGAATGCAAGTGTATTATACAGAGCGGAGGCATGGAGTCCTCCAATCAGCAGCTGCCACGGTGTGCTTGTAGCTTGGCCTTCAGATAGACAAAACAAGGGAAAAGTACTGGCTTCTGCACATTGATAGAATGATGAGTTTAACTTTAACAAAAGTTGCTTCAAAGTGTTATGAAATCTCACAACCAGTGTAGCAGGGATGCAGTCTGGAGGTGAAACTAAGAAACTCAGGATTTAAGACTGAATTGGACATTAATGTGACCCGCTAGAGAGGAATACAAAGAAAAAGGAAATGATTGCATTTAGTGACCTACAAATAGGCTGCTTTCGGCACACTCTTGTTCTCTGTACATTTCTATTAAAATATTCATAAGGATTTACCGCTTACCACTATTTTTGTCTGTTCCTTTAGCTTCCAATTGACGTCTTCAATAACTACTTCAGTCTGGGCTTCGACGCTCACGTCACTCTGGGCTTCCACGAATCAAGAGGTGTGTGTTCTGACTTTATCTTGTCTGATTCATGGATGAAATGAAAGTCTTTAATGCATTATATACGTGGGTGGTAATCATGTTGTCTCAGCCCTATTCATAGCTAATTTCTAAACCTTGTACGGTTGCGTCTCTCAGTAGATTTCTGCTCAAATCTACTGCTCAAGTACATTCACTTTAAATCCTTGTTATACCATAATAAAACGTCTTTATAATTGACTGAAGTGCACCTGTGTTTAAACCACAGCACATACATTTGAAAAAGTACATTTTGTCCACATATAAACCACACTTGAGTACAAGCTGTAGGTTTTTGTGTTGTAATGTAACGTTTAACTAACAGCTCATGAAAACGAAGCTATTTTCAATGCAATTTAAATTTATTTTCAATTCACACAGGGCATTAAAATAATAATGACATTTCTACAAAAAAGTCAAAATAAACTATGTTCTGACAACAGCTCTAATCACAAACTTGTGTCTCTCTGCTGTTCACATAAACACACTGAAAGAGGAATGTATGTATGTATGTGATTCCAGAGGCAAATCCGGAGAAGTTCAACAGTCGCTTCAGGAATAAAATGTTCTATGCAGGAGTAAGTGTGTCCTTCTGCGCTGATCCGATCAAAGCGACGTTTGTGTGTGTATAAAATCTGATCCTCTGTGTCTGCTTCGTAGACGGCCTTCTCGGATTTCCTGAGCGGGAGTTCGAAAGACCTCGCCAAGCACATCCGAGTAGTGGTCAGTGTCACAGCCGCTGGAGGCCTGTGTTTCAAAAGTACGTCTGTGGACTGAAAAACATGTTTCTGTCTGCTCTCAGTGCGACGGGACCGACCTCACGACCAAAGTCCAAGAGATGAAGCTGCAGTGCCTCCTCTTCCTCAACATCCCCAGGTGAAACCATAGACTGTATACAGATGGACAATGCTAACCCCGCTAGCTCAATGTAGCCTCATGGTCGAAGTTTTGCCCCAACTCCCAGTGACTCCTCTGACCGTTTGTGCTACACTCAACATTTTGGCGTAAAAAAATCTGTGGTTTAGCGCCCTCTATGGTCATATTGTGATGTTTGTAAATCCAGAAATGATAGAGCTTCTTGAATTCACTAGGCTTGTGGAAACTGGGTTAACATATAATAAATAGCCCAGGTTAAGATTATTGTTTTGTAATTTAAAATAATAATCTTTGTTTATGGTTGTAAACATGACCGTCTGTGCAAAAGTACAAGCTGTATTAATACTTTTGCAAGGCTCTGTAGGTGGGCAACGCAAACCCGCTAGCTCAATGAGGCCCAATAGGGAAGCGCTCATGGACGTTTTTCTTTAACTCACTTTGGCTCCTATTGACTTAGATTGACCCCGCTCAGCCCGGTTCTCATGGAACCGGAAAACAAAGATTTTGCAAAGTAACAATCAGTGCGTCAACTTTCCTCACGTCTGTCCCTCTTTTAAGCGTCCTGTAGGGGGCGCCTTTAGCACAAACGATCCTTGAAATAAATGGTTTGCTGTAAATTGCGGGATTCGAGGCGTGAGACAAAAGTAGGGACTTTTAAACATGAGAATTACCGTTTATAGTTAATGTATATTTGTTAAAGACAGAACAAATACTTACTTTAGCTGTTATCAAACTGAGTCGTGAGGAAGTTCTCCAACTGTGAGCCGAAAGCCACACCAGCCAGTGTTGTTTCAGTATTCTGTGTGCGGTGTCATTAAAAGTCTGTTTCTCAGCCTGATGTGTGATGTGTGCAGGTACTGTGCCGGCACCGTGCCGTGGGGAAACCCAGGGGAACATCACGACTTTGGGCCACAGCGACATGACGACGGCTGCATCGAAGTCATCGGGTTCACCATGACGTCACTGGTCTGTCCCTCTCTCTAACGCTCCATCATACGACCATAAAAGTCTGCATAAAGTAGCAGAAGTTCACTGGGTTTCAAATCATAGACTGTATGTAGATGGACAATGCTGCTTCTCTCTCCACACACACCTCCTCCAGCTCAACCAGGGAATTCCCAAAGTGTTCCCAGACCAGCTGAGAATCAGAATCACAATCAATCTATTACCATTTGCTGAGTAAACTACATTGGAATACAAACAGGAAACACCGGGGGCACCAACACCACAAGGCATACACACACACTCAAACAAAAAGAATAAAAATAGCAAGGCAAGACACAGTGACCCCCCGCCTGAGGGAAGAAGCTTTTCGCATCCTGAGAGCTGAGAGATATAGTTCCTCCAGTGTGGGTTGGTCGCTCCCTGATCTCCCCCATGCCTGGAAATGCTCCCCTGGGAGTTGTGTCCAGGAGGCATCTCAAGCATGTATAGCTCTTGTCAATGTAAGCTGCAGTACCACGACTGGCCTCTTGTCCATAAGATAAGATTAGCAACACCCTATCCACATAGCATCATAGAGCCATGCTACCGCTCCTCACGGCGCTTTTAATCTCCGTTCCCTAGGCAACGTTGCAGGTGGGAGGTCACGGCGAGCGGCTGCACCAGTGCCGAGAGGTGACCCTGAGCACGTTCAAGTCCATCCCCATGCAGGTGGACGGGGAGCCCTGCAAACTGGCCCCCTCAGTCATCCACATCAAACTGCGCTCCCAGGCCAACATGGTGCAGAAGGCCAAGAGGCGGATCTCCATGCCCCACCTCAACGAGTGAGAAGCAGAAGCAAAGTTCACCGTTCAAAGGGTCTGTGTTTTTAAACTTTTTCGTTCCTCTCTACGCAGTCAGCAGCCGGTGCCAGAGAAGCTGCAGATCCGCGTGAACCGAATCAGCATGACGGCGTACGAAGCCCTGCACTACGACAAAGACCAGCTCAAAGAGGCCTGTGAGTTGCCGCACACAGTAGGAATATATCATAGATTATCATAGACTTTATACAGATGGACAATGCTAACATAGACTGTATACAGATGGACAATGCTAACATAGACTGTATACAGATGGACAATGCTAACATAGACTGTATACAGATGGACAATGCTAACATAGACTGTAAACAGATGGACAATGCTAACATAGACTGTATACAGATGGACAATGCTAACATAGACTGTATACAGATGGACAATTCTAACATAGACTGTATACGGATGGACAATGCTAACATAGACCATATATAGCCTTAGCAACCACCTTAGCAACACATTGCCCTCCCGGCGTAAAGCTGACACCGCGGAACAAATGCCCTTATAAGGAAAGTGGCTCCAGCTAGCTTATGGTCAAATTTGCTTCTTCTGCTTTAAAACACTATGGTGTCGTCACGCTCCATCAGTTCACTCCTGGTTTACGCTCTATGGAATATATGCAAGTCAATGTCAGAATGTTTGAGAAAGAAAGATTTTTGCTCCTAAAGCAAACACTAATTTCTCCTACTATTTTTCCTTCATGGACTTGATGGGAAAAAAATCTACGAACTAGTGTTATGTCCGGACTAAATGCCGCTCCTTTTTTCTAATTCTTTTAACTCTAGTTCCAAAAACACATGAGACAAAAGTAATTTATTTATATAGCGCATTTTTCATTCTTTCCACACGGTGATGACGAAAGCGAGACGCCGAACACACCAGCACCATCCATTCACTCACTCATTACATTCAGACCTATTGTGCATGTTTTTAGTGATAGGGAAAACCGGAGCACCTGGAGGAGACCTACACACACAGAAATATCTTGGTCAAAAGCTTTAAAAACATTTTCTGCCCCTCTCCGTCCTGTAGCCACTCCTCTGGGTCTCATCACGGTTCCTGGAGACTGCGATCTGGAAACTTGCCGGCGCCACATAGAGCGACTGCAGGACGACACAGACCAGGTTCGAAAATACTGTTTATTTTGCTCTTTTATTACTAAGACTCTCACAGTAATGGAACGATTAGAAGTCCCACAGCCGTCATTAAGACTGCTCCCAATCAAACCAATGGAATTCTGGGAAATTCTCTCAAAAAATGTTCAGTGGTTGACAAGATTTATTAAAAGTAAGTCATTTATATGGTACCTTCACTCACTTTTAATCAGTGCTAAAACAGGTCAAATGATAACTGTGTTGCTATGGTAACTAGCACTGGCTCTTTGGTGGAAAATACAGTATGTATTCTTTATGTGTATAGCGCCTTACACAGACCAGAGTCACAAAGCTGTGTTTTTTTGGGTTTTTTTGGGCCTTTGTCTCACTCCGCACGGACATGGGGGCAGGGTCGCTGAACAAGAGGCCCATACCAGCACATATTTTTTGTGGTAGGGGAACTGGAGCACCCGGAGGAAACTGACATGTAAAGAAAGAATATACATATCCGCACAGTGAAAATCCCATATGAAAACAGAAACCATGTACATATGCTGAGGAATTACACTTACAAAACTAAAAGCCGTCAACGCAGACTCAGATTACTTCAATTATCCCACCAGGGGCAATTCTTACAGGGCATAAAAACATAAAAAACACAGGAAATATACACATAATACAACAATACAAGCTCAAACACCAACAAGAGAGAGTTCAGAAGTCTAATGTGATTGACCATTGATGTGGAATTGTCTGCTCTGGGAGTTACTGAATGACTGCGTTACAACTTCACAGGACAACGACCCGATGAAAGGAGAGTGTTTTTCATCTCAAAAACTGTCCATGAAGTGGTGTTTCCTCGACTGTAAGTGCCCCGTAAGCCTCAACATTGAAGTAATAAGAAAATACTAAAAAAAACACATTCTACAATATCTAATTCTTCCTTTCTGTCTTTGCATTCAAGGCACTACTGCTGACCGCTTCTACAGGATCGACCGAGCTCAGGTACGAACCATTTTTGTTGACCCTAAATGTTTGTAATGACGATTTGATCAGGTCGAATAAACTTCTTTTGAGACAGACGGAAAACGCTGCAGTTGTTGTCCCAGCGTAACCTGTTTGTTTGAGAATTTTGTTTCTTACATATTTTGTCGAGATCACAGTAGCACAAATAATTTTGATCGATTTCATATTTGAGTGTCATGAATAGCGTTTTATACAACAGTAGCCGGGGTAGAGGTGGTAGTAGTAGAGGTACTAGTAGTAAAGTATAGGAGGTGGTGGTTGGAGTAGTGTAGTGGTAGGAGTGGTAGTAGTGGCAGCAGTAGTAGTAGTAGTATAGTCTCCTGTTCTTTGGCTTTAACAGGTCGCTTCTTTAAAAAAAATAATCAAACTTTATTCCATAATTTCATGCACTAGGTTAAAAACGTCCATTTAATTCATTCAGTTCTGTTTAAAAACTATTAGTATTTATACCAAACAACAGCAAACCGTCCCAAACAACATTGCTTCCTCTCATAGCATTTCCTGACTGGTTGAGTGCCAAATTAAAACACCTGCTCAACCTCCAATCACTGTGATCCCCTACCTCCCTCTAGTGGCAAAACCTCAAAGTGTTATGACTCTGACAAGTAGTAGTTGTACTAGCAGTAGTTGTAGTTGTAGTAGAAATGATGATAGTGGTTAGTAGTAGACAAGGAAGTAGAGGTTGTAGGTAATATAATTGGAGGTAGAGGTAGTAGCAGTAGCGTCAGTAGTAACAGCAGTATTAGCGTGGTGTGATGGAGGTAGTAGTATAGGAGGTAGAGGTAGTAGTGTTGGTGGTAGTGGTAGCAGCAGTATTGGCGTCAGTAGTAACGGCAGTAGTAGCAGCAGCAGTAGTAGTAGTAGTAGTAGTAGCAGCAGCAGTAGTAACGGCAGTAGAAGCAGCAGTAGTAGTAGCGGCAGTAGTAACGGCAGTATTAACAGCAGTATTAACAGTAGTAGCGGCAGTAGTAGCAGTAGTAGCAGCAGTAGTAGAAGCAGCAGCAGTAGTAGCAGCAGTAGTAGCAGCAGTAGCAGTAGTAGTAGTAGTAGCAGCAGCAGTAGTAGTAGCAGCAGTAGTTGCAGCAGTATTAACAGCAGTAGTAACAGCAGCAGTAACAGCAGCAGTAACAGCAGTAGTAACAGCAGTAGCAACAGCAGCAGCAGTAGTAGCGGCAGTAGTAGCAGCAGCAGTAACAGCAGCAGTAACAGCAGCAGTAGTAACATCAGCAGTAACAGCAGTAGTAACAGCAGTAGTAGTAGCAGCAGCAGTAACAGCAGTAGTAACAGCAGCAGTAGTAACAGCAGCAGTAACATCAGCAGTAACAGCAGTAGTAACAGCAGTAGTAGTAGCAGCAGCAGTAACAGCAGTAGTAACAGCAGCAGTAGTAACAGCAGCAGTAACAGCAGTAGTAACAGCAGTAGCAACAGCAGCAGTCACTAAGACGGTGCCGTGTCCCTCAGGAGCATCTAAACTACGTGACGGAGATCTCTCAGGAGGAGCTGTACATCCTGGACCCAGAGATGGTGCTGAAGGAGAGCGTGGGCACCTCCCCCCTGATGCCCGACCTGGTGGACTCTGACGAACCGCTCGGCTACTCCTCCCCCACCTCCCCCTCCACCCCCACTCACCCCCACCGGTGAGTCTGGCCACACCCAAACACTCTTCACATATATATTGTTTACCAGCAAAAGAAGAAGACAATGTACAGGTACTGGCTAATTTTGTGTTTACTCCGTAGAAATGTGGGTTATTTGGCGCCCTCCAGTGTTGAGATGGTGTAATTGTTTTGCTAAAGCTGCAGCAATTAGAGGCCAGGTGTTGGAGCCTGTTAATGTGGTACATTTTATTCCGTGTTTATTTGTTTACCTTGGTCAGTAGGATGATGTCGTGCTCCCCTCCTCTCCTTATCACATCAGACACCTGTGCAGCAGGATGGGTCAGTGAACCGTGTGAGAGGAGGAGAGAAACTGGTTTTGTAATTAACATAATCCAAAAGAAAGAGTAAAGACAGAGATAGTCAACCACAGATTATGATTTTGATTTTTATAATAAACTGCAACAAAGAAAAGACAAAGTTTTCTCTTTGCCTCAAGAGAACAAGGTTGCAGCACTTACAAGCATTTGTCTTTTTCCTTTAAGATTGATTTACTGAGGACCCTCACTATAACCAGTGGGGGCGGGTCCCGACTCGAAAGGGTCGATGAGAACGAGTGCTGACATGCTCGGGTTAAAAGCGTTTTTTAACCTTTTTCCTGCGGGAGGGGCTGCTCGTGGCCAAGAGGCATCACTACGTCTGTTAAGTCATTGAGTGCCAGCCTTGTTTCCACAGCTTGGGTCTAGAATGCCAGCCATTATGTCAATTTTTCCTGATATTTGCAAAGCCACAGCATATTTTGTGTTACTGCCATAATCACATGAAAGGTGAGGCTTTGAACTTTCAGATGGCGAAAACCTTCCGTTTCTAACAGCTTTAGCCCCTGAGATATCCTAAGCAAAAGATCGGAAACTTTCATGAAAATCGCTGTGAATTTCCTTGAAAGGGAGATATTTTATGATATATGATTTTTTGAGAGTTTTGTTGTTCGGACACATATATTTCTGGGTCCACGGACAATTATAACATAGATATATCTTATAGGCGTGGGGTAGGCTACAAAAAACGCATTTAAAAAGGAATAATTCAATCTATATGAATATTTATACCTCCTTTACAATGAACTCTGGAGATGAAAGTTGATCCATATGAAGATTTATGGTAACAGCAACAACAACAATACGAATGTACAATTAGAAAACCAATGTTTATTTGTAGGAATATAATAAAAAATAAAATACAAAATACAAAATAAAATAAAATCGCAGACAGCGGCAGGAATACGCGACCGCTTACACGTGTGACTCTGTTGGTCCTCATTGGTCCCTATCTCCCACTATTCCCCTCAGATCAGCCCGTGGTTATCTCTGAGCCTGAGCATCTCCTTCTGAGCGCCTCCCTTCACCCTCCTACAGAGAAATGTAATCTTTAATGTAATTTTTATTTATATACCGCCTTTTCACTGCACATCTGAGTCTCAAAGCGGTTTACAATTGTTATTTTTGGGAGTGGGGGTGCCAGTACAGGAGGCACTTGCCAGACCTATTGTACATATTTTTAGTGGTAGGGGAAACCGGAGTACCCGGAGGAAACCTACGCAGACACGGGGAGAACATGCAACCTAGTGACGAACCCATGTAAATATCTTTTTTGACTTTGACCAGGACCAGTGATGCCGCTTTGCCTCAAAGGCAAACCACTCAAAGCTGCGTTATGAACAATAAATAACACATGTTGAAGTGTTTAATGAGTTTTAGATCGTAATATATGCAGTTAAAATTATCATAACATTCCCAAATTTACACACATTGTGTGTCAGGGTGTCTACTTTAAAAATTAAAAATAAAATAAAAATCTGTAAAATTACGTTTCTGGCACTCAATGAGTTAATATCAGTCTGACAAGGTTCACCTTTTGCGGCCTCGCTGTTTCTCTGATTCTGTTGCAATTTTAGATGCTTTTCTTACTGTGTGTTTCTCATGCGGCGTGTGTATTCTCAAACAACATCGTATAACCGCTAGTGAAACATGAGTTATCTTTGCTTGAAGTCAGAAGAAAACTTTTGTGGCTTGTTTGCACCGCTGTGATTAGTTCAGGACTACCACAGTCTTCCCGTAGCCCTCAGTCCTGCTCCTGCCCCTCAGTGTCCTCTGCCGCTGTGTTTTACAGTATATGCAGGCACAGATAAACAAGGAAGGACTGCAAAAATAATATAATTCAATAAATGCAACAAAAAGTAAAAACTGGCACCTGGAACAAGACATGGGGGAAAACAACAATGGACCGACAACAAGAGGACATGAGCACAGGGTCTAAATACACACAGGTAGACACAGGTGTAGCACATCAGGGAGGGGCAAACAATCAACGACAGACAGGAAGTAAAACTCAACTAAATGCTAAATAACAACATTTAAACACCAGGTTCATAGAAACATAGATTTTTAAAGCCCAAAATGGTGAGTGTTGGTACAGTTGGTAATCTAGAGGAATTTACTTTTAAATGTGAGTCAATAGAAGCCCGAACAAGTTGGAGCAAAACTTCATCTATGAGCACTTCCATGAGGTAGCAGTTCAGCATCATCCGTCTGTATTCAGTCTGTGTGTGTGATCGGTGTGAGCTGAGCGCCCCCTCCTGTCCCCTGCTCACTCTGCGGCCTCCATTGTCAGAGCTCTGGCGCACGGGCAGCAGCTGGTCGTTATCTCAAACCATCTCCAACACAAAACCAACTCCCGCCGATCTTTTGAAGTGCCGTTTCCATGACGACGAGCGGGGAACACTGGCCGTCCTCCGCGACCCGTTGTTTTCACACTCAAATCAATATGGAAAAGTAGAAAAACCGAGCCGGACCACACCCACCCCGGCCTCCAGTTTTACCAATGCTCTATGTGCTTTTATCATTGCATTTCCTGCGTTTGATTTTCTGATCTGTGTTGGAGAATCGACAGCTTTGTAAAGTCCTCCGAGAAAACGACTCCTGTGATTTAGGGCTACACAAAAATAAATAAAATTGAACTTTAGTGTCGTCGCGTCCTGTTTTGCTTCATCCTGGTGGTGCTCGGTGTCCTTTGCCACTAATAGTTTTTCATTGTTAGTTGTGGGCTGGTTCTTCTTAAGGAATAATAATAAAACTCAAACCTTTTTTTATTTCTGTCAAATGCATGTGTGATAGTTTGAAACGTATGTCTTTTTTACTTCTATTTTGCCATGAATATTATGGAAACCGTGGTGCTTTGTGAATTGGAGGCAAGATTAAATGAAATTAAGTGAAATTAAGGAAACAAGGTGTCAAATTTCCCAGTAACTTTTAGTATTTGGTATTTGTTGACCTTTTTTTTTTTTTTTTTTTTTTTTTGGATGGATGTGTTTCTGCTGCATGACACTTATTATTACTTTAGACGTGTACATCTATCTGAATGAATAATGCTGTGAAGTGACTTTGGGGGGAGCGGTCCTTCCAGTCCGTGGCTCCCAGACTGTGGAACGCTTTTCCTCTGTCCCTCCGTGTGGTCAACTCTGCCGATGCTTTTAAAAAGGGACTAAAGACACTTCTTTTTAGGGCAGCTTTTGGTTAATTTCTTGTATATACAGTACATACAGTATCTGCTTTTACCTTGTTACTATAAACTATACTTACTTACTTTGAGTGACCAAAAAGGGGGTGTATATAAAAAAGTTGTATTATTATTGTTGTTACTATTATTAATATTATTATCAATATTTGGAATGAAGAATACCTTTTTAGACTTAGGCACGAGGGAGAGTGACCGCTGCAGGGGGTCGGGTGCTCTTCTGGATCCCGGGGGAAAAAGCTCAACTTGAAGGGAAAGAAATAAGTTCCGAGGCACGACTGACTTCAAAGTAAAAAACGTTTATTGTCCCGGGACACCAACGCGTTTCGACCTACTCCAGACTTGTCCAAACTCAGGCCCGGGGTCCAATTGCGGCCCTCGGTGTCATTTTATGTGGCCCACTGCCTTGCTCACCCAAAGTTCACTGTGTCATCCATCCAACTTCAGCTCAGCCAATATAGACATGTCGTAACTCGTCCTAAAGCCCAGTACGTTGTTGACTTTAGTACTGTACTGATTTTTTTGATTGTGTCACTTCCGTTAATGGTGCTGATGTATCTGGTGAGATGGTAAACATGTGTCATTCAGCCAACTTCAGCTCTGTTATAGATCAGCATAAAGCTCAGAACAGCTGTATATCAGTCAAGACAGTTTTTCAGTTTGTGATGTCGGCCCTTGGACTAGTCTGGTGAACTAAAGTGGCCCTCTTACTGATCTACTCGGCCTTCATCAGCGCAAACAGTCAAGAAGAAGAATACCTGTAGATGGTTGTTGAAGAAATATGTCTAACCCAGACTCATATAAAAGATTCAGATGTAATTTAACATTTAGTTTTCTGCGCTCTTCTTTAGGGTCCGAGATTTTCAGAGGAAGAGGATTTCCAGTGACAGCTCAGTCTCCGACGCCTTGTCTCAAAACTCGAAGGCTCAGCTCTGCAGGTAACAGCGTCACACACGGAGCAGCTGGGGTCAAACGTGAACCGTCTCAGGAAAGAGCAGAACTGGACGGATCTGAGACAGTGATGAGGCCGGGACCTCAGCTGAAGGGAACCATTTACAGCCGGAATTGAAAAAACATTTTGAACTGGTACATGCAGCAGACAGAAGGTCCTGGGTTTGATTCCACCTCCAGACAGGACCCTTCTGATGGAGTTTGCGTGTTTTCCTTGTGTCTGTGTAGGTTTTCTCCAGATGCTGCGGTTTCCCCCTACCACTAAAAACATGAGATCAGGGTTAAAAGGGGAGTTTGTGAGTGCGACACTGGGATGAGGAATGCAAATTATCCAAACGCTACCTTCCAAAGAGGTGCTACTTAATGTGCACTCTCCCAACCAAATATACATATAGAAGATCATACATTGAAAAGAGTGAAAATCGTCACTTTTTCAGAAAGACTCTTACAGATTTGACCTGCATGAATCTAAAACGTTGCCTCCACATCTTTACTCTGGGCACCAGCAAAGAGTCTGAGTTTGTTCATATGGGACCTACGAACACGAGAAGTCTGTTCTCTGAGCCACAGGAGCCAGTGCAGAGACCTGAGGACTGGACTAATGTGGTCGTACTTCCTGGTTTTGGATTCTCTGTGTGAGCAGGCTGTTACAGTAGTCCTCAGAGTGTGCTTTAAACACTGGGAAGAGAACAAATGTCAGGCACATGTTCACATGAAGGTCCAAAACACGTGGTCCCTGTTCATTGAATGATTTGTATTAACTGACAGGAGTCACGAGTGCCTCTGGGTTTTCTTTTCTCACGCTTTGTCACTGCTGATCCTGATGAGCGCCTGATGAAAATTGACCCACTGAAGCGTCTTTCTTTAATTCCTGCTTTAGACGTAACACATTTTGCACAAATTGCTTTGCAATTTGCGAGGCAGCAAAAGATGAACCGTGAGTGAGTGAGGCTCCACTGTAGTGTTGTATGGACTCTGTATTTAATGTCAAGAATCGTGCAGTAACTGCGGTTTGCCACAGTGTGGCAGTAGAGTCCTATGGACCACCAGTGCCATTGATTCTATGGTTACAATGAATAGTTTGTTGCATGACTAGGGCAGCATGTGGGAAACGGCAGCGTTTATTTATATAGCACAGTTCATGCACACGGCGCTCAACAAAACAAGTTCACAAGAAACACTTACATACGGCAAATAATAAATAATCTGACTATATTTAAAAGAATGAAGATGAGTTGCTTTAGTTAAATGCACAGCTAAACTGTTTCAACCCGGATTTGAATTTTGTTACAGTCAAAGCTTGTCTCACACTTTCAGGAAGACTGTTCCAGATTTTAGCTGCTTGAATCTGAAAAGCTGCCTTTCAATGTTTAGTCCTGACTCTGGGCATCAACAGTTGACTGAGAAGGATATATTTCAGATTTTCCACTGCCCTGTGGCTCATTCTTGCACATTCTAATGTTTGAGCTATTTTTTCAGTAAAATGACTGGAATTAAACTCCAGGAAATCTCTCAGTAATTCTTTGATAGATGTTTGTGTGTGAACGTCTTATTCTAGGCTCAGAATAATACATCATTTATTATTAGTGCGTATCTGTGTCGCTGTGTGTGTGTGCGTGTCCATTTATGTGTTTGTGTCTGTCTCTTTATATGTTTGTTTGTGTGTGTGTCCATATATGTGTCTGTGTGTGCGTGTGTCTCTATTTATACAGTGCCTTGCGAAAGTATTCGGCCCCCTTGAACCTTTCAACATTTCGCCACATTTCAGGCTTCAAACATAAAGATATAAAATTATAATTTTTTGTCATGAATCAACAACAGGTGGGACACAATCGTGAAGTGGAACAAAATGTATTGGATTATTTAAACTTTTTTAACAAATAAAAAACATGAAAAGTGGGGCGTGCAATATTTTTCGGCCCCTTTACTTTCAGTACTTTGCACCTGTGTGTAATCAAGTCTCCGTATAAATGCACCTGCTCTTTGATAGTCTCAGGGTTCTGTTTAAAGCGCAGAGAGAACCATGAAGACAAAGGAACACACCAGGCAGGTCCGAGATACTGTTGTGGAGAAGTTTAAAGCCGGATTTGGATACAAAAAGATTTCCCAAGCTTTAAACATCTCAAGGAGCACTGTGCAAGCAATTATATTGAAATGGAAGGAGTATCAGACCACTGCAAATCTACCAAGACCCGGCCGTCACTCCAAACTTTCATCTCAAACAAGGAGAAGACTGATCAGAGATGCAGCCAAGAGGCCCATGATCACTCTGGATGAACTGCAGATAACTACAGCTGAGGTGGGAGAGTCTGTCCATAGGACAACAATCAGTCGTGCACTGCACAAATCTGGCCTTTATGGAAGAGTGGCAAGAAGAAAGCCATTTCTCAAAGATATCCATAAAAAGTCTTGTTTAAAGTTTGCCACAAGCCACCTGGGAGACACACCAAACATGTGGAAGAAGGTGCTCTGGTCAGATGAAACCAAAATCGAACTTTTTGGCCACAATGCAAAAGGATATGTTTGGCGTAAAAGCAACACAGCTCATCACCCTGAACACACCATCCCCACTGTCAAACATGGTGGTGGCAGCATCATGCTTTGGGCCTGCTTTTCTTCAGCAGGGACAGGGAAGATGGCTAAAATTGATGGGAAGATGGATGGAGCCAAATACAGGACCATTCTGGAAGAAAACCTGTTGGAGTCTGCAAAAGACTTGAGACTGGGACGGAGATTTATCTTCCAACATGACAATGATCCAAAACATAAAGCCAAATCTACAATGGAATGGTTCACAAATAGACGTATCCAGGTGTTAGAATGGCCAAGTCAAAGTCCAGACCTGAATCCAATTGAGAATCTGTGGAAAGAGCTGAAGACTGCTGTTCACAAACGCTCTCCATCCAACCTCACTGAGCTCGAGCTGTTTTGCAAGGAAGAATGGGCAAGAATTCCAGTCTCTCGATGTGCAAAACTGATAGAGACATACCCCAAGCGACTTGCAGCTGTAATTGCAGCAAAAGATGGCGCTACAAAGTATTGGTGCAAGGGGGCCGAATAATATTGCACACCCCACTTTTCAGTTTTTAATTTTTTTTTTAAGTTTAAATTGTCCAATAAATTTTGTTCCACTTCACGATTGTGTCCCACTTGTTGTTGATTCTTGACAAAAAATTAAATTTGTATATCTTTATGTTTGAAGCCTGAAATGTGGCGAAATGTTGAAAGGTTCAAGGGGGCCGAATACTTTCGCAAGGCACTGTATATGTGTATGTCTTTGTGTGTGTGCCTGACTCTGTGTCTGTGTGAATTAATTATCACTAGTTTTAATTACAAATTCTTTTGAGCTTTATCTACATGTTTTTATTATTAATGATGATGCATACATTTCATTATTCCTACACTAACCACAGACTTCCCAAAGCAGCCTCTTGGGGCAGTATTGTTCAGTTCTCACACGTTTCCGAACTTTTTTTTGAACGATCGTTGGTCGAGAGCGAGATCTCTGCTGCCGACGCTGTGCATGTTGTCCTCATTGTCTCTTGTGTTAATTCAAAGGAGGGGGGCAAAGATTCTCAATGTGCACCGTTCCAATACCACCCTCGCCGATTTCAGGCCCTTGATGATTAGGTAGGACCCAGAGTGTGTGTGTGTGTGTGTGTGTGTGTGAGTGAGTGTTAGTGTTGTGTGTGTGTGTGCGCCTCCACTTCCTGTTTGTGATCTGCTGACTTCCTGTGGCTCGGTGCTGGTTCTGCTTGTGTCCGTCCTCCTCTAATTCATCCAAAAAGTTGGGGAAAGTTTTAAATTGTGTTTTTTGTTTTGATTTTTTTCTCTTGCAGTTCCACTTCAGCTGCACGAAACACTGTAAAAGGTAAATACAAGATTGAGATTGTATATAGATGGACAATGCAAACATAGACCCTAACCCATGGATCTATAATAATAACTGGATATGGTATTACTAGTTACCCAGAAAAAAGTCCCATAGAACTCAATGTAAATTAAAACAGCTCAACCTCAGCTGACAGAGAACGTACAGCTTTCATAAAGATCGGATTTTGGGGGATTTAGTGTCCCTTGTCATCCTGAACTTTTTTTCTTCTTAAATCCTTCAGTTTTCTTTAAATCCACACTTTACTGCCACAAACTCTGCTCCTTTTCTCCGCTCTGAATCCGCTCTACCGCTGCTCTGATCAGCAGCTCTGATTGGTCAAAGCGGATATAAGAATATAAGGAAAATTGGCTCCAGCTACTGTAGCTTAAATCCGCCTCTTTTTGGTGAACAAGTGATACTGTTTGTTAGGGTTTTTTTTTTTTTTTTTTTTTTAGATTATTATTAGTATTTCTTTGTTCAATCGTCCAAAAATATATATGTACTGTATATATTTAATCCACATCTCCAACTGTGACTACTATTTTTTTTCTGTTACAGATGCAGAGTTGATAGAAAGTGTAAAAACAGAAAACATGAGCAGAGTAAGTCCCTTCAATGACTGTTTCATACGTACTTCAATAAAAGCCGGGATACCGCACTTTTTGTTCATAAATAACCCCAAGTCGAATGTCACAAACAAATCAGACCAGAATGTGTCGTCTTCATGGCTCCAGAAGAACTTGTAAGGATTGTCCGTTTGAGTCTTTGGGCTGAGAGTGAGGGTGGTCCTCTCTTTTTCACTTTCCTGTTTAGAAAAAGCTGATGTGAAGATGTGACAGAGGCCTTATTTTGTGAAAACTAGTGATACAAGCAACGTTTTAGAGAACTTTTTCTCACACTGATGTTGTGGTTTAAAAGCTAAGTACCCCAGCTTTAATCGCTATAATGAGTCCCATTCCCACCATCCCTACTCGGCTCTACTCTACCCTGATTGGGAGCGTTTCCACCAGCCCTGTTTAACCGGTACCAGGTCCTTCTTTTGTCCCTCTTGGTCCTTGTTCTATCCAGGCCAATCTGGTACTAAAGTGTTTTAACTGACAGTGATTGACCAGAGGGCTGTTGGAAGCCATGTTTATCAAGACATTTCCCCGGACACTGGTTTCTTGTGGGTAGGTTGCTAGGATACCGTACCAGATACTAAAGCGTAATGGAAACTCAAGCAGGAGTAGAGTAGAGTAGAGTAGACTAGAGTAGAGTTGGGCCAAGCAGGGCCGGTGGAAACAGGGCTATAAATGTTGCATTTTTGTTGCAGTTGATGGCGCTGCACCAGCAGGGGGCAGACCTGCTGCTTCAGGACCAGGGCGGCCGCACACTGCTCCATCACGCTGTGGACGCCAGCAGCAAAGACATCATCAAGTACCTCATTGACAACGGTGAGGAAATACCACATTTCAGTAGAGGGAGAGAGAGACCAGCGGGAGAGAGAGACCAGAGGGAGAGAGAGACCAGAGGGAGAGAGAGACCAGGAGGGGAGAGAGAGACCAGGGGGAGAGAGACCAGGGGGGAGAGAGAGACCAGAGGGGGAGAGAGAGACCAGAGGGGGAGAGAGACCAGAGGGGGAGAGAGAGACCAGAGGGGGAGAGAGACCAGAGGGGGAGAGAGAGACCAGGGGGAGAGAGAGACCAGGGGGAGAGAGAGACCAGAGGGGGAGAGAGAGACCAGAGGGGGAGAGAGAGACCAGAGGGGGAGAGAGACCAGAGGGGGAGAGAGAGACCAGAGGGGGAGAGAGACCAGAGGGGGAGAGAGAGACCAGAGGGGGAGAGAGAGACCAGAGGGGGAGAGAGAGACCAGAGGGGGGAGAGAGACCAGAGGGGGAGAGAGAGACCAGAGGGAGAGACCAGAACTTTTTAACCTGGATTTGAACATTGTCAGAGTAGAAGCCTGTCTCACATTTTCAGGAAGACTGTTTGAGATTTTACCATAAATCTGAAATGCTGCCGCCCCATGTGAGTCCTGACTCTGGACACCAGCAGGAGACCAGTCCCTGTGCTCCTCAGAGTCCCAGCAGGAGACCAGTCCCTGTGCTCCTCAGAGTCCCAGCAGGAGACCAGTCCCTGTGCTCCTCAGAGTCCCAGCAGGAGACCAGTCCCTGTGCTCCTCAGAGTCCCAGCAGGAGACCAGTCCCTGTGCTCCTCAGAGTCCCAGCAGGAGACCAGTCCCTGTGCTCCTCAGAGTCCCAGCAGGAGACCAGTCCCTGTGCTCCTCAGTCCCAGCAGGAGGCCAGTCCCTGTGCTCCTCAGTCCCAGCAGGAGGCCAGTCCCTGTGCTCCTCAGTCACAGCAGGAGGCCAGTCCCTGTGCTCCTCAGATTCCGAGTCGGGTCAAATGCCTATAACATCTATGAGATTTAAGGCTGGACTTTGTGTGAATTCCGTGGAGTCCTGCTTTTTGTTTGTTTTTTTATACAAAAGAAACGTAACTGAATTATGGCCAATTGAGTTTGTTTCGCTTCCGTTTTTGCCTGATCCTGAATCTGAGCGTGTTTTTTTCCCAGCAGCAGGTGTCTCCTTTAATAAATGGCTCTGACGGTGATGGATGAGGCTGAACTTGTGAGTGCGACAGGAACCTGCTTTGAGCCACTTCCACTCGTGACAGGAGAGAGTGGTGTGATGGGGTTAGCTCGTGGGCTGTTTATCATCCTGGATTTATTGGATCAGTGCAAAAAAAAAAAGTCTGTAAACACGACTGCACTGGTCCCTCGGCTTTATGGCTTTAACGCAGATCACTTTTGGGTAATTTTGTGTGTGTGCGATTTTGCTGACTTGTTTTTTTTTACAGCCTGTTTCTGTAAAATAAACTTATGTGGCTTTTGTACAAGACTAGAAGAAGAGAAAGAGAGAGTAGAGGGAGAGAGAGAGACCAGAGAGAGGACAGATACCTTCATTTAAAGCTGCATTACCTCACTTTATTTTAGTATTCATTAGTTACATTCAAACCATATCCATGCAGTGCATTGGGATATACGTCCTTTTGAAGAATAAGCAGCTCAGGTTTGTGCTGGCGTGTCATTTTTTAGATCGAGTTTTGGTGAAACGAGGAAGAGAATTTGTTTTGGGACCAGATTATGACCAATCACAGCGGACCACTGGCCCCCACTTTCTTGAGAAAAGCCACAGGTTTCTTGTTAGCACAGACAGCTGAGGTAAACAAGCGGCGGAGGCTAACCTGAAACTTCCTGTGTCTTTGTTACCGGTTACTGCTTACTCAGCGAAACAGCCGTCGTTCCTCCGCGCTTCCCGGTTCTATCATTCTATGGTCACGCCATCCACGCTCAAATGTGTGATCCATATTGTGAGACGTGAGCTCCGTAAAGCTAACAACAGCATGTGAGCACAGGCTGAGCGGGAGGGGGGTAGTGGGGGGTGATTGCTCCGTGAGTGCGGGGAGGGTGAGCAGAAAGAGCAAGGCCAGCGCTCACATTTGAAAATTTCACAAAGTGAGTTCGTGCAGATTTAAATTCAGAAGCAAACCTTTGTGGCTTGTGTGAATAAATAAATGACATGATAATATGAACACACTGAGTTTTGACGGTTGTTGTGGTTGTTGTGGTCTGCAGTTCCCACGTCGCACCTGGACGTCACCGAGAAAGAGACGTAAGTTAAAACCTCCTTTTACTGTTGGAATAATGAGCTGGAGCTGACTGTGATGTCGCACGCAGAGGAGAGACGGCGCTGCACAAAGCGGCGAGCTCCTGTCAGAGGACCATCTGTCACTTACTGGTGGAAGGAGGGGCTTCTCTCATGAAGACAGACCTGCAGGTACAATACTCTACTCTACTCTACTCTACTCTACTCTACTCTACTCTACTCTACTCTACTCTACTCTACTCTACTCTACTCTACTCTACTCTACTCTACTCTAGCCTAGTCTACTGTAGTCTAGTCTAGTCTGCTCTACATTGGAATACAAACAGGAGACACCGGCGGCACCAACACCACAAAGTACACACACAAACAAAAATAATAAAAAAGAGGGAGACACAGTGAGGAACCAATAAAACGCTTAAAAGCATGATTAAGAAACTATGAAGAGCAGGGGCCGTATTCCTAAAGATACTTAGCGCTAAAAGTTGCTCCTAGTTGCCAAATTCTAAGAATTTTCTTAGAATCTTGACCAACTCTTAGAATTTCCCCTAAAAGTGAGGAGTAGCTCCTAGTTAAGAAAAAAGCTATTCCTAAAGAATCCTAGCTCTTAAGAGAGCTCCTAAGAGCTCTCACCCTTAAGAGTTGAGAGGAGGACTTATAGCGAGAGGGAGAGACAAAATGGTGGACGGTAGAAGCAGGAGAAATATTCTATTCTCTGGATTACAGTGAATCAGTAAAACGCTGCAGATTGGATCGTGTAGGAATCATGTTTGTGGTATATTTAAAAGTCAATCATGTAAAAGTCATCAAGTACAAGTACAGTTTTGTTTTATTAACAACAATCCAGTTCAAAAAGGAGTGTGAAGAAGTTAATACTTTTGAACTCCCACCCTCTATCTATCATTCTAAAGTGACTTAAATATTGTGGTTGCTACAGCTTAGTTTATTCCATGGTGTATTTACAGTTATGCAACAGTGACATTTACAATAATATGCACTTGATTTGTACAGTGTATGTATAATATGCTTATATTAATTTTTTTTTAAAGGTGTTGTCCATTCCTTGCTCAGAGTTCTCTAAGAGTGTTCTGGAATAACTTTTAAGCTAAGACTCCTAGCCAGGAGTTTTTAGGTTAAGATAGGAGCTTTCTGAGAGGACTCTTAGAATCTTTAGGAAAACGGCCCCAGATCTCAGGGCGCTCTGTTCAGTCTTATAATCGCCTGAGTGAAGAAGCTGTTCGCACGGCGGGTGGTTCACCGCAGGGAACGGAATCTTCTCCATGAGGGAAGAGGCTGGAACTTCTCTACTCCAGTCTAGTCTACTGCCTCTCTCTATCTCTATCTCTCTCTCTTTCTGCTACTCTCTCTAACTCTCTCCCTCCCTCTATCTCTCTCTCTATCATTATCTCTCCGTCTTTATCTCTCTCGCTCCTAAACTCTCTTTCCCTTCCCCTAACTCTCCCTACCTCTCTCTGTATCTCAATCACTGTCTATCTTTATCTCTCTCTCTATTTCTCTCTTTCGAAATGTCTCCCTCCCTCTAATTCTCTCTCTCTCCCTCCCTCTAACCCTCTCTCTATCCCCTTCTTTCTAACTCTCTTTCTCTCTGCGCCTACAAAGAAGAAAACCAGATTGGGCTTAGAAAAGTTGACTGGTTCCGTCAGAATCCTCTTGTTGACGCCCCAGTCTTGATATCTCAGTCCTGATTACAGCTGTAGTGATTAATATCGTGCTAATGCATATGTAAAGAAAAAGGCCCGTACATTTCCCGGCGCTCATTCACACAATTGAGACTAATTCTATCAGCGCTGCGTCTCCTGGTGGTTTCTCAGGCCGCTGACCGCCACCAGCGAGCGTCTCAAGAGCATGTGACCCGTTTGTATAAAGTGATTAATGTTGTGTGTCAATGAGGAGCCCGGACTCCGCAGGATCTGGCCACGATCCGGGACTCGGACCCAGCTCCACAAAGGCCCGGGCGCTGCGTCTCCATGGAGATGTGAGCGCTAACAGGAAGCAGCTCATAATCTCACTCTCGCTCTGTGCTCCTGCGAAAGAAAAGCCTCGGTGTGATGTGGAGTGTGGGGCGAGCTCACTCCAGAGCTCTGCAAACGTGGATGGGATTTGTTTTGGTGCGAGTTTCAGCGAGTGCAGGGAGACAGCGTTGGAAATGTTAGCGAAGCGGGGCGCACAGAGATGCTAGGAGTAGGAATGTAGTATGGTTTTGTCCACTACAATAGATAAGTATATATCAAGTTTGACGTTCAGTTTTGCATAGCCCTAAATCACAACAATAGTTTCATCCCTCCTGACCGCCAGAGTCAGGAGGTTCATAGAGGTTCGCAGAGATTCATAGAGCCGTGGTCACATACATAGCCTTCGTTTTCTCTGAGGAATGTCGATTCGCCGACAACTGATCAAAAAATCAAACAGTTCAAACAGGAAATGCAAAAATAAAGAACACATAGGAGCCATTGTTGAATATTAGCGTGGTCTTGCTATATCACTAAAGGTCTGGTCTGTCCAAAGTAACTGTTATGTCCAAATCAATGATCAAATATAAATAAAAATCATAAACTTTAATAAATGACCCTGTATCATAACTATCCTTAGACCCTCCTGCATCAGCAAGAAACCACTTAAAAAAGGCTTGTGAAAAACCAGGACGGAGGGTGTTTTACTCTTAGCCAATTAGCAACAACATCACTGCTAAAGGCTTCATTTCTCTGATGCAACCATAGACTGTATATAATAACGGATGTAGTCACGCCTATCTCCGCCGTTCTAACTAATGGGCCAAAAATTGGGCTTTCATGGAGTAATTCAAAATGGCCGCGGGGGCTGGAAAATTTGAAAAAACGCATCTGCGCATGCGTCAGCCGGCGCAACTCCGTTCATTTGAACGAGAGACTTAAAAAATTCACAGCAAGTAAACTAGAGTGGACCAAAAAAATTCACCCCCCTCAGCATTGACACACATGTGGAACGGAGCTTTGGGCCAAGAACCAACTTTTGGACCATCCTGTAAAGACGTTTTCGAGACGTAAGAAGACGCTATATGTTAGAATTGGTTAATTCTTATTCTGGGTCCACCCCCATCGGCCCGGGGTGGTGTTGCAGCATGTCAGCGCACGTCATTTTGGCCACTTTTGAGCCAGGACCCGCCCCCACTGGATGCAACACATCTTTCTGATTTGGTTTCACTGAGTATGTTGAATTACAGAAGTAAATAGACTTATTTGTTGTTCTTGTTGGCTGAGGTTGGAGGGTTGAAGAACAGTGATGACCCAGACTGTGGTTCCCAGACCAATGGCTTCTACATGTTATTGCATTTCCTGTCTTTGAACTGTTTTATTCTCTGATCTGTCCATCCATCCATTTTCTTCCCCTTAATCCATTTCTGGGTCAGGGAGGTGGCAGTCAGAGCTCCACCCACTTTATAAAAATACATTGAATTGAATTGACTTTTGAACAATATTCTAGCTTTCCAAGTTTCACCTGTAACTTAATCTGTTCAGCACTTTTTGCGTTTCCTTGTATAAACTCGCCTTGCCTGTATATGACATCGTTCCTATTATTACTAGTATTGCCTTATATAATACTGTGAAAGTGCAGACTATTGACTCTGGCTGCTTTCTTTCATCCTGCCCAGGGGGAAACTCCAAAACAGCGCGCAGAGAAAGCAGACGACCAGGACTTGGCTGAATATTTGGAAAACCGACAGCATTATCAGATGATCCAGAGAGAGGACCAGGAGACTGCGGTCTGACCCCTAAACCGGACTTATGTGCACTAAACATTCTGCCCTCAGCCCCAGAGCGCCGCATCACCCATGACAACGAATGTATCCGACCGGAGCTCATGCGGAGGGCGCCTTTCGGTCTCATCGTGGTTTCTCAAAGTTTAGTTTTACATGTGCTGTATGTTGTAAGGTTGTAAGTGCATTCATCAGAGTCATTGTGGTCTGGACAATTTAAAACGATTGATCAGAACACAAATTGGCGACAAAAGCTAACAGACAACCAACTGCTTAGCCTGTAGCCTGTATCGAGATGGACAATGCTAACCCGCTAGCTCATAGGGCGGTTTTGCTCTGGCTCCTATTGACTTACATTGAAAAGTAAACTCTTCTCGCTCAGTAACCGTTTGTGACACACTCACCATTCTGGGCAAAAAAAATAATCTGTCTTTTGGTTCTCTATGTGATCCTGGTGTTGACTTTTTGACATTGTCTTTGTGAACCCAGATATGAGCCATAGAAGGATTGACCAATCAGAAGCCTTCATTCGGGGGGGGGAAACTCCAGCTTGCCTTAGCAACCATATTAGCAACGCGTCTGCTTCTGTGACTGCGCAAAGCTAATGCCCTAGGAACAAATGCCCAAATAAGGAAATTGGCTCCAGTTAGCTTATGTTCAAATCGGCTTCTTCTGCATTAAGGCTAACATTATGGTGATGTCACACTCGGTCAGTCCAATCTTCATATATGTCTATGACTTGAACCACAAAACAAAACAAGCAACCAGCAACGTTATACATTTCCATTATGAACTTAAAATAAAAGCTAAGGGTCAAATAGGTCACAATTTGTAATGACATTGTTCAAATAAGCAGCGTTTTTGTAACTTGTCAAATTGATATAAGCGATATAATAATCGTATCTTTTTGGGGTTTACATTTCAGCCATTTGTTTTTGAGTCAAATTGAGTTGAGTTTGTCTACATCAGACAAGAGAGAGAGACCGGAGAGAGAGAGACTAGAGAGAGGCCAGAGAGAGAGGCCAGAGAGAGGCCAGAGAGAGACCAGAGAGAGAGAGGCCAGAGAGAGACCAGAGAGAGACCAGAGAGAGGCCAGAGAGAGGCCAGAGAGAGACCAGAGAGAGGCCAGAGAGAGACCAGAGAGAGAGAGACCAGAGAGAGAGAGGCCAGAGAGAGAGAGGCCAGAGAGAGAGAGAGGCCAGAGAGAGAGAGAGGCCAGAGAGAGAGAGACCAGAGAGAGAGAGAGGCCAGAGAGAGAGAGGCCAGAGAGAGAGAGAGACCAGAGAGAGAGAGACCAAAGAGAGAGAGACCAGAGACAGACAGACACCATGTTATATTATCTTGGCTGGCATGATTGGATCAAAGAGGGGAAAAAGGCTCGTTTCTGGCTTATCAATCGAAGGCTCGCTTTTTGAAAAGTCAGAACCACAATGACTTCCATCTTGAAAATGCCGCGTACGATCATTTTGAACATACTCCAATCACTTCAGTAACTGTCCATACAAACATGGGTATTTCTACTGCGCTTCCTGGCTTCAAACTATCTATTCTGAGCGTACCTTTTCAAAAACTTGCAAACCAGTCCTTCGAAATATAGTTTTAAAGAGGTGTCATTTACTTTATGAAATTAGACTGATTTAATAGACCCGATTAATCTCACCCCCACTGGTTCCTGAAATGATACACGGACTCGAGGCCTTTTGCCATTGGCCGAACTATTCTCCTCCAGCAAATCTTGTTTATCTCATTTGAAGCCAAAATATATGTTTAAAATACGTTGATCTTAAAAAAAATACTTTACTACAAGGCCGTATGGTCAAAAATATGCATAATTGAAGTAGCAGATACAACATTTACATTTCTTTTTGATGGCTTGCGTACCGATCTATGCAATTATCCAACAATTACTCTTCCCTCAAATGGCTCTTTCCCGATCCCTGTGTCTCCACGATGCCGGGCCAGTCAGATTTACGACCTGTGATCGTTGGCGCATGCTAGCACCGTCCCAAACACGAGCCATTTTTTCGTTAACATTAGTGTCTAAGGGGAAAATCTCCTGTAAAGCCCATGTGGATTTAAGCTGCAGTACCGTGAGTGGCCTCTAGTCCGTGTGGAGACAGGTTTAAGCAGCAAAACCATGTGAAACATCCTTGCTCTCTCTTCTGTTCTGGATGTGATCTATTCCATAAATTCATACATATATAATTTCAACGATAATGAGACAATACCCATTCTCTGTGTGGACAGTACTGACTGACGAGAACCCGTCATTTCAAACACATTTCACTCTTTCAGGCTTGGCACATACATTCCTTCACATAAGTTATTTTACCTCTAGATACTTATATTGCCATACTTTAGAAAGACTACATTTCGTGACCGTTTGGATGTATTTGTTTACTATTAAATGTCACATATTTAACTTTAAGTCACTTCTTATTGAGCTATTTATATTTGTAGACGTAGAAAACACTTGCTCGGGATCAAAACAGCGCTTCTCACTTTTCTGTAGATCGTGGATGGATGTTTTGGTGACTGTCTGTTACATACCAAAAGGTGATGCTTTTACCGTGTTGTAAAGAGTCCGTGTATATTCAGTGTTTAAAATGGCCACACGCCCGTTTTCTGCCAAAGCAGTGGAGATTGTATTAATAGTGACTGCAGATATAAGATGTAATGTTGTACAATAAGAATGTAATGTTTGAGAGACTTGCAATAAAGCACGTCAGTAACACGCCGCCTCCGCCGTCTGCTAATATCTATCTGCTAATATGTATGCATAGAAGTTCTGTTTTAGTATTTAAGCTTTTTAAAGTGATTATTATTTACAGCAGGGGTCTCCAACCTGTAGCTCCGCAAAGGATATAGAATTTAATCTCAATTTAAAATGGTCTCAATATACAAAAAGTTATTAAAGAAGAAAAGGTCTGAAGCACTCTGACTTCACTTAAAAATCCAATAATTTCTTTTTAGTTCAGGATATTATGTTATGATGTGTATCGTGTATACAAGGCAATACACAACCATAAGAGCAGGGGTCTCAAACTCCGTGGATTTTTGAGTTTGTTTTTCCATGGACTTTAAAATATTGATCAAATCTCATATGATAAATAAACAGGAGTCCTCATTCACGTCACCATTTCTTGCTCCAGAAGAAAAAGCATAACCAATGACAAATGTGACCTATGTAGGAATATCTACCTCAACCATGTTTTTGAATTGTTGTCACAGGCTTAGAAATTGACTTATGAGAACTGGAGGACTCTACACGTCAATGCGCCATCCTGAAATACAGTGGTTGATAAGGGACAAAAAGGAGTTTAATAATAATAATAATAATAATAAAAGGGATTTTACGGAAAAGCTTGTTTGAAAAGATGGGTTTTGAGTGCTGTTTTAAAGCTTGGTAGTGAGTTTGACGGGGGGGGGACCACATATCGTCCTGCGAAGCTACCGTAGTACCGTGAATGACATTATCTGATCTCATTGCAAGATGGGAGTAAAAACTACACAGTGTACCTTCAAAGGCTAATTTGGGTTAGCAAGGCAGGCGACCACATGACATGACACAGAGGGCCACAATTGACCCCCGGGCCTTAGTCAGATTCTGATTCATTTATTTGCCATTTGCAGTTAAACCACATTGGAAAAACTGTGCAAGACTACCCCAGTGTGCACCAGGACACACACCAGAGCTCTTGCCACGGCGCCATCTTTACGAGCCATTGGACATACCTTCTTTTTTTTTTGGATTATATGGAATACTCAGCTCCCACGTCTCCATCGTGGCTCATGCAGTCCACAACAGCAGGACTCTGGGGTAAATCTGACCTGAAGGAGGCCAGCCGCTTCTCTCTGCTGTTTTCCCAGCTGTGGTCGGGACAATGGGCCTCGCGCATGACTGAGCCATTGGGATTTTCTCCCAAACGGCTGCATTCTTGTATCTCAGACGCTGGACAGAAATGTGGAGAGCTCATGGAGAGAGACGGCTACGAGACGGACGCAAACCTGGAGCTGCAGAAGGATGGGCCTCAGGTGGACTCTGCACCGGGGGAGACTGAAGATGTGCCGAGATGGCGTTTAGAAATGACAGTACAGTGAGAATGTTTAGTTAAAGTTATAATAAAAATGGTTTCAGATGATCAACATGTCCTGCCTTTTGGAGAATATTATAGATTTTCACATTACAGCACAACAGAACAGACAAATAACAAGAACATGGGGTGAGTGAGGGGTGGGATGATCACACATTACAGACACACACACACACACACCAAACAACACGCACTCACGCATTCACACACATGCATGCTACACAATACGCATACATACACACATACATACAGTGCCTTGCGAAAGTATTCGGCCCCCTTGAACCTTTCAACATTTTGCCACATTTCAGGCTTCAAACATAAAGATATAAAATTTTAATTTTTTGTCATGAATCAACAAGTAGGACACAATCGTGAAGTGGAACGAAATTTATTGGATAATTTAAACTTTTTTAACAAATAAAAAACTGAAAAGTGGGGCGTGCAATATTATTCGGCCCCTTTACTTTCAGTGCAGCAAACTCACTCCAGAAGTTCAGTGAGGATCTTTGAATGATCCAATGTTGTCCTAAATGACTGATGATGATAAATAGAATGCACCTGTGTGTAATCAAGTCTCCGTATAAATGCACCTGCTCTTTGATAGTCTCAGGGTTCTGTTTAAAGCACAGAGAGAACCATGAAGACAAAGGAACACACCAGACAGGTCCGAGATACTGTTGTGGAGAAGTTTAAAGCCGGATTTGGATACAAAAAGATTTCCCAAGCTTTAAACATCTCAAGGAGCCCTGTGCAAGCAGTTATATTGAAATGGAAGGAGTATCAGACCACTGCAAATCTACCAAGACCCGGCCGTCCCTTCAAACTTTCATCTCAAACAAGGAGAAGACTGATCAGAGATGCAGCCAAGAGGCCCATGATTACTCTGGATGAACTGCAGATAACTACAGCTGTTGAATGTGGGGCCGAATACTTTCGCAAGGCACTGTACACTATCACACATGCCACACTTCACTCACGCACATACATACTCTCACACACATGCCACACTACATACACACACATGCTACACAATACGCATACACACACATGCCACATTACACACACACACATACATACACTATCACACATGCCACACTGCACTCTCACACACACATACACTCACTCACACACATGCCACACTACATAAACACATACATACACACACACACACATACTCATACATGCCACACTACATACATGCTACACAATACGCATACATACACACACTACACACATGCACACACACACACACACACACACATACATACACTATCACACATGGCACACTGCACACACACACACATGCCACATACATACACTCACCCACACATACACGCACACACACATACACTATCACACATGCCACACTGCACTCTAACACACACACATACACTCACTCACACACATGCCACACTACATAAACACATACATACACACACACATACTCGCACATGCCACACTACATACATGCTACACAATACGCATACATACACACACTACACACACATACATACACTATCACACATGCCACACTGCACACACACACACATGCCACATACATACACTTACCCACACATACACGCACACACACATACAAACAGTACATACAGTAATACAATACACCACACTACCACAGATGGTTAAGACAAACAAAACACACACACACACTCAAACAACACACACCGACCCAAACACTCTCCGACCCTACACCTCTCTCACACAACTCTCTCTCTTTCCCAACAGCAGCTTCACACAACTGAGATTTTAACACACATTCATTTCAAAGACGTCTTGAACTCAGACACACACTCTTTAGTTTCCTCTTGGCCTATAATTACGAGGAGCATCTCTGTCATGGAAGCAGGAGCACAGAGTTTCCAGATGCCCTGAACCACATTTGAATATGGTAATATGATGGAATATGTGGTGAGTTTGTTCAAACTGGGCAAAGAAGCAGACGCCAAACCCTCGCATACGTAACTGACACATGCTATATATCAAACTGACCTAGTTCCACTGAAGTATCGACGGGTTTGAACTTGTTGAAATCCACAAAGATAAGGTAAGATAAGACATTTCAAGGTTACAGCGCACAAACACGACAGTAGCTGCTATGTTTCTTAGCTAGCTGTAAATGAAAATATGAGCAGCACATCCATCCATTTTCTTCGCCTTAATCCATTTCTGGGTCGGGGGTGGCAGTCATAGATTCCCCCACTTCACTGAGTGACACAGCCTTGATCTTTCAGCGGGGGCTTCAGGCAAAGTGGGGTTAAGTGTCTTGCCCAAGGACATGACAACAGCAGTGGGAGTCGGTGGAGAAGGTTAGGTACAAAGGCCAATGCTCTACCAACTGAGCTACTGTCGCCCCCTGAGCAGCAGGTACATATCCAAATATCTATGTACCTCTATCTATACAGAGTGAGAATCTCCATCCATCCATCCATCCATTTTCTTCCCCTTAATCCATTTATGGGTCGGGGGGGTGGCCAGAGATGCCACCCAGTCCACAGAGCACCAGCCACTCACTGATCCTCCTGCAGGTGGTGAGTCCACAGGAGCTGAGATCTTTCAGTGGGGGCTTCAGGCAAAGTAGGGTTACGTGTCTTTCCTAATGGACACAACGACAGCAGTCATCAGTGGGAGTCGTGAAGTAGGTCTTACGGTGGGCTTGAACCCACGACCTTCAGGCTCAAAGGCCAATGCTCTACCAACTGAGCTACTGTCGCCTGTGAGAATCTGACAGGATAAAATTCAAAATGTATTTTCCATTTGCAGTAAAACCACATTGGAAAAACTGTGCAAGACAACCCCAGTGTGCACCAAACAGAACACAGCAGAAATGTCCGTATTGCACATTATTACAGTATTTACTATTTACAGATGAGTGACGGCATATACAACCTCAGCAGTTCTCATTGTACCGTCTGACAGCGGCAGGAAGGAAAGACCTGCAGAACCTCTCTGGCACACAGCGAGGGTAGATAAGTCTGTCACTGAAGCTGCTCTCCAGTTTGCAGGCTGCGATAGATGAAAAAAGTGGCGGCTTATGGTCCGCCATGTGCTGTATGGTAGTAAGTAAGTAAATAATCTTTATCAATATAGCACACTTTACAGTATGTTTAGTTTAGCCTCAGAATCAGAATTGTTTTTATTGCCATTGTGAGTAACAGGAAGTCACAAACTTGGAAATGTCTTTGGCTGTCGATGTAAACAAGTTAAAAAAGTAAAAATAGAATAAGGCATGCATAAAAATACTAAAACAACTTCTACATACCATAAAATCACCACATACACTGGTGACGTCCACATGGTTTAATTTGCCTCAGCCTTGAGCAAACAGTGACGTCGGAACTTTTTTTACAAGCTGTTTCCACCAGGTATCCAAGCAACCATCAACACCACCAGGACCAGGTGGGAGCAGGCATGTGCCAATAAAACAAGATACAGAATCAGACAAAACAACGTCTGGACGGCTGTGACTCATGACGGTAAAACATGTTTTAGCTTTTTTGTTTATTTCTGGTTAACCCCTCCCTTTGTAAAGCATCTGAATCTCCAAACACTGGTGTAATTAAGATATCATGGAGTGTGTGGAGTGCTTTTCTTGCTTATTAAAGAAGACATGCAATGAGTGTGTCTGTGTGTGTCTGTGTGTGTGTCTCTCGGTGCATGTGGGTCTCTCTCTCTCTCTGTGTGTGTTTTTCTGTCTGTGTGTGTCTCTGTGTTTGTGTCTCTCGGTGCGTGGGGGTCTCTCTATCTCGGTGTGGGTATGAGTCTGTCTGTGTGTGTTTTTCTGTCTGTGTGTCTCTGTGTGTCCATGCCTGTGTGTGTGTGTGTGTCTCTCTGTGCGTGTGTGTATTTGTCTCTCTGTCTGTACCTGTGTGTGTGTTTGTCTCTGTGTGTCTCCCTCGTTCTGTGCCTGTGTGTGTGTCTCTCTCTCTCTTGTGTGTTTTTCTGTCTGTGTGTCTCTGTGTGTCCGTGCCTGTGTGTGTGTGTCTCTCTGTCTGTGCGTGTGTGTATTTGTCTCTCTCTGTCTGTACCTGTGTGTCTCCCTCTTTCTGTGCCTGTGTGTGTGTCTCTCTCTCTCTCTTGTGTGTTTTTCTGTCTGTGTGTCTCTGTGTGTCCATGCCTGTGTGTGTGTGTGTGTCTCTCTGTCTGTGCGTGTGTGTGTTTGTCTCTCTCTGTCTCTGCCTGTGTGTGTGCTTGTCTCTGTGTGTCTCCCTCTTTCTGTGCCTGTGTGTGTGTCTCTCTCTCTCTGTGTCTGTGTGCGTGTGTGTCTCTCTCTGTCTCTGCCTGTGTGTGTGTTTGTCTCTGTGTGTCTGTGTGTGCGTGTCTCCCTCTCCCTGTGCCTGTGTATCTGTGTGCCAGTGTGCGTGTGTCTCTCTCCCTCTCTGTGCTTATGTATGTGTGTATCTGCCTGTCTGTGTGTCTGTGTGTGTGTGTGTCTCTCTCCCTCTCTGTGCTTATGTATGTGTGTATCTGTGTGCCTGCCTGTGTGTATGGACCTGTGATGTCACTGTGATGTCATAGGGGAGGGGTCTGAGTCCAGGGTCCCAGAGCAGAGCAGACGCACACCACACTCCACTCCTCTCTCTGCGCCTGCTGCTCCACTGCCGCAAAGTAAGACCGTCTTCCACTTTTTACACAAACGCACAACTTTTACCTCACGTTAAACTCTTCTGGTTTGTTGCTCTGTTTTTATCACGCATTCCTCATTTTCAAAGTCCATTTTTCTAACTCCTTTATTAGTGAATTATTTTTACATTATTGATGAGGTTGTGTGTGTTTCTCTCTCTGTGTCTGTGACTCTGTGTGTGTGTGTGTGTGTGTGTGTGTGTGTGTGTGTGTGTCTCTAACTGTCTTTTTTACGGTATTGAGGTTGGGTGTGTCTCTGTTTGTGTGTGTCTGTGTGTGTGTCTCTCTCTCTGTGTGGCTGTCTCTGCGTGTCTTTGTGTGTGTGTGTGTGTGTGTGTGTGTGTGTGTGTGCTGCTTTCATCATGTCTAATCCTCAAATGCCATTTTTCCAACATTTTTATATTGTTGTATTTTTTTAAAGTATTTTTTTAAGTTGAGTTGAAAGAGAAATGTTCAAGTTAAGTTCAAACTGACCTGTTACAATTTTATATTTTCATTATTATTATTATTATTAAAAATCTTTACATTTGGGAGGGTCTTAGGACAGTGATTCCCCTATGTGTTTCTATGTGTTTGTCTTTACAGCATTTCTCTGTGTTCGAACTGTTTAATTCTCTCATCTGTTGTTGAGGAAACGACAACTTTTTAAAGACTTATGGGACGTTTTACAGTGCTTTGAAAAAATGTCTGTTGAATTCCATTTGGACGTTACAATGTTGAAATGTATGAGCAAATGCAGCCTCATTCTTTAGAGTCAAAAAACAAAAAACTATAACATCTTGCCATAAATCTTCATATTTCACCATGAATCTGTTGAAATAACTACAAATATCACTGGTATATATATATATATGTATACATACTATGGCCGAAACACTAAGTAAATACATGTACTAGGTGTTCAGGTCTAGCAGGTCTTATAGGATTGTTGAAAGTCAAGTTTGTCTGCTCTTTCTGTACAGTATGTGCTCAATAGTCTATACATTTACTCTGGAGCTGCCACCCCCGACAAAGACTGTGGGTTAGGAGTGGGCCGAGTGTGACATCACCACAGTGTTTGCCTTCACGTGGAAGAAGCTGATTTGAACCTAAGCTAGCTGGAGCCAATGTTCTTATATGGGATTTTCTTCTACGGCATTAGCTTCAACTCAGTGAATGAAGGCATGTGATTGGTCGAACCTTATATATCGCTCATATCTGGATTTTACGACGACAATATCAAAATATAACCTCTGGGATCATAGAGAGCGCTAAACCATGGATTGTTAAAGCCCAAAATGGCGGCTGAGCTAGAGGGTTAGCTTTGCCCATTTATACACAGTCTATGGGACCAATCCAGGCCGAGCTGGTACTAAAGTGTTCTAACTGACAGTGATTGGCCAGAGTGCTGCTGGAAGCCATGGTTACCAAGGAATGTCCATGGATACTGGTTTGTTGTGGGTTAGGGTTAGCATAATGGAAACACAACAGAGTAGAGTAGAAGTTTGCATTTTATTTTCTTATTTTTTTTTACATTCTTGTACAAGTTTTTTTCCTTGTGAATGAAGGCATCTGATTGGTCAATCTTTATATGGCTAATATCTTGACCACAGAGAGCGATAAACCATTTTTAAACCCAAGATCCAGTCATGGAGCTGGAGGAGATCTATGTAAGTATGTAAGTCAAAATGGGCAAGAGCGAGTTGAAGCAAAAACTTTGTCCATGAGCGCTTCCCTATTGGGCTTCATTGAGCTAGCAGGTTAGCATTGTCCTTCTGTACACTGTCTATGGCTCCAGCTAAGAAAACTTTTCCCATTTTCTTCCCAAGGGCTCCTTCTCAGACTAAATCAACTGGGATTTCTTTTGTAATGAGAGTGCAGTGCAACCATTTTTGGGAGATTTTGGTTTTCCGTGCTCCAATAACCTCAAATACATGAAAAATAATGGATTGATGAATGCAAAGCTAAAACTATGACATATTTCAAATCTGGTTTGGTCTCATTCTTGCCCTCTAACCCACTAACACTTCTAAACTTTAACCGAGATAGTGTCAAACCTCCTGGGCTCTGTCTGTGTATTTAGTTCTTGAACGTACAAAGTTATACATGTTACTTGATCCTTTTCCAATCCGCACGCCTCAGATACAAGACTTCAGCGTTTAAAGGGCCTTGAAGAAGCGCTGGGAGGGTGGGGGGGGGACTTCCTCTGAATGTCGTCCGTGTGTTTTCAGCCAAACGCAGCATCATCTCCTCGGCTTTCTCCTCTGCTCAGATCTCATTGTGCTCCTATGGAAATGCTCCCTATTCATCCCGGCGCATTCACGGACCAGGACAGGCCATGCAAGCAGGGGTTTGGGGGGGTGGGGGGGGTAGGGTGCTGAGTTGGACTACTGAGAGCCATCTCCTCAGACAAATCATGGAATCCGTGTTACGCTACTTTAGTTTCGACCCAAACCATGGGCTAGAGCCGGCATTGTCCCGGCCCAATGAATCAGTATTCTTTTGAGAGGAGCTTTTAAAAAAAACAGCCCCCCCCCACCACCCTCCTCCACTCAGAAAGAGCCCCAGGACCCCGCTGTGAGCCGGGACTGTCCCATAAAAGGGTAGAAGAGCGAGATTTGTGCTGCCAGCTGACGTTTGAATGGACACCACGGTTTTTAATGGGAGCTCTGTCATCTCTGGGTACAAAAACAGCTCCGGGCTCCACACAGAGAGAAAGGGCCAGAGACTGAGGCACTATGGGAAATGAACTGGGGACTATATGTTTGTCCGTGGGCATTCATCAGACAGAGGCCAAACGGGGGAGGCCCGGAGAATATGTCAACAAATAGAGATACAAGTCGGATTTTTTTTTGAAGCGTGGATATAAAGCAATGGTGTCAAACTCTTTTTGGTCAGGGGCCGAGTAAAAAAATATGAACCGGTCAGGGGCCGAAAGAATAGAAGAGATTTCCTTTTCCTATGGAAGTTTTTTACATTATGAAGGTATTTTAACATGACTTTAATGTGACATGAGATTCACCGTTATTTTCTGGTTGATTTTTCTGAAACCAAAATGTGTTTATTGTTTAGATTGAACCAAAACTGGATCAAATATAAAGTTAAACACATTTTATATTGAACTATTTAACTTCTAATGATGTGTTTTTGGGTTAAAATGTTAGAATACATAACATTTGGTTGGTTTTTCTGAGAAAATAGATTATGTATAACCTGCCTTAGTCGCCCATTACATCAATGCTGCAAGTCAATAATAATGAAAAAAATCATTTTAGGGGCCACTAAAAATGGTCTTGCGGGCCGGATCTGGCCCCCGGGCCTTGACTTTGACACCCATGATATAAAGCGTTCATGTGGAAAAAGGGAGAAGATTTTGTCGCAATTGGGAGTTTACCGACAGCGTGGAGGCTTAAAGCTGGGGTATCTAACTTTCAAACCACAAAAAAATGTAGAAAAATCTTAGATAAAGTGACAACGACAGGACCACCCTCATTCAACCTGCTCTCAGCCCAAAGTGTCAAATAGTGACTCACAAGGCTATTTTTTACACAAAATATTATGTTTTCTAGCATAATTCACTGCATGTGTCTGATTTGTAAAAACTTTTATAAGACTTTTTTCTGTTGTGTTTTTAAACGCATTTTGAATTATTATTATTATGTTTGTGCCTCTAAACAAGATTTATCAGAATCAGAATCATTTTTATTGCCACGTAAGTAACAGGAGGTCACAGACTTGGAAATTGCTTTGGCTCAGTGCAACAGTCAGAAAGAGATAATAAAAATAAGAATAAAAAACACTTCTAAGGAATACATTTAAAATTAAAATTAAAATAGAGTTACAATTACTATATACAATATACAGTGCACATGGTGCACACAATGTAAGGTTAGAATTTATCTGAAGGCGATCATTTTTAGAATCCCAAAAGTTTACACACACACATGCAAATATATATACACATAAATATACAACTGTACGTGCCACAGTTCCAGCATGTGTCTATATGTACAAGTTCAATATGTGTTTACAAATGTATTTCTCTTTACATAAATTACTCTTTTTAACTCTCAAGCCCAAAACCGGTACTTTCTTAAGGCCGGCTGCGATAAAACCCAACGCACACAAAGTACAATGGTGTCATGTACAGTGTGCGTGTCTTTGTAGGCCAGTGAATACATTAGCCCACTTCTATAATCCCAGACCGGACTACAATGGTCAGATTACAGGATTATTGGACCACTTTCATTTGGACTAATTTTAAAACCATCTGCCCTCGACCTTGAGTTTTGTTTTGTTTTGTTTTGATGAAGGAGAAGAAGGGAAAGTGTGTGTGTGTGTGTGTGTGTGTGTATATATCATAGTCGCACACATACATAACGCCTTAGACATTACCTACCGTAGTTATTTAGACCTACATGCACATATACACATATATATTAGCTTGCAGGTAAAGTGTAAAGTGGCATAAGTGTGCTCCTCATTCCTACTGTTCTGTAACTTGTGATGCAACACTGAAATTTCCCCGAACAAATAAAGGATTCCATTCAATTCAATTCAGCTTTTGCGTAGCCCTAAATCACAACAATAATTTTCTCAGAGGACTTTACAAAGCTGTAGATTTGCCAACACTACAGATTGGTCCATAAGAGGCAGATGACCAATGTCCATTAATGTTGATAAATGACTATAAATGTCTATAAATGTCCATAAATGTCCATAAATGTTGTTGAATGTCACCGCTCCAGGACATTCGATGTCTTCATCTTAGTCATAAACGTACAGTAGGCAGTGTTTTTGTGGTATAGACATAATGTAAATAGTAATAATGAAAACAAATGGGGAAAAGAATAATGGATAATAAAAAAATGCCGCAAAAGTACTATTACTGTTACGACAGCTAAAGCACAGAGAGTATGAGTTTCTCTGGTGGAGATGTTTAAGATTTGTAAATTCTATTGTTGTGTGATAATAGTCATACATTTTCCCAATTCCACTTGTCATTTCTCCTTTCTATAATTGTTCTTAAAGGGGACCTATTGTGGATGTGGGCTTTTATAATAAACTCATGCCATGGACGTCCCAAACATAAGCAGAAGCCATACACAGTGGTTCTACCAGCGTTGAGCGTTCTAACCAATCAGAGCGCAGCTGATCAGAGAGGAGAGTGTGGATTTAAAGAAACATGATGGATTTAAAAAGAAAATAGTTCAGGACACTAAAAAACCCACAAACCTGACCTTTTTGACAGCTTTAGGTTCCCTGTCAGCTGAGGACGAGCATTAGACAATAGAAAAACACAAGAAGACAAAATTCACTTTTTACATTGGAGGACGAGCCATTTATGGTCATATCTGTGGGAACATTTCCTGTACAGGCCATGTGGATTTCAGCTGCAGTACCGTCCTTGTCCATGTGGAGACGGGTCATACGTACACGGTCCTGTCTCAGTCCTGTCCAGCGTGATGTCATCGTGCCACGATGACATCACGCTCGGGGCAGTTTTCCTGAATGTGTTTTGGCAATGCCTCAGGTGAAATTCAGTTTTTTTTCCAATCACGTGACTGTGTTTGCAGGTGGTAGTTTTCAAACTTATAAAATAAAAATATATTCTACCCCTCCCTCTAGGGGTGGCATAGGGATAGTGCAGGCTGATTGCAGTATTTACCCTATTCCATTCTATTATTTCACGTTCTAAAACAGGAAGTGAAAAAAGAATTCTGCACCGCTATGTAGCTCCCAAATAAAAAATAATTAACTGACAGACATAAAATACACTTTACACTACGCAGATTTGTCTTAATTTTTTACTATCAGTTCAGGCTGCTGGGATTTTAGGCCTTGTTTGAAACCTCATGAAAAAATAAATACCCATTATAATTTATAAAAGGACAATAATAATAATAATTCTTCTTTAAGTCACCGTCGTCTTGAGAGTCCACACAATCAGTCAAACTTGACCATTATATCCAAGGTTTTTTGTCCCTGAATGCAAAACTGTCCCTGCTGTTCTCTCTACAAAATGGATTTTGTATTTTGCTCCTGTCTTGTCCAGTTGCAGTGGGTAAAAAGATGAGATATTGGAGCTTGTTCTGCAGCAATAGAACCTGTGGACCTCTGGTTTGTTTGAGGAGCGGCTCTGACTCTGGCTTATTGCCTCAGTTTATGAAGAAGGACAAATATCACAGTGTTCCAGATAAGCCACATTAAACACACCTGATCTCACCTTTAGTTTTGATTGTCCTGTTTTTTTTTTCCAGGATGCGAGTCCTAGTTTCGGTGACGCTGCTGCTGCTTCTGGCCCTGAGTCTTAGCGCTGAAGCCGGACGAGGAAAACTCAAAGGAAGCAAAGGTGACAGATCACAGCATATCTTCAGTGCAGGACTAGAAGCTGCTACTTTTCTCAAGTCTTTTTTAGTTTGTTAGAGTTTGGTTTGTTTATGTGAACAGCAGAGAGAACACTAACTCATTGACTGCCAGCCGTTTTTGATGATTTCACTGATTCTCAAGACCCACAGAATATTATGTGCTAATACTATGTTAAATATGAAACCAGATTCTGAAAGATTGGATTGTCTACTTTCATCAGAGGAAAATAAGTTTGTTTTTAGTTTTTGTTTTTGTTCTCCTGAAATCCCCAGTGGAATAGAGGGAAGTTTGACAGAAAGTCTCAGACAAATACGTCAATGGCAGTCGATGAGATGGGAAATACAAAGGCCTTGTTTTTCTGTGATAAGAGCTGTTGTCAAAGCAGTTTATGGACTTTTCATTTTGACTGTATCAGGTTTTAGGAGCCAGAGGACAAATGTTTATTGCCAAAAAAGATTGGAAAATGGAAGCTAACAGTTAAGCTAAGCATGCTAACATGAGCTAATGTTAGCTTCCTCCGAGATCATTGTGTTATTTACTTTTAGCTGTTGACTTTTTATGGATAAAAAAGTTAAAACATCATTAACTTATGTTTTGACCAGTTAAAACTGTCCTCTGCCGCCTTTATCGCTTTTGCACCAGCCCTACTCTGCCCTACTCTACTCTACTCTACTCTTCTTGACTCTACTCTACTCTACTCTACTCGGCTCTACTCTACTCTACTCTACTCTACACTTCTCTACTCTACTCTTCTTGACTCTACTCTACTCTACTCTACTCTACTCTGCCCTACTCTACTCTACTCTACTCTACTCTACTCTGCCCTACTTTTCTCTACTTGGCTCTACTCTACTCTACTCTACTCTGCCCTACTCTACTCTACTCTACTCTACTCGGCCCTACTCTTCTCTACTCTACACTTCTCTACTTGGCTCTACTCTACTCTACTCTACTCTACACTTCTCTACTCTACTCTACTCTTCTTGACTCTACTCTACTCTACTCTACTCTGCCCTACTCTACTCTACTCTTCTTGACTCTACTCTACTCTACTCTACTATACTCGGCCCTACTCTTCTCTACTTGGCTCTACTCTACTCTACTCTACTCTACTCTTCCCTACTCTACTCTACTCGGCCCTACTCTTCTCTACTCTACACTTCTCTACTTGGCTCTACTCTACTCTACTCTACTCTTCTTGACTCTACTCTACTCTGCCCTACTCTACTCTACTCTACTCTACTTGGCTCTACTCTACTCTACTCTTCTTGACTCTACTCTACTCTACTCTACACTTCTCTACTCTACTCTACTCGGCCCTACTCTTCTCTACTTGGCTCTACTCTACTCTACTCTACTCTACTCTACTCTACTCGGCCCTACTCTTCTCTACTCTACACTTCTCTACTTGGCTCTACTCTACTCTACTCTTCTTGACTCTACTCTACTCTACTCTACTCTTCTTGACTCTACTCTACTTGACTCTACTCTAGTTTGTGTTAGAGTTTGGTTTGTTTATGTGAACAGCAGAGAGAACACTAACTCATTGACTGCCAGCCGTTTTTGATGATTTCACTGATTCTCAAGACCCACAGAATATTATGTGCTAATACTATGTTAAATATGAAACCAGATTCTGAAAGATTGGATTGTCTACTTTCATCAGAGGAAAATAAGTTTGTTTTTAGTTTTTGTTTTTGTTCTCCTGAAATCCCCAGTGGAATAGAGGGAAGTTTGACAGAAAGTCTCAGACAAATACGTCAATGGCAGTCGATGAGATGGGAAATACAAAGGCCTTGTTTTTCTGTGATAAGAGCTGTTGTCAAAGCAGTTTATGGACTTTTCATTTTGACTGTATCAGGTTTTAGGAGCCAGAGGACAAATGTTTATTGCCAAAAAAGATTGGAAAATGGAAGCTAACAGTTAAGCTAACTCTAGCATGCTAACATGAGCTAATGTTAGCTTCCTCCGAGATCATTGTGTTATTTACTTTTAGCTGTTGACTTTTTATGGATAAAAAAGTTAAAACATCATTAACTTATGTTTTGACCAGTTAAAACTGTCCTCTGCCGCCTTTATCGCTTTTGCACCAGCCCTACTCTGCCCTACTCTACTCTACTCTACTCTTCTTGACTCTACTCTACTCTACTCTACTCGGCTCTACTCTACTCTACTCTACTCTACACTTCTCTACTCTACTCTTCTTGACTCTACTCTACTCTACTCTACTCTACTCTGCCCTACTCTACTCTACTCTACTCTACTCAGCCTACTCTTCTTGACTCTACTCTACTCTACTCTACTCTACTCTACTCTACTCTGCCCTACTTTTCTCTACTTGGCTCTACTCTACTCTACTCTACTCTGCCCTACTCTACTCTACTCTACTCTACTCGGCCCTACTCTTCTCTACTCTACACTTCTCTACTTGGCTCTACTCTACTCTACTCTACTCTACACTTCTCTACTCTACTCTACTCTTCTTGACTCTACTCTACTCTACTCTACTCTGCCCTACTCTACTCTACTCTTCTTGACTCTACTCTACTCTACTCTACTATACTCGGCCCTACTCTTCTCTACTTGGCTCTACTCTACTCTACTCTACTCTACTCTTCCCTACTCTACTCTACTCGGTCCTACTCTTCTCTACTCTACACTTCTCTACTTGGCTCTACTCTACTCTACTCTACTCTTCTTGACTCTACTCTACTCTGCCCTACTCTACTCTACTCTACTCTACTTGGCTCTACTCTACTCTACTCTTCTTGACTCTACTCTACTCTACTCTACACTTCTCTACTCTACTCTACTCTGCCCTACTCTACTCTACTCTACTCGGCCCTACTCTTCTTGACTCTACTCTACTCTACTCTACTCGGCCCTACTCTTCTCTACTTGGCTCTACTCTACTCTACTCTACTCTACTCTACTCTACTCTACTCTACTCGGCCCTACTCTTCTCTACTCTACACTTCTCTACTTGGCTCTACTCTACTCTACTCTTCTTGACTCTACTCTACTCTACTCTACTCTTCTTGACTCTACTCTACTTGACTCTACTCTACTCTACTCTGCCCTACTCTACTCTACTCTACTCTACTTGGCTCTACTCTACTCTACTCTACTCTTCTTGAGTCTACTCTTCTTGACTCTACTCTACTCTACTCTACACTTCTCTACTCTACTCTACTCTACTCTACATGTCTCTACTCTACTCTACTCTGCCCTACTCTACTCTACTCGGCCCTACTCTTCTTGACTCTACTCTACTCTACTCTACTCTACTCGGCCCTACTCTTCTCTACTTGGCCCTACTCTACTCTACTCTTCTTGACTCTACTCTTCTCTACTCTACTCTACTCTGCCCTACTCTACTCTACTCGGCCCTACTCTTCTCTACTCTACACTTCTCTACTTGGCTCTACTCTACTCTACTCTTCTTGACTCTACTCTACTCTACTCTACTCTGCCCTACTCTACTCGGCCCTACTCTTCTCTACTCTACACTTCTCTACTTGGCTCTACTCTACTCTACTCTACTCTTCTTGACTCTACTCTACTCTACTCTACTCTTCTTGACTCTACTCTACACTTCTTTACTCGGCCCTACTCTACTCTACTCTACTCTACTCTTCTTGACTCTACTCTTCTTTACTCTACTCAGCCCTACTATACTCTACTCTATTCTACTCTACTGCCTTTCCATTACACTTTAGTATCTGGTACCGTATTCTAGCAACAGACTCGCAACAAATCAGTATCCAGGGAAATTCCTTGATAACCATGGCTTCCAGCTCCACTGTAGTACCCGCTCAGCCTGGATAGAACCAGGGCCAAGAGGGACCAGAAAAAGTAACAAAGGTTTTTTTTTTAAAAGCCCAAAATGGCGAGTGTGACACAAACTGTTACTGAGCTGGAGGAGTTTACTTTCCAATGTGCGTCAATAGTAGCCAGAGCGAGTTGGAGCAAAACTTCATCCATAAGCACTTTGCTAATGGACTTCATTGAGCTACCAGGTTAGCATTGTCCATCTATTAACAGTCTATAACATACTGGCCGTTGTGCGTTTGTAATAACAGCTTTTTTATAACTGTACAGCTACAGTGTATATGTACGCAAAGGGTTGTACATACAGTAGAGTACATACAAACAGGGGAGTATTTAATCCATAGATACCCTACATAATGACCCGTCCTACAGAAGCCCCCTCCCTCCAGCGCGTGACCCCATAGAGCCGGTTTGTGAGGGGTGTGTAAACAGTCTGGCTTTCCTGAGCATTGCAGCTGTTGTTTGCTTTGAAATCTTGGTTTCCCGATGCTTTGAAAACACGTCTGTTTGTGTTGGGATTGTGTGGCTTTTGGCAGATACCAGATACCAAAGAAATGTCAATAAATATAACACTTTGTCTTGAATACGTTGTGCAATGCTGGACGGATTTCCTACAGACGTCGTTATTATGTTCATTCAAACTGATAATTATAGGCTCCTGGTTTTTATTTGTCTGATGTGATATTTAAACACAGCTGTTGAAAAATTCCATTCAAGCTAACTCATGCTACTTCCAGTCTGCTTGTGTCATTACCAGTTTTGAGATTTACCGCTGTAATTGCAGGACTATAAACCTAGACTGTTTTAAAGTTTGTTAAAGCCTGTGGCCTCTATAGCGATGTGGCTAACGCATGTATTTTTACTGCGGTCGAGAGTGGCTGTTGAGAGAAGATTTTATGGACTTTTTATTTTTATTTTAATAGCTATGAGACGCAGGTTTATTGTCAGAAAAATGAGACCCAACCAGTGGGGGCGGGTCCCGGCTCAAAAGTGGCCAAAATGACTTGTGCGGACATGCTTGCAATCCCACCCCCGGGCCAGTAGGGGTGGACCCGGAATAACAATTAGCCAAGGCTAACATATAGCATTGGCAGACCTCTCGAAAACGTCTTTACAGGATGGTCTAAAGGTTGTCTCTTGGCCCAAAGCTCCGTTCCACATGTGTGTCAATGCTGAGGGGGGTGAATTGTTTTGGACCACTCTAGTTTAAAGGAATGGGGATAGTGCCGGCTGACGCATGCGCAGATGCTTTTTTTCACATTTACCAGCCCCCGCGATCGTTTTGAAACTGCCCATAGACCGCAAAAGTTGTGGCAGATTAGTTAGAACGGCGGAGATAGGCGTCCGTTAATATTTACAGTCTATGGACCCGACCAAGCCCCGTGCTCATTGGTGCATTCTCACACCATGGACGTCTCAAACATTAGCAGAAGTGACACGTTTCTTGCCAGTACTGGTTCTCCCGGTCTTGTGCAGCAGGTGCGCAGTGATTTTACTTCCTCAGAACCAGAGGGACATGTGAGCGTGCTCATCAGCGCAAAGCGAGACAAGATGGTTGCACTAAAGTGAGTGTGGATTTATAGAAAACCGATGCATTTAAAAAGAAACAAGAGACACTTTGATCCTGACAAAATTCAACCTTTGTGAAATCTGTAGGTTCCCTGTCAGCTGAGGACGAGCCATTTTTGTTAACATTGAGGTCTATGGGAATATCTCCTCTACGGCCTGTGAATTTAAGCTGCAGTACTGTGAATGGCCACTTGTCCATGTGGAGACAGGTGTAAGCAGCAACACACTCCCCCGCATTTATACTTTAATACATCCATGGTCTCGACGTGGAAGCTAACAGTTAAGGTGAGCATGCTAACGCGAGGTACTCTTTACCTCCTCAAACGTTAGCTCATTGTGTCATTTACATTTAGATTTGTCCATTGCCAACATTGCCTTTAAAACACATTGGCCACATCTCCACAGAAGTTTAAAAAAGCAGAGTCTTATAGTCCAGCAAGTACTGCAATATTGTCATACAAATATATTACATTTTCATCCCAGTAACTTGTAAAGACTGGTCCTTACATTGGGGAAGATCCAAACCCGCTTATTCCTACTTACTGTGTCTGTACCTTCATATCTTCTCTGTCTGCAGGGAAAGACCGAGCCAAGGCAGCCTCCGAGTGCACCCCAGCAGAGACCGAGTATGGGAAGTGCATCCCGGAGCAGGGCGACTGTGGAGAGGGCCAGAGGGACGTCACATGCAAGGGCCAGACCAGCCAGATCCTCTGCAAGATCCCCTGCAACTGGAAGAAAGAGATCAGTGAGTGTTCAGCAAGACCCACGACATCAGCGCGACCCACAGCAGCTCGTTTCCATTCATTTTAGAGATAGAAATAGCCACAATCATCGTCATTTCGCCTTCTTTACATATAGCATGAATACACACACACACACACACATACACATGCAAAGCTATACAAGATTATGAGATCCTTTATTTGTCCCAGAGTGGAAATAATGTCAAGGGGATATATACATGCACATAAAAAAGCAATATTTTAGAGTTTCTTCTTTTATTGATAGATTTACAATAATAAACTGATTTCTTTTATTTGTTTGTTTTACTTCTGTGAGCCCTGTGGCCTTTATAGAGATGCAACCCATGTATGTATTTTTTTTAGCTTTCCGCCGGAGCACAGGGATAAATCTGGACACAGCTGTTGATCTCCAGAGCGGATGATTTAGCACACATTCCTGCTTCCCGGTGTGTTTATGTGAACAGCAGAGAGACACAAGGAAGTGCACTACAGTCTATGGGAAATACACAGGACTTGTTTTATGTGATTAGAGCTATAGTCAGAGCACTTTGTGGACTGGTGCGTTTAATAATCCAGCAAGTACCACATCTATACAATTTATCAGCTCGATAAAACAATGGAAAGAGGAAAAACGTATAGACCCATGTAAATCAATTCCTTTTTTAATGTAGTTTGTATTAGCTTTTCTACTCAGTCCATTCATTTGGGCTGGGACTGTTTATAACAGAGACCCAAATTTGGTTTTGAGTTTTGACTTAAAGCTTGTGTGACAGTGGCTAAGGGGGGTTTTCCTGTTTTTTTTCTGCAGTCTCAGCAGACTTTGTCAACAACAGCATGATAAGAAAGTGCAGCTGTAAAAGGCTGAATTCCAACTGAGTGAAGACAAGATGTGTTTGGCCTTCGATTGTAGGCAGTAATAGAAGAATACTGTGAAAATGTATTTAATAGGGCTATAAGAAGATAAAATAGTTTACTAACAAACCACACCTGGACTAAAACTTGCGAAGGAGAGGTTTTGCGACTCCAATAGAGAATACAGAATGATATAAAATTGTGTTTAAAAAAAGTACAGTACTTGCTGGACTATTAAGCGCACCTGTATACAAACCACACCAGCTACCATTTAAAAAGAAAGTACATTTTGTCACATTCAATGTAAGTCCCGGTTCTACGTCATGGTGCTACGTCCCTTAGCGGACTTCGCTAGTGGGATACCACGTGACCCCCAGGTCACAGACGCCAGAGAGATCAAACAAAAAATGCTCCAATCACTAGCGACCTCCTCTATAAAGGCCCCTGCTCCATAGCCGCGCCCCCTCTTTCACTCTGGCGCCGATTGAGATCTACCACAGTACTTACTTCATTCTGAGATGTCTTCCATTGTTCGTCCGAGTTCCCCTTCGCCCTCCGGCGTCGGACGTCATCGCTGCTCTACGTGTCGGGTCAGGCTCCAGCGCACGGACCAGCATGCCAGCTGCTTCATGTGCCTGGGTCCGGGCCATGCGGCGTTGAGCGCTAACTGCGCCTCGTGTCTCGCTCTCCCCAGGGAGGAGAGCGAACGCAGGCGCGCGTTCTTCCCCGCTGCAGCGCCCCGTCCGGACTCCTCTCAGGACGAGGAGTCTGAGATTGACTGGGCCCCACTCGACCTTCCACCCGTGCGCGCGGAATGGGGTGACTGCGAGGTTGGAGAGGCTTCGGAGGTCGGCTCTCTCCTCACGCTGGATGAGGTGGTGTCGAACCCGGAGCCGGACCGCTTTCCGCTGGACCACATGCTTGGTCTCTACTCCTCCGCGGCGGCCATCATGGATGCTCCTCTACCACCGCAACCGGTCCAGACGGTGGAGGACTTCACCTCTGTGGGCGCCACCACTCGAGGGAGGAGGAGGAAACAACCCACGTTGTGCCTGCGGATGGACCCAATCGTCCATTACGCGACACGTGAGTGGCCAAAGCCCCTAGCAGCCAAGAGGCCTGCTCTAGGGTACGGCATGTACTGCAGCGTGCAGGACTGGTCCTGGACCGGTGGTGTCCCGGACATAGAGGACTCAGTCCGCATGGCCCTGCAGCCCTCCGCATCCGTGTGGCCTGGTGCCAGACCTCTCCTTCCCTCCGAGCGGGACAGGATGTCTTTGGCGATGCTGGACAGATGTTATGCCAATGCGGCTCAGGTCGTCGCATTGGCTAACAATATGGCATTCATCACGGGGGCCCTGGATAGGTCGCTCTCCTCTGGCCAGGCGCTCAGTGGAGACCTCCTGTCAGAGGCTAGGACCACCTCCGCGGCGATCCTGCGCGTGTGCCAGGCGTTGGCCGACGATGGTGGCCGCTCCATGGCTGCAGCCCAAGTCGGGGCCAGGCACCTTTGGCTTGGGCTGGCTAACATCAGGGAGGCGGAGAAGAGACAGCTGCTGGACCTGCCCATCTCCCAGATGTCCCTCTTCGGCCCGGATATGCAGGCCCTGGTGGAGAGACTGGTGTCTGCAGCTAAAGACTCGGCTAGGCTAGCCCCGCACCTAGCACTGAGGCGCGAGGCCCACCAGCCATCACGGAGCCGGGACAGAGGCAGAGAGCGTTCGCCCAGGAGGCGTCCTGACCCGTATCCTCGCTCCGTCATCCATCGTCCCCCCTCGACGAGGCCTCCAGGTCCAGACAGACCCACGGGAGGCTCGCGGGAACAACGCACCCACCGCCGGCCTCCCTATGGTAGAGGAGGCCGGGGTGGTAAGAATTCTTTCAATAAAGGCCGACCGGCATTTCATCAGTACTCGTTGTCTGAGTCTCATTTGGGGGTACGTAACATGTCTAATGTGTCTGATTGTGTTACTTCCCGGGCCCATAACGTTGCTTCGCTAGGCCTGCAACCCCCAGAGCAGGGTGTGCAGTGCGCTGCGCGAGCTACGAGCTCCGGTCCTCTGATCTATGCTATGCCCTCCCAGAGAGAGGTCAGGCGGAGGGATCTGGTGAGTAGTGTTGTGTGTGCTTCGGCCGAACGCGTGTTAGCCCCTCTGAGCTACAAGGCTAGCACGGGGTTTCCCACTCCAGGGGCTCGCCCCCCCCTCCATGAGGCAAGAGCCAGGGGGGGGCGGAGCAGTCGAGTCACATAGCATGAGCAGGCCCGTACTTATGACGTCGGGCCTGCGCGACACGTGACCGCCCCCGGCGCACACGGTATGACGCAGGGGGCCTCCCCTGCCCTTTCGTCCACCCCCCCTCCCTGCTAGGAACACCAGGAGAGGGCGGGGCTGTGACGTCTCGTGTTCCAGCTCCCGTTCCGCCCCTCACAGACTTCTACAGCATCTGGAGCGAGCAGGGCTTACTGGCGGATCCGTGGCTGGAGAAGACATTGCGCAGGGGTTACGCACTGCAATTCTCCCAAAAGCCACCGCCGTTCCGGGGCGTGCGGGCAGCGCGCTCTCAGGTACGGGGATCGCTAGTGGCACTACAAGCGGAGGTCTCCTCTCTGCTAGGTCGAGGCGCAGCAGTAGAGGTGGACCCACAGGACCCCGCCAGGGGGCTCTACTCCCCTTACTTCTTAGTGCCAAAGAAGTCAGGAGGGGTGCGTCCCATTCTGGATCTGCGCACTTTGAACGAGTGCATTTCCAAACGGCAGTTTCGGATGCTGTCCACAAAACAGCTCCTCGAGTGTGTCAGGCAGGGAGATTGGATGTCCTCCATAGACCTGACAGACGCTTACTTTCACGTGCCGATAGTTCCGGAACACAGGAAGTTCCTGCGCTTCGCAGTCGGAGGGAGGAGTTACGAGTACTGCCGTCGCCCCTTCGGCTACGCGCTCGCGCCTCGGACCTTCTTAAAGTGCGTGGAGGCGGCACTGGAGCCGCTCAGACGCGCGGGGGTAAGGATATTAACCTATATAGACGATTGGTTAATACTGGCCTCATCCAGGGAAGTGGCCGTGAGTCACACGCACTGGGTCCTTTCCCACATACAGCGTCTGGGCTTTGTGGTGAACAGGGAGAAGAGCAGGCTGCAACCGGCTCAGCGCATGTTCTATCTCGGCCTGCAGCTAGACTTTGTGACGTTCCGTGCTGCATTGTCCGAGGACAGACGGAGGAAGATTACCCGTCTAGCCAGGGAGGTTCTGGCGGGCCCCAGGGTCCCCGCTCGGCGCCTCAGGTCCCTGCTGGGGATGATGGCGGCGGCTCATGCTGTGGTGCGGCTAGGCCTTCTCCACATGAGGAATTTTCAGAGATGGTTCTCACGCCTCAGGCTTCACCCCTCCCGGGACGGGGGGAGACTGATCTGGGTTCCCCAAATGGCAGCATCAGACATCAGGTTCTGGCTCACTCCGGGTCTATTGCGGGACGGAGTGACTCTGGCCTGCGCCGTGTCTCACGTGGAGGTGTTCACGGACGCGTCACTCGAGGGTTGGGGCGGGGTCCTCGGCCGGAGCTCTGTAGGAGGCTGCTGGTCGGACTCAGCCCGCCACATCAACCTTCTGGAGATGGAGGCAGTACACAGGGTACTGCTGCACTTTGCTCCTCAGCTGCAGGGGTGACACGTGATGGTTCGCTCAGACAACACCACGGTGGTGTCTTATCTGAACAGGCAGGGGGGCACCAGATCCCCCGCTCTCCATCGCATGGCGACGGTGACGCTGCTGTGGGCGGCGCTTCACCTCCTGTCCCTGAGGGCGCGCCACTTCCCGGGTGCCCGGAACGTGGGGGCCGACAGGATGTCCAGGGGGGGCCCACTCCAGGACGAGTGGGGCCTGGCCCCACGGGTAGCTTTTCGCCAGTGCAGAGAACGCACAGTGCCCGTCCTGGTTCGCCTTAAGGGCCGCGGACGAGCCGCCCTTAGGGGTGGACGCCCTGGCTCACTACCCCTGGCCAGGGGGCCTACTGTATGCATTTCCGCCAGTTCGTCTCCTGCCGGTCCTGCTGCGGAGGATCGAACAGGAGGGGAGGTCGGTGATCCTGGTGGCTCCGGACAGTCCACATGCCCGGTGGTTCCCCTTCCTGAGGGGCATGGCGGTGATGGAGCCCTGGGCCCTCCCGGACGAGCCGGGGGCTCTAGTCCAGGGGGGGGGCCCTGTTTTCACGCCCGATAATCGGCCGCAGGCTTTGGGTTTGGAGGCTGAGAGGCGGAACCTCGTAGACCTGGGTCTTCCCCTGGCGGTGGTGGAGACTATTCAGGGGGCGAGGGCGCCGTCCACTGTGAGGGCCTACGCCACAAGATGGAGGCTCTTCGGCAACTGGTGCAGTTCTCGCTGCTGAGATCCCAGGCGTTGCCAGTTGGAGGGAGTCCTGGGATTCCTGCAGTAACTATATGACAAAGGGAGGGCTGTCACCACCCTGGCGGTGTTCGCGGCAGCCATTACCTCGGGTCACGACGGTTTCGGGGGGTTCACAGCCCGCTCTCATCCGTTGGTCAAACGTTTTCTGCGGGGGGCACGCAGGAGGAGGCCCCCGCTTCAGAGAACGCCCCCGGTTTGGGACCTCAGGGTGGTCCTTAGGGGTCTGTCGGGCCCGCCTTTTGAACCGGTGGCGGAGGCGAGTCCCGAGTGTGTTGCTTTTAAGACTGCCCTCTTGCTGGCGTTGGCGTCTGCTAAGAGGGCGGGCGACTTGTGTGCGCTCTCCGTCCATGCGTCTTGCTTGTCCTTTGGAGAGGGTGACGGCCTGGTGGAGTTGTGGCCCAATCCGGCTTTTCTCCCGAAGGTCATCATGTCGGCCTTCAGGTCGAGAGTGATCAGGATTAGGGCCTTCCATCCGCCGCCGCATGCCTCCCCCGAGGAGGAGCGGCGGCACCTTCTGTGTCCTGTCAGAATGCTTAGGCATTACCTGGCCATGACGTCTTCATTCAGGTTGGTTGATCAGCTGTTTGTGTGTCTGGGCCCCAAGAACAGGGGCGCCCCGCTGTCGGCTCAGCGGCTGGCGCACTGGGTCGCCACGGCTGTGCGGCAGGCGTATCAGGCTCAGGGTCTGGCCCCCCCGGTGGGCTTCAGGTCGCATTCCACGCGTGGGGTGGCGGCCTCTACAGCCCTCCTCAGGGGGGCTTCGGTCGAGGACGTTTGCCGTGCGGCTTCTTGGGCGTCGTCCTCTTCTTTCGTCCGGTCTTACCTTTTGGATGTGTCGAACCGGTCGGTGGCCCATTCCGTGCTTAGTGCAGCGGACTGAGTTGTAACCTTTATGTTCCCCTCTTAGAGGCCGACGGTTGACTTTCCGCCCTGGTTCAGGAGCTCTTGGGAGTGGCGTCCTGCAGGTGCGATATATGTGTGTGCTTTGGTCAGTCAGGTAGTCCACGTCAGGAGCTCTTGGGAGAGGCGTCCTGGGACTACGGGTGGCCTTCGGTCTGTGTTACTTGGGGGTGTCCTTGGGAGGAGTGGCCCTGTAACACGCAATTGCTTCTTCTGCCCTGAGTCCTCTCACTGTGTGAGGGTCTTGCTCGGGCGGAGCTCCAATCACTCTTCGCTGGCCAGCTGGGAGTACATGTTCCTACGGCCTCCGCGTTGTGTCCCACTAGCGAAGTCCGCTAAGGGACGTAGCACCATGACGTAGAATTAATAGTTACCTAATTGAACTTAAGTTGTACGAATAGGTGCGTAGTCCCTTAGCTACGAGCCCATCAGGCCAGCCCGGCTTGGCAAAGTTCAAGAGGGGGCGCGGCTATGGAGCAGGGGCCTTTATAGAGGAGGGTCGCTAGTGATTGGAGCATTTTTTGTTTGATCTGTCTGGCGTCTGTGACCTGGGGGTCACGTGATATCCCACTAGCGAAGTCCGCTAAGGGACTACGCACCTATTCGTAGAACTTAAGTTACATTAGGTAACTATTAAGTTTTTAACTGAACAAAACATTGTTAAATGACAAGATGTTTTAACGCACTGTTTGACTTGTGATGATCGAAGCACTCAAGTAAATCCAGATTATTTTGACAATAAACTTGTCTCCCATAAATACAAAAAAACTACAAAATACTCTCATACAAACATGTCCTGTGTGTTTCCCTGTACTTCCTTGTCTCTCTCTGTTGTTCACATAAACATACTGGAGCAGGAACGTTTGCTACGTCTCTGGAGATCTGCAGGTGATAGAGCGGTGTCCAAATCCGACCTGTTGCGTGCTAACAAAATGGAAATACATTAGCCACATCTCTATACAGGCATTAGAGAAAGTTAAAGAAAGTAGCTTCTTATAGTCAAGGAAGTGCACATATAAGCTGCAAACAACTGTCTTGGTCACAAAAGTATTTAATGATGATGTGGTTTAACGCACTGTTGGACAAAGCTAAAAGTAAATAACACAACAACCTGTGGGTTAGGGTTTGCACCCGTTAGCATGTTTACATCAACTGTTAGCGAAGCTTCCATGTTGGGACTGTCCAATTGGAGTTTCCAGTCTATTTGACATGAAATTGTGTCTTATAGCTATTAAAACTAATATAAACATAATTAGTCTATTAACTATGAACCGGCAACACCCTTACTCTACAACAATCAATAGTTACTTTGGCCGCTGAGTTTAATTAATTTGGAAAACGTTGTGACTTGTCCGGCACTATGGTAGACCTATTCGGCTGTTTGAAACTTTAAATGCATTGTTTTCGGTTTTGATAATTGCCGAAAACTAATATTCCTGGTGGATCTACATGTATTCCTCAACACTGACCGTTTATGTGAATTCCTAAATTGTTGGTGTTGACCCCCAGGTGACTGCAAGTACAAGTTTGGCCCCTGGGGACCCTGCGACGCTGCCACCAACACAAAGAGCCGATCGGGAAACCTGAAGAAGGCCCTGTTCAACGCCGACTGCCGAGACACCGTGAGCGTGTCCAAGCCCTGCTCCCCCAAAGTCAAGAAGACGAGAGGCGAGTGATGCACCACGTCTGCACACACACTCCTTCATAAAGTGGACTGACCGAGTGTGACATCACCCTAGCGTTAGCCTTACTGCAGAAGAGGCCAATTTGAGCATAAGCTAGCTGGCGCCAATTTCCTCATACGGGCAATTTTTCCTCGGTGTTAGCTTTGCGCCGTAACAGGGGCAGACGTGTTGCTAAGGCAAGCTGTAGTTTCCAAGGTAAAAGAAGCCATCTGATTGGTCAATTTTCACATTGTCGTTTCACGCGCTTTTCTGGATTTGCAAAGACGATATAAAAAATATAAACACCAGGATCAGAAAGAGCCATAAACCACCATTTTTTTAAGCCCAAAATGGTGAGTGTGACAACGATTACTTTCAAGTCAATAGCAGCCAAACTCCATCCATGAGCGCTTCTCTGTTGGGCTTCATTGAGCTGGATCTCTAAGCACATGACTCCATCTAGTGGTTACACGCAGTATAACATCTAGCAAACGGAAAGGATTGCAATACATTGAATTTTGTTGTAATTTCATGTTTTTCTTTTTCAGGAGACAAGAAAACTGCTTAAGCAAAGGGAGCGAATGGGACCAAGTGTCTTCCTTCATGAAAATGCAAAACACAGACTCCTCCAAAAGTAATTTTATTTAGACTTTTGTTTCCTGATGGGTTTATGATATTTTTAAATGAGCTTTCTTGGCTTTCTTATGTTACGTAAAGGTAAATAACTGTCCCCTAGCTTAGCACCCATTTCTAACCATATTACTTTCTTTCTTCTTTTTTTTTTCTACAAAAGGGTTCTTGAATCTAAAATGTGTTTAGAAGAATTTGGGGCATGTACAAACACTGCAACGGTTAGCAAAGGTTGTCTATAAATCTATTTTTGATTAATGATGATGCTTGTACAAATGAACAAATTAAAATAATGTACATTGTTTTAACTCGTTTGGCTTTTTTTCTTTCGTTCATTAACAAAAATCGTATTTGTTTGATAATAAATTCGATCTCTCATGATTGTACCCTTTGGGGCACCAAAGACGACTTATGGCGGCCTCTAGTGGTCAAACAATATACACATACAATCTCTATGCGTTTCCATTGCACTGTAGTGGCTGGTACCGTATCCTAGCAACATGCTCACAACGAACCAGTATCCGAGGATATTTCCCCCCAAAAAGATTGTTTTTTTTAATTTATTTATTGTAGAGTAGAGTGGGCCCAAGGAAGGGCTGGTGGAAACGAGGCAAGACCCTTTTTTAGTGGCCCACTAAAAAAGGGTCAATTAAAACTATCACCAAATATTTGTATATCAAAATGCCTTCATAGTGTAAAAAATACTTTTTAATTCTAATGTATAATTTAAACTTTTTGACTAAGAAAACCCCTTTTATACTGTTGTCTCTCTGACAGCTCTTATTTTTTAATCCAGCCTCAGACAAAAATGTTCTTGACGCCGCTGCTGAAATTATTACTGTTCCTGCATCTGACTGGATTTAATGATGTCACATTGTCCTTTCACATGTCTTTATTTACAAACAGACGTTCAACAGATTCTCCCGGTTTAGTCAAGAGAAAATGAACACTCAGATGTTTTTGATGGCACAAAAGATCAATACAAATGAGAGGTAAAGGCTAGGAAGGATAAGGAAGAGAGTGTTTTGTATGAATTTAGATGCAACCATTTCAGTCCTTTTGGTCGTTTGCTGTGGTCCGTTCAGATCAAATGTCAAACTTCTCTTCACAAACGCAGTGTCCATTTTCCTCAAAGTCATCGCGCGTCACCACCATCTCCTCGTAGTCCGGATTCTGGGCCAGAAGTTTCCCTCCTTCCCAAGAATACGTGATGGGACTGCAAAGGACAGAATTTGGAAAACAGTATAAGCAACCTCTCCTCTCTTCATCCTTCTTTCCCCTATCTCCCATTCCTCCCTCCATCCTTCCTTCCCTATCTCCCCTTCCTTCCTCAAGTCATGTGTTGTCAGTCCTGTTTGGTTCTGAGAACAAAATGACAGCAGAATGAATTAAAATCTAATCAGACAGAGAAGGGCCATGTTTATGAAGTTGAAATATAAAATAACTAGGGCTGTCAAAATTATCGCGTTAACGCACGTTAATTAATTGTATTCATTAATCGCGTTTAAAAAATTAACGCAGTTAACGCATGCCCACGCATCCCATAATAACACTCAGAATGCCACGGACACGTGCGTGTGTTGGTGACAGAGCAGGTCTCTGGGAATCTACGTTTCAAAATAATACACACATGATACAATACACGTGTGAACTCTGCGAGCTGAGCTGCGGCACGCACAGATGTGCGTGTCTTTGTGTAACCGGTAAACACAAAAAATACAGAACAGAAGCTGGACAACCTCAGTCTCCTCTGTGTCTTCTCCTGAAGCGCACTCGCTAAGTTAAAGCTGGGTACCTAATTTTCACTTCCACTATCAGTTCATGACAGATTTAATGACATTCTGCATTTCTGACTCTTTTGAAATGTCCCTCCTCTGTAACAAACAATAGTTTTGGTCTGAGTCTAAACAGAATGAATGTTAATAATGTTAATCCAATTTTATATGGATTTATTGTAATAATAAACAAATACAGTTCATATGTTCACTAAGCTGTCATTTATCTTTCCATTCAAACAACCATTTACAGAAAAATATGGCATCATTTTGCCAATAGTTTGAAATGCAATTAATTACGATTAATTAATGTTTTTGCTGTAATTAACTCAATTAAAAATGTTAATTGTTTGACAGCCCTAAAAATAACACACTCCATCCATTTTCTTCCCCTTAAACCATTTCTGGGTCGGGGGGTGGCAGTCAGAGCTGCACCCAGTCCACTTAGCCCCTCACTGATCCTCCTGCAGGTGGTGAGTCCACAGGAGCTGAGATCTTTCAGCAGGGGCTTCAGGCAAAGTGGGGTTAAGTGTCTTGCCCAAGGACACGACAGCAGTCATCAGTGGGAGTCGTGAAGGAGCTCTTATGGTGGGCTTGAACCCACGACCTTCAGGCTCAAAGGCCAATGCTCTACCAACTGAGCCACTGTCGCCCCATATAAAAAAATAAAATAATAACATACTAATTTTACCAAATCTCTAAGAATAATCAGTTGAGTTGTTTCTGTGCTGACTCACTTGTCCGGCAGCAGGATGGACACTGGGAGGTGTGCGGGGGCCAGGGACCTCAGCTCGGCCTCCAGTCTCTCTCTGAACCCTGGGAACAGACTGTTGCCTCCGGTCAGCACAATGTTCTGGTAGAAGTGTGGCTGCATCTCTGGGAAAAAAACAACAACACATCACATTAAGAACATCTTGATTGTACAGGGACTACAAATTAGAATGTTTTGCCTATTGCAGCGGTTCATGACCTTTACCCCTGGTGTTAGGGGCTGGTCAGGAGCCAGTTTTTAGCCTATTCTGTAACGGTCCAATACCATTCTCCATCGTTGACATCTTGATCCTGAATTGAATCTAGTCTGCTCTAGTCTAGTCTAGTCTACTCACTAAAGTGTTCTAACATGACCAGATTGACCAGAGTGTTGCGGAAATTTCCACGGATACTGGTTTGCTAGGATACAGTACCAAATACTGAAATGTAATGGTACTGTAACTTAAGCTTAATCGAAAAACAACCAGGTAGACTAGCCCTGAGTAGAGTAGAGTACAGTAGAGTAGGGAAGTGTAGAGTAGAATAGAGTAGAGTCCAGTAGGGCTGATGGAAACGGGGCTAATGATACTAGGAATACCCAACTGGAAACTTAAGCCCCTATTTTAAAGCCTTGACACACAAAGCTGATACTTTTTCGCTTACTGCAGGTCACTTTTAGGCCGTGGTCCCGGTGATAAACAAGGGACCATAGCACAGTATTATGCAGTATTACACAGTACATACATTACAAGAATGACGCTGCGTTCTTACCCTCTGGCATGGCCTGGATAGAGTGGACGATGGCCTCTGGGATCCCCATCTCCTGGATGCTGATGTCCGAGGGGTGGAACAGCATTTCGGGGACAGCAAAACGCTCATTGACCAAACGCAGAATCTGCTCCCCAGTTTTATATTTCCCACTGAACACCATTTCTTCTCTTGGCTGCGGTGAGAAAAGCACCATGAAGCCACAGTCTGGTGAGGATTTGTTGTAAATAGCTTACTTTGCAGAAACCCTTTTTGATGGAGCTGAAGTCCGGAAGAACATAGTCTCTCATCACCATGTTATCTTCTCCTTTTCGCCTGAAATAAAAATAGAACCAATCCTTACAGTATGTCCATCCATCCATTTTCTTCCCCTTTATCCATTGCCGGGTCACGGGGGCAGCAGTCTAAGTAGAAACGCCCAGACTTCCCTCTCCACACACTTCCTCCAGCTCATCCACGGGGGAATCCTGAGGCGTTCCCAGGCCAACTGAGAGACACAGTCCCTCCAGCGTGTTCTGGGTCATACGCTGGACTGAGAGACTTAAACTCCTCCACTTGTAGAAAAAATCTGCTCCTGGAGAGGACAAGGACCTTTCTCTGGTCGAGCTCCATGGCCTCAGATCTCAAACCACAAGCACAATACATATGCATCTCCTTAACGCATGACTAGAGGACTGTAATGTTGTCCATTCAAATTACGCAGGAGTGTAGTCTGGAGACCACATCACCCATGTCCTCAAACAACTCCACTGGCTCCCTGTTCCTTACCGCATGAAATACAAGGTTCTCCTTCTCACCTACAAGTCCCTTCATAACCTCGCCTCTTCTTACCTCACTGACCTCCTCCATCATCACTGTCCCACCCGCCGCCTCAGATCCTCACTTCAACCTCCTCACTACCATCAGAACAGAACAAAACAAACCATGGGGGACCGAGCCTTTGCTGCAGCTGCCCCCACTCTCTGGAACTCACTCCCACCACACATTAGGAACTCACTACAGAAGCTCAAATCACTTCTCAAAACCCACCTGCTCAAAACTGCCTACACTTAACTGTTTATTTTTAGTTTCTTATCTTTCTTCTGTGAAGGGTCTTTGAGAGTCCAAAAAGCACTATATAAGTACAATGTACCATTATTATTATTATTATTATTAAGGAGTGTCCAAACCGGTCAAGAAAGTATGTATAGTTGTAGTAAATTTAAGAAATGTATGCAGATTTTTATCTAGGCATGCCTTACTCTATTCTCTACTAGGGGTGCAACGGTTTGAAAAAATCACGGTTCGGTTCGTACCTCGGTTCAGAGGCCACGGTTCGGTTCATTTTTCGGTTCATTTTTCAAAAAAAAAGTTTTTTAATAAACACAGCTCATGTGGACTCGGCTCCTGCTCTGACTGCCCCCCCTGACCTAGAAATGAATTAAGGGGAAGGAAATGGATGGATGGATGGATGGAAGGCATATTCCTTCCATCCAATTATGTCTATTTAACATAATTAATGGAAAACAACACAAAGTGCAACATAAGAAGGCACTTTATGAGGATATTTACCCTCATATATTACACCACCTTCCTGATTCTCCCAAGGAGGCGCTCCATTCTGGGCCCAGCCTCATTCACTGCATTTGTTTAATTTTTTGCATTATCAGTTGTGACTGGGATATTAGTACTGGGCCTTTGTCTTCCATTCCTCCACTGCTGTGTCAGTACCTGCGCTGTGTGACAGTGTGACTGTCGTAGAGGGGGCGTGTCTGCAGCGCCAGACTTTTCATCTCCCAGTCTGCGGTGATGAAGTGAGCGGTTCCGGTCATGGATCTATTATAGGTTCCGCGGGACGTCCAAGCGTCAGTCGTGAGCGCAGCTGAGGATGCGCGGGAGAGTTGACTTTAGCCCGGTCTGACTGTGCGTAAAGGAGCTGCTTAAACGCCGCGACAATAAGCGGTCGTTTAGACGCTTTTTTCACTCATGTCTTTCTTGTGCCACAGTGCTTACACATCGTGACAGTTTTGTCGAATATTAATTATCAGTGTAGTTACAGTGAAGCCAAAATGCTCTCATACTGGGGATTTAAATGACGCGGGGCTTTCAAGCATCTCCGTTCCTCCGCTCGCAATGACCGCGCTGTGTGTGGACTGAACAACGTGCGCACAACTTTTTTTTCATAAATCAAACCGCGGATCACGTCTGTACCAAACCGAAGACGTTGAACCGAACGGATCACGGATCAGTGATGAACCGTTGCACCTCTATTCTCTACTTTAACTGGTTTGCACCGAGAGCCAAAGCAATTTCCTAGTTTGTGACAATAAAGTAATCCTGAATCTGAGAAAGGGCCTCAAATCATCAGGTTAAGACTGAACTCACTTGACGAAATGGGAGGAGTCTGCTCTGCTGGGTCTGATAGAAAACCTGCAGCCACAGTGGCCCTCTCTGGACCGGTTTGGACACTTCTGTTTAATACAACTCTAAAAACTGGCTTACTGTGCGATTTCCATGTCTTTGTAAAAGTCCTGCGACACGTAGCAGACGTCCTCTTTCACTTGGTTTATGACATGCGTCTCATCCATGACATGAAGCTGCCTGAAACAGTCCGAAAATGGCATTGCATGACAAGCTAATATTACTACTGCGAGTCACACAGACGAAATATCCAGTAATTACCGATATGAAATGATCTCTTTGAGGTGATTTGTCAGTAGTTTCCCTCCCACATTTATTCTATGAAACGAAATACAAGTTTTAGGTAAATACGGTAAATGAGCTGAATTCTGTCTACAAACTTTTGTATTGTTTGAATCTGGCTCTCACCTGCGAATACCGTCCTTCATCTTCCTGCTCCGACAGTACGGAACAATGTGAGTGAAGGAGAAACCGGTGTCTATAACCAAACAACACAACTCTTTGGGGTTTGTGTTGAAATAATGGTGAGCGCTCAGTGATCCAGCTGAAAGACACAGACATTTTAGTTTGGTTATTTCTATATATTTTGATGGTATATAAACCCTCAGGGCCGAGTCTTCTAAAGATGGCTTCCAGCAGCAATCTGGCCAATCATGGTCGGTTAGAACATTTGAGAACAAGCTTGACCTGGCTAGAAACAGGGCCAAGTAGGGCCGGTGGAAACGCTCACAATCAGGGTAGAGCCGAGTCGAGTCGAGTAGAGTAGAGTAGAGTAGAGCTGGTGGAAACAGGACTTTTATAGTTTTATAAGACTCACCATTTGTCCTCAGAACTGACTGAAACTGATATTCCTCAAACAGGATCTCGTTCATCGACTCTTGGATTGACATGAAGTTGAAGTACGGCTCAGTGATGACAATGCTGGTGTCGGCAAAATCCACCTGAACATTTTGTGAAAAGAAGTAGACTTTAGCATCAGAAATATATATCAGAAAAGAACAAACAATGATTGTGTTCTTTAAATGAAAGTCCACACAGTTTCAAAGTACAAGAACACACAAACCTGGAACTTTTCTTTCCCGAAAAGATGATCCCACACCTTCCTTTGGACATCCCAGTTTACCAGATAACCCTGACACACAGCAGGGAGAGTAGCACAAATATTAATACAAATAATAATAATAACTATTATGGTTTGTGTTATTAGTATTAGTAGTAGTAACAGTACTAGTAGCAGAGGCAGTTATAGTAGTAGTAGCAGTAGTAGTTGTAGTCGATGCAAGTAGTAGCAGTAGCAGCAGCAGCAGCATTGGTATCAGTAGTAGTAGTTAGTACCAGCACTAGTAACAGATTGCACTATTATCTGATACAAGATTGCACATACTTTCTGAAAAGGCAGAATATAAAAGAGCCCAGAGGGATCCTTTATTTCATCAAGTTGGTTTGCAGTAAACGTCTTCAGTCTCGAGGTCTTGGAGCGGAACTGGCAGTTAGGTATCACACTGTAAGTAATAAATATACAATGAATATGTTAATAGTTAAATGGACCCATAATTCTGCGGATACATATGAAAACAGTTATTATAGACACTGGAGGCAGGTGGCGTCTCCCATATCTTTGTCATGATGCAACTGGTCTGAATATTCAATTCATTGTATTTATGTACAGCCCTAAATCCCAACAGCTTTCCTCTGCAGTCACTAAGAAAATAAGAATCAGATAAGAGAATCAGATGAGATAATTGCAGATAAGAGCAATTCATTTTACTATTTGAAAACATAACCTTTATCCATAGCAGTGGTTTACAAGTCAAAAAACCTATAAATTTTGAATGGGGAAAAGGTCCAGAAATATTGAAGGTGAAACCTCATGAAGCTTTGTACATTTTTGATTAATTATTTAGTTTTTAATTGTTTACAAGAAGTTCAGTTCAAGTTTGCCACCCCTGCACTAACATGTCATGGATGCACCAAAGAACATCCGTAACATTTGTTAGTGCCAAACCTACATGAATTCTGAGGAGCACAGGGACTGGCCTCCTGCTGGTCTACAGAGTCAGGACGAAACACGGGAGGGCAGCGTTTCAGATTTATGCAGCTAAAAGCTAAAACAGTCTTCCTGAAAATATGAGACAGTCTACTACTCTGACAATGATCAAATCCAGATTAAAACAGTTCTGTTTAGCTGTGCTCAAACTGAAGATTTAAAGAAGATTTCAAACTGAAGACTCCACTCTTTGTGATTATTTATTGTATGAATGCCTAGTGTAATTTAAAGTGTCTATCTTGTTTTGTTTGACACTTTGAGCGCCTTGTGTACGAACTGTGCCATACAAATAAACTTGCCTTGTATTTTATTGCATCGTTAAATGTGTGATAGTTTGAACGTTAGGAACCGCATCTTTCAGTAGAAGTAAGCTGTGTTATAATGACAACAGCACATGTGTAGGTAATCCATATAATTTATCTGTGACGTTAGCTTAGCTTCGTTAGACTCACCTCACTGTTTCATGGCTGTATCCTATTTTAGCAGTGTAGGCTCCATTGTCGAGGATCAACGTTGCCATGGCTACCGAATCTTACAGTAAATAATAGCTTTCAGCAGCACAAATACGGCTCACATCCTTATGAGTGTTGTGGCTGTGTTATTGTAATAGATCCATGTGTTCTACTGGCTCAACAAGCATTAGCCAATCACAAAGGAGCATTGCATTCCGTCCAAAATAGTGGCTCGACTTGAAACACTATTCAAACATTTACCATTAAAACTCAATAAACGTCAAATGTATCTAAAAAATTCCCCTGAATATTGGTTCTATAAATATTGTAATAAATTAATATTGAGGATTCACATTTTTTTCCTCACATTTTTTCTAATTATTGTGAAACCGGAACTATCATCTATGCATGCTAGCGAGTCGGTCGGTTCGCTGTTGTGTGGTCTGTAGTTAGCTTAGAGATTTTTTTTCCTGTTTGGTAAATTAATCTGTTTTGTTTTCTATGTAGCATCTTCATTTATTGTATTCGCGTTGGATCATATTTGGTTGATTCGGGTGACGTGTTGTATGCGTAGAAAAAATGATTAGACTAGCATTCAGGGGATGACAACAACGACGCTAGCTAGCCAACGCTAAACTAAACACCTGTGCTAAAGCTATTACCCTCATAATACATGTTCATAAACGGATCGTGTTAGTGCGGGGAAGGTGTGGGCCGTTTGAAAATCTGAGTTGAGTTTGTAGACATGGCGGAGGCGTATGGAGACAGCTCTGACTCTGATGGTCCTGGGTTGAACCGAGGCCGTCTGCTGGACCCCACGGAACTGCTCTGCAACGACCTGTCCATCATAGCACCTGATACACCCAGGTAGAAAAGAAGGATCAGGGCGATGAGTCCATGGGGTGTGGGGGGATGTCAAAGCTGTTGTTACAAATCAGAATGTACCTATTCAATGGCCTGTCCTGTTAGTTTGTCAAAAGTTAGTTTGACTTTGTGTTCCCTCAGATTTTTTTTTTGTATAAGAAGGAATATTTTGTACAGTTGCCAGTTTAATCCTCACTTGCTAAAACCTCAGACACTGCAGGAAGTGTGTCTGTGTCTGTGGATACCATAGACTGTGTATAGATCGATAATGCTAATCCTCTAGTCTAGCTTTATTAAGCCCAATTAGGAAGTGCTCATGGACAAAGTGTTTCTCCGATTCGCTCTGGCCCCTATTGACTGAAACTCAAAACTCATAGCTCAGTGACTGTCACACTCACCATTTGGGATTAAAACTAACCCAATCTCTGTGACTTTGTAAATCCAGATATGAGTCATATAAGATTGACCAAAAAGATGCCATTATATTTGGAGGAAACTCCTGCTTGCCTTAGCCACGGTCTTAGCAACACATCTGCCCCTGTTACAGAAAGAAGCTAACGCAGCAGAAAAAATGCCTATAAGGAATGTGGCTCCTCCTAGCTTGTGTTCACATCAGCTTCTTCTTCAGGCTAACACTATGTTGATGTCCAACTTGCTCAGTCCGCTCCTGATATACAGTCTATGGTGGAGACACCCTTTGTTTAGATGAATATGGCTACACCAGTAAAAGAAGATTAAAAATATGTTATCTACAAGTAAACATTTTTTGCCTTCAAACTGTTTGTGAAATTATGAGTACATGTTTTTTGTTTTTCACAGCCCCCAGATTGGAAAACGGAGAAGGGCACGCAGCAACCGGGATGGTCAATTGAGTCCTGTAAGTTAAAGTTATAAACCTCATAATCAAATCACATGGTGTCCAGTTAAAGCAGTCGTGTTTGTTTTGTTAAGTTACTTTACAACATCAAAACCTGGAGCTTTAAAGTGCGGCCTGTGGACTCACTGTACATTCTCTTCCAATGTAGCTGTGGTTCCTATACAGGTGTCGGTGACGTAGCCTATAGCTGTGCACGCTGATTCGCTATTATGGTTTTTCTCTCCCCTGTCAATCATCTCCTGGAGGCGGGGCTTCTGGAGCTCGAGCTGCGTGTGAAAGCGTGCTACGTAACAAAGTGAATCGTTTTGCTTCCTCTGGAGAATGAAAGAGAAAGATTCCTCGCTAAGTGAAGCTTGTGGGAATCAATGAAAAAACTACTCTGGGCTAGCCTGGCCATAGCCATCCATAAACTCCGGTCAATTCTCTTTTCCCTGCATTTATTGTCTGGGTCAAGTCCCAGTGTCTGCAATTACATCGGGTGTATTCCATCCGACCAATCAGCGAGCGCAGGAGGCGGTGTTGTAGTTAGATGTGGGTGACTTCAAGAGTTTGCACTGAATTGGCTGGTCGTAGTTTGGCAATGGCAGAGAATGCGATAGTAAAGAATTCCGTTCTGGTTCTATCAAGAAATTGAAGCCTGAGCAATAGGAATGCTTAGCAAATGTGATTGCTGGCAAAGATTGTGGCACTGCTCCCCACGGGCTCCGTCAGCAGCAAAGGCTAGGCTAAATGCTAAATGCTAGCGACTCACTCGGGCGCACTGCATACGTCACAGTAAACTCTGATCCAATCGTTTCAATCTGCAAAAGGAGTTGACCCTTCCCACCTGTTAACGGAGCTCAATGGAGCACCTCCAGACTTTAGTATGAAATTAAATTTGTACGATGGTGTGGTACGACCAGGCTAACTCTGGGCATGTATATCAAGGTTAATTAGCATCATATTTAATCCAGAGTGTAGAATGGGACCTTTAACTGATGTGGCCTTTGTGTGATTTCTCCCTTGTCCCTGTGTTGCAGCAGGCTGCCGTCTGTGCTTCATCCAGAGTGTCTGAATTCACCCGGGCCTCCTCTCGCCGGCCCAAACGACAGAAGCTCAACAACACCGCAGCAAACTCAAATGTTGGGTTTTTCTCTACCGCATCGGCCGAGGAGTTTCCTTTGGGCAGCTGGCTCGAGGCTCCACGTCCCAGCACTTCCTCCTCCTCCTCCTCCTCCTCCTCCTCCTCCTTCTTCTCGTCGTCGTCCTCCTCATCCTCCTCTTCCTCCTCGTCTTTGTCTTTCTTGAGCCATGGCTCTGAACAGGACAGCGCCTCCACCTCCACTGAATCCCCAGAGGAGGTTTCCCCCGTGCGTCCGTATTCACAGCCCTCTCCTCCGGCTCAGAGACTCTCCAGTCCCGGGTCTCTGTCCTTCCTCACAGACGAAGAGCGGAGGTGGCTGAACGGAGTGCAGACGCCGACGCCGACCGGTGAGGATGGGCGCCAGCGTGTGAAAATAGCGTGTTCTCTGTAGTCTTATTGTAGTCATGGGTTTTGATGCCAGTAAAAAAATAATAACTGGGAAAAATACACAGTTGTACTTATAATATCTGTCCATTTCTGCCTCTGAAATGCAATGTGGCAGCACCTGCACGTGAAAGCCAGATCCAATCAGACCTCTAAAGCCCAGTAGGGGGGGGCCTGGTTAGTGCTGTGATGGGAGACCTCTGGGAACAGCGGGTGCCACAGTGGAACGGCTGCGGCTATAAAGTGCCAAACTGTCGTCTTGGGTTAGACATTTAACCCACATTACTGAGAATGAGTCTGGTGTGAGCATTAAGGCAAGGCAAGGCAAGGCAAGTTTATTTGTATAGCACAATTCATACACAAGGCAACTCAAAGTGCTGAACAAGATAGCATTAAAATCATAAATAATCACAGAACATTAAAAAGAAAGATAAAAATATAAAATCCCTCAGTTGTATGCACAGCTAAACAGCACCGTTTTTAACTTGGTTTTAAACATTGTCAGAGAGGAGGCCTGTCTCACATCTTCAGGAAGAATGTTCCAGATTTTAGCAGCATCTGAAAAGCAGCCTCCCCATGTTTAGTTCTGACTCTGGGCACTAACAGGAGTCCAGTCCCTGTGCTCCTCAGAGTCCGGGCTGGTTCATATGGGACTAACATGTCACTAATATATTTTGGTGCGAGGCCATGGAGAGACTTGTACACAAGCAGAGCTGTTTTAAAGTCTATTCTCTGAGCCACAGGAAGCCATACTTAAGCATCTCTGAGTATGTCCAAAAGAGCGCTATATTAAAAAAAACGATGAATTTTTTTTAAAAATCAAAGACACCTCACATCCTTATTTTTTCACTCCATACACAGTGATAAACTACTTCTGTAGCCACAGCTGCCCTGGGGCACACTGACAGGAAGAGAGGCAACCAGTACGTGCCCTCCGACCACCTCCAGCCCTTTCTGTGTGGACTTTTCATGTCTTCCCTTCACCTGTTGCAGTCGAGGAGATCGTGATCAGTGACGAGGACGACGACGCAGTGGTTCGTACGGCGCAGCTGGAGGAAGACGAGGCCATGGCTCGAAGTTTACAGGTAAAACACACAGACTGTAGACAGACGGACAATACTAACCCTGAGCTCAATGAAGAGAATGGGGAAGTTCAGCTCGCTCTGGTTTCTTTTGACTTGGGCTGAAAAGTAAACTCCAATAGCTAAGTGACCGTTTGCGTCACACATCCTTGGTTTAGTGCTCTATGATCCTGGGTTTATAGTTTGATATTTGTAAATCCAAGTGTGAGTATTGATAATTCTAGATATTTAGCTCCTAAAATTGTGTGTGTGTGTGTATTGTGCGTGAATCTTATATGTAGTTAAGATTAAGAAATCCTTTATGCGTCCCACAGTGGGGAAATTTCAGCGTCAAGGCTTAGAAAGTTATTTTGTTTACCATGTTTAGACTCCTGCCTTTGTCACAGCTCTTAACAAACCTTTTAAGTCTTAAACAAATGAAGACATCGTGAACTTTTTACACTTTCCTGTGGTGTAGTCGTCTGTATCTGCCTCCTCCTTCTCACTCTGGTCTCTCCTCACTCTGGTCTCTCCTCACTCTGGTCTCTCCTCACTCTGGTCTCTCCTCACTCTGGTCTCCCCTCACTCTGGTCTCTCCTCACTCTGGTCTTCCGTCACTCTGGTCTTCCGTCACTCTGGTCTCTCCTCACTCTGGTCTCTCCTCACTCTGGTCTCTCCTCACTCTGGTCTTCCGTCACTCTGGTCTTCCGTCACTCTGGTCTCTCCTCACTCTGGTCTCTCCTCACTCTGGTCTCTCCTCACTCTGGTCTCTCCTCACTCTGGTCTCTCCTCACTCTGGTCTCTCCTCACTCTGGTCTCTCCTCACTCTGGTCTCTCCTCACTCTGGTTTCTCCTCACTCTGGTCTCTCCTCACTCTGGTCTCCCCTCACTCTGGTCTCTCCTCACTCTGGTCTCCCCTCACTCTGGTTTCCCCTCACTCTGGTCTCTCCTCACTCTGGTCTCCCCTCACTCTGGTCTCCCCTCACTCTGGTCTCCCCTCACTCTGGTCTCTCCTCACTCTGGTCTCTCCTTACTCTGGTCTCTCCTCACTCTGGTCTCCACTCACTCTGGTCTCCACTCACTCTGGTCTCTCCTCACTCTGGTCTCTCCTCACTCTGGTCTCTCCTCACTCTGGTCTCTCCTCACTCTGGTCTCTCCTCACTCTGGTCTCCCCTCACTCTGGTCTCCCCTCACTCTGGTCTCTCCTCACTCTGGTCTCTCCTCACTCTGGTCTCTCTTCACTCTGGTCTCTCCTCACTCTGGTCTCTCTTCACTCTGGTCTCTCTTCACTCTGGTCTCCCCTCACTCTGGTCTCCCCTCACTCTGGTCTCCCCTCACTCTGGTCTCCCCTCACTCTGGTCTCCCCTCACTCTGGTCTCTCCTCACTCTGGTCTCTCCTCACTCTGGTCTATCCTCACTCTAGTCTCTCCTCACTCTGGTCTCTCTTCACTCTGGTCTCCCGTCACTCTGGTCTCCCGTCACTCTGGTGTCCCCTCACTCTGGTCTCTCCTCACTCTGGTCTCTCTTCACTCTGGTCTCCCCTCACTCTGGTCTCCCGTCACTCTGGTCTCCCCTCACTCTGGTCTCCCCTCACTCTGGTCTCCCCTCACTCTGGTCTCTCCTCACTCTGGTCTCCCCTCACTCTGGTCTCACTCTGGTCTCCCCTCACTCTGGTCTCCCCTCACTCTGGTCTCCCCTCACTCTGGTCTCCCCCTCACTCTGGTCTCCCCTCACTCTGGTCTCCCCTCACTCTGGTCTCTCCTCACTCTGGTCTCTCCTCACTCTGGTCTCTCTTCACTCTGGTCTCTCCTCACTCTGGTCTCTCTTCACTCTGGTCTCTCTTCACTCTGGTCTCCCCTCACTCTGGTCTCCCCTCACTCTGGTCTCCCCTCACTCTGGTCTCCCCTCACTCTGGTCTCTCCTCACTCTGGTCTCTCCTCACTCTGGTCTATCCTCACTCTAGTCTCTCCTCACTCTGGTCTCTCTTCACTCTGGTCTCCCGTCACTCTGGTCTCCCGTCACTCTGGTGTCCCCTCACTCTGGTCTCTCCTCACTCTGGTCTCTCTTCACTCTGGTCTCCCCTCACTCTGGTCTCCCGTCACTCTGGTCTCCCCTCACTCTGGTCTCCCCTCACTCTGGTCTCCCCTCACTCTGGTCTCTCCTCACTCTGGTCTCCCCTCACTCTGGTCTCACTCTGGTCTCCCCTCACTCTGGTCTCCCCTCACTCTGGTCTCTCCTCACTCTGGTCTCCCCTCACTCTGGTCTCCCCCTCACTCTGGTCTCCCCTCACTCTGGTCTCTCCTCACTCTGGTCTCTCCTCACTCTGGTCTCTCCTCACTCTGGTCTCTCCTCACTCTGGTCTCCCCTCACTCTGGTCTCTCCTCACTCTGGTCCCACTCTGGTCTCCCCTCACTCTGGTCTCCCCTCACTCTGGTCTCTCCTCACTCTGGTCTCCCCTCACTCTGGTCTCTCCTCACTCTGGTCTCTCCTCACTCTGGTCTCTCCTCACTCTGGTCTTCCGTCACTCTGGTCTTCCGTCACTCTGGTCTCTCCTCACTCTGGTCTCTCCTCACTCTGGTCTCTCCTCACTCTGGTCTCTCCTCACTCTGGTCTCTCCTCACTCTGGTCTCTCCTCACTCTGGTCTCCCCTCACTCTGGTCTCTCCTCACTCTGGTCTCTCCTCACTCTGGTCTCTCCTCACTCTGGTCTCTCCTCACTCTGGTTCTCTCCTCACTCTGGTCTCTCCTCACTCTGGTCTCTCCTCACTCTGGTCTCTCCTCACTCTGGTCTCTCCTCACTCTGGTCTCCCCTCACTCTGGTTTCCCCTCACTCTGGTCTCTCCTCACTCTGGTCTCCCCTCACTCTGGTCTCCCCTCACTCTGGTCTCCCCTCACTCTGGTCTCTCCTCACTCTGGTCTCTCCTCACTCTGGTCTCTCCTCACTCTGGTCTCCACTCACTCTGGTCTCTCCTCACTCTGGTCTCTCCTCACTCTGGTCTCTCCTCACTCTGGTCTCTCCTCACTCTGGTCTCTCCTCACTCTGGTCTCCCCTCACTCTGGTCTCCCCTCACTCTGGTCTCTCCTCACTCTGGTCTCTCCTCACTCTGGTCTCTCTTCACTCTGGTCTCTCCTCACTCTGGTCTCTCTTCACTCTGGTCTCTCTTCACTCTGGTCTCCCCTCACTCTGGTCTCCCCTCACTCTGGTCTCCCCTCACTCTGGTCTCTCCTCACTCTGGTCTCTCCTCACTCTGGTCTATCCTCACTCTGGTCTCTCCTCACTCTGGTCTCTCTTCACTCTGGTCTCCCGTCACTCTGGTCTCCCGTCACTCTGGTGTCCCCTCACTCTGGTCTCTCCTCACTCTGGTCTCTCTTCACTCTGGTCTCCCCTCACTCTGGTCTCCCGTCACTCTGGTCTCCCCTCACTCTGGTCTCCCCTCACTCTGGTCTCTCCTCACTCTGGTCTCCCCTCACTCTGGTCTCACTCTGGTCTCCCCTCACTCTGGTCTTTCCTCACTCTGGTCTCCCCTCACTCTGGTCTCTCCTCACTCTGGTCTCTCCTCACTCTGGTCTCCCCTCACTCTGGTCTCACTCTGGTCTCCCCTCACTCTAGTCTCCCCCTCACTCTGGTCTCCCCTCACTCTGGTCTCTCCTCACTCTGGTCTCTCCTCACTCTGGTCTCTCCTCACTCTGGTCTCTCCTCACTCTGGTCTCTCCTCACTCTGGTCTCTCCTCACTCTGGTCTCCCCTCACTCTGGTCTCTCCTCACTCTGGTCCCATCCTGGTCTCCCCTCACTCTGGTCTCCCCTCACTCTGGTCTCTCCTCACTCTGGTCTCCCCTCACTCTGGTCTCTCCTCACTCTGGTCTCCCCTCACTCTGGTCTCCCCTCACTCTGGTCTCTCCTCACTCTGGTCTCTCCTCACTCTGGTCTCTCCTCACTCCGGTCTTTCCTCACTCTGGTCTCTCCTCACTCCGGTCTTTCCTCACTCTGGTCTCCCCTCACTCTGGTCTCCCCTCACTCTGGTCTCTCCTCACTCTGGTCTCTCCTCACTCTGGTCTCACTCTGGTCTCACTCTGGTCTCCCCTCACTCTGGTCTCACTCTGGTCTCACTCTGGTCTCTCCTCACAGGCTCAGTTTGACCGAGAACAGGACACACACAGGAATCATCTTCATCATCATCATCACCACCATCACCTGCTTCAGTCTCCAGCTCCTCTCGGCAACACGGTGCGTTGAACATAACAGTCTAAATGTGTGTCTGTTGTGTAGCAGTTTCTGTTGTGTATCTGTGTCAGAATGTGTTGCGTTCAGTGTCCCTCACTACGTCGCGGCCCACTTTTCGCAGCCTCCTCCTTTTGCAGATTTGTGTGTGATTGTGCACAGCGTGTATACTCCAACATTGTATAACAGCTAGTGTAGCATGAAAACATCCTGTACTCTCTGTCCCTGGTATCTCTCTGGTCTCTCTCTCTGGTCTCTCTCTCTGGTCTCTCTTTCTGGTCCCTCTCTCTGGTCTCTCTCTCTTTGGTCCTTCTCTCTTTGGTCCCTCTCTCTAGTCCCTCTCTCTAGTCCCTCTCATTAGTCCCTCTCTCCCTGGTTCCTCTCTCTGGTCTCTCTGGCCCCTCTCTATGGTCTCTCTTTCTGGTCCCTCTCTGGTCTCTCTCTGGTCTCTCTGGTCTCTCTCTGGTCTCTCTCTGGTCTCTCTCTCTCTGTCTCTGTCTCTCTGGTCTCTCTCTGGTCTCTCTCTCTCTGTCTCTCGGTCTCTCTCTGGTCTCTCTCTCTCTCTGTCTCTGTCTCTCTGGTCCCTCTCTGGTCTCTCTCTGGTCTCTCTGGTCTCTCTCTGGTCTCTCTCTGGTCTCTCTCTCTCTGTCTCTGTCTCTCGGTCTCTCTCTGGTCTCTCTCTCTCTGTCTCTCTGGTCTCTCTCTGGTCTCTCTCTGGTCTCTCTCTCTCTGCCCTCCCTGGTATCTCCCCCTCTCTGGTCTCTCTCTCTCTGTCTCTGTCTCTCGGTCTCTCTCTGGTCTCTCTCTCTCTCTGTCTCTGTCTCTCTGGTCTCTCTCTGGTCTCTCTCTGGTCTCTCTCTCTCTGCCCTCCCTGGTATCTCCCCCTCTCTGGTCTCTCTCTCTCTCTCTCTGTCTCTCTGGTCTCTCTCTGGTCTCTCTCTCTCTGCCCTCCCTGGTATCTCCCCCTCTCTGGTCTCTCTCTCTCTCTCTCCTTTCGTTGCATGTATACATATATAAACCAGTATGACACGAGTTACTTCGATTCAAAATCTGAAGAAAACGTTTGCATCTTGTGTTCGCTCCGGTGACCTCTGCAGCTGTGTTTGACAGTGTACGCACGGCTTTTGACAGCTGCAGCAGCGCTCAGACCTACAGCCAACAGATTTGACCTCTCTGGTCTCTCTCACTTCAGCAGTCGTGAGTTCAGGTGGTTAGAAAAGTGTGAGGAGTTTTACAGCCTTAAAACACACAGCTGCTACCAGGGACCACTGTAGCTCATAAAATCTAAATGAAACGTCTTCTCTTCAGTTTAATCCATATTTGACGCCGAGCTGGATGCCTCGTCTCCTGGCCGCTGTGTCTGGGTTTGAACAAGGTCCGTATCTTTGCTTTAGTTTTCGTGTCCAGACAAAGTTTTGCACGTTTTTGCAAATGATGACATTTCTCGTCGCAGATTTTCTCGTCTCCGGCACAAGACGCGGCCAATCGAGAGGCCGGAGGAGAAACGCAATGCCCCACTTTTCAGAGGACCGCGAGGGGAACGACTATGAGGTGAGACACACATGTTACAGCCAACGCTTGGAGAAAAGATAGAAATGAACCATATTTAACGGTGCGACTTTTTGTGAATGTTATTGTTTTGTCTTAAATGTTCCTCAGTTAAAACTTGTTCATCTACAGCTGTGGTTCCCAACCTTTTTTGGTCTGTATACACCAGGCAGGTCCAAACTAAGGCCCGCTCCACAACTGGGTTTAGCTTCGTGAAAATTTTACTTTTACTTTTGTCAGTAATTAACCCAGAATATATAATGTGCAATTTTTATGATAACATAACCAGCCCTGGGTTGATTTTTTTTCTCTCCGGTGTCTGTCTGGTCTCTCTAGGGGTGTAGGGCGGTACAGTGGCTGAGTAGTTAGCATTCTCGCTTCTCAGCAAGAAGGTCCTTTACCTCTCTCTCTGGTCACTCTCTCTCTCTCTGAATTATTGTTCCTTTCAGACACTAATTTATGGTATTTTTCTTCTACTTTTAATCATCATTTTGACCCGAGAGTAGTCTGATTGGTTCTGAAGCGATAACTACAACGCTCTCTGTCTGCAGGCGCTGTTGGCGTTCGAGGAGCGGCAGGGATCGGTCGTGTCAAAGAAACTGAGTCGCAGAGAAATTCAAAGATTTCCAACAAAAACATTCAAAGCGTCAAGTGCCGCCGGCAACACGCAGTGAGTGAAGCGTTCTCCGTGTTCTGGAGGAAGGTTGAACTGCTGCTAAAGTCTCTCTGATGTGTCACCTGCAGATGCCAGATCTGTTTCTGCGACTACACGGACGGGGAGAAGCTGAGGATACTGCCCTGTTTCCACGACTACCACGTCCAATGCATAGACCGGTGGCTAAAGGTGAACTAAGGGCTTTTTAATGTTGTGTTTACTTCATAACTCAAAGGTCTTACCATGGACTGTATATTAGCATTAGCCTGAACATAAGCTAGCTGGAGCCAATTTCTATATATAGGGCATTGGTTCAGTCTGGGTTAGCTTTGTGCTGTAATAAGGACAGACGTGTTGCTAAGATGGTTGCTAGTGCTACGATAAGCTGGTGTTGTACCCCTCGAATGAAGGCCTCTGATTGGTCAATCCTTACATGGTTCATATCTGGATTTGCTAATACAATATCAAAATATGAACACTAGAATAAAGAAAGACCAGAGAGAGGCGCTAAACCAGAGTTTATAAACCCAAAATGGTGAGTGTGACATAAACGAGTACCGAGTTCGAGAAGTTTACTTTTCAATATAAGTCAATCGGAGCCAGAGCATGTTGGAGCATCATTGAGCTAGCTAGTTAGCATTGTCCATCTTATATACAGTCTATATGCCTTACCCTTCATATTGAAATGCTAAGTACAAAAACACTGGACTAGAACATTCTGTGGTTGACTTTTCCAAAAAGAATCTAAACTGTGATTTGAAACATAACCCACACGACGTACTGTTGTTGATAAATTTGTTTATTTCACTCTGGCAGGACAACAGCACGTGCCCCATCTGTCGAGCCAATCTTGCCGACGGCGCCTCCATGGAGCCCAACAACCTTTGACCTCAGCTCTCAGTCCAACATCAGGACAACATTTTCCACATTCAGACCTCAAACAAATTCAGTGTTGAACATTCTACAGTTTTATTTTCCCGTATGTCTTATTCGTCTTGGGAACTCGCTGGCATTCCCCGTCTTGTCTGTACATAGACAAAAGTTAAATCAAAATTAAACATGTTTTTATCTATTTTTTCTTGTTTATTTTTTTAACTCTATACAGCAAAGTATAAGGCTATGGTCTCCCGAGTGCATCCAACTTCCTCTTTAGCAGTTGTCGGGTCACATGAGCAGCAGTCTGAGCAGAGACAGACTTCCCTCTCCACCTCCTCCAGCTCATCTGGGGGAATCCTGAAGCGCTCCCAGGCCAGCTGAGAGACACGGCCCCTCTGGCCTGTCTTGGGTCTTCCCCTGGTCTCCTCCCGGTGGGACATGCCCGAAACACCTTCCCTCCCAAGAGCGATTAGAGCCAAAATGCTACGGCTCTGCTAAGATTGTTAAAGATTTTGGTTGAGATGAGTTTATTTTCTAATCCTTGTGCTACCCTCAGGTCAAAATTACCCGCTACAGATGACTACAAGTAGAAGAAAAAAAGCCTAAGTTATGACCCAGGGCTTGTCAAGTTAAGAAAAATCCAAATTCAGCTCAAAGAATGGTTGAATTTTTAGGGTATTTTTTTTAAACACTGTGGTGGGATAATTTGACCCGAGGATGGCACAAAGGTTAATAATCTTGGATGATGCAGTATTATCCTGCATTTTTTGTTATATGTAGTTATCCTGAGTGCTTTCTCCACTGTGGGACGAATAAAAAGGATTTCAGTTATCACAGGATTTGTCAGATTTCGTGGCTCATGTCTCGGCACTTTGTATAGAGTGAATTATTTGTCCTCGTAATAGCGTTGCTTCATGGCTCTGTATTTCCTGAGGTAGTACAATGCTTCCAGCTCCCGGGCCACGAACTCCCCTCTGGCTATCATCTCCTTGATCTTCTCTGGGTCCTGGACGGACTTGTTTTTGGCAAACGCAGCTCTCAGGCGGTCTCTGAAGTAGTCTCCTCCTTTGGGATACTCCCGGCCAAGGTGCAAAAGCTTAGAGAAGAGAAAAGAAAAAAAAAACAACGTAAGACAATTTTTTTTTTTTATTGTCACACGAGGATTAAAGATTGACCCAAATGTAGACACAAACTCACATTTTTATACAGACGAACCACTTCAGATCTCAAAGGGCTTGACATGGTCCCGGACGCAACTTCAGGGCTGAAAAAATAAAATATTTCTTTATAAAAAAAGGGTACAAATCCGATCGTTAGCTCAGCAACAGAAAACAATATCAACTAATTAGTTCTAATAAGATGAATGAGGTTTTTACTTCCAAGTCTCGGTCTGTGCTAACAATATCCAACTCAGCCAAATTCTACATGAAGTGATAGCATCATAAAAACCTGGTATCATTTTAAAACTACAAATAACACTAGAAACAGCTACTTTTTCCGACTCTAGCTTATAGAGATTCGACCAATGTCTGTACCTTTTTTTGTTAGCGCCTCGCTGGGGAACGGCTGCAGATCAAGACATTATGACTTAGCAAAACATTCCTGCATCTTGTGCGTTTATGTGAACAGTAGAGAGAGGAGAAAGTGCAGGGAAACACACTGGACATGTCATTATGTGATTATTAGGGCTGTTGTCAGAGCAGAGTTTGAGTTTCAGTAGAATGGGACATTAGTTTATTGTCAAAATATACTTGATTTAATAGTGCTTTGATCATCACGGGCTAACAGTGCATTAAAACACAGTGCGGCTTATATTCAAGTGCAGCCTACAGTATGTGTGGACATAATGCACTTTCTTTTCAAATGTTGCTGGTGTGGCTTTTGTACAGGTGCGCTTAATAGTGCAACGAGAAGTTTGCAATTGCCTTTAGTGACATGTCTACAGCATAGACTGTATATTGTCTACAGATGCATAATAGATGTGTCAGTTCAAAACTTACAAAAATCATTTCATTTTGACCATACACGGTGGTGATGAACTACTGCAGCCACAGCTGCCCTGGGGCACACTGACACTGTTCCAAACAGATCTTTTAGCAAAGGATTGTATCTTCTTTTTCAAATAAAGTCCTTTAAATGAACGTTTGCTGATTATTTGATTTCACTGCTTCCTCTGTTGCTTTGTAATGCACTATTGAGTTATTCTGTGTATAAATTCTGCTATAAAAAATAAACTCGCTACTGACAGAACACGTTCATCATTGTCTGACAACCACACATTCTTCTTGTAAACACAGACTAAAGACAAACCTCTGAATGTTGCAGAATAACAGTGTTTCATGTCGTCACCTGTTTGTCGGACTCCGGACGCGGTGACCCCGGTGCCTTCAGCGGCGGTAGCTAACCTAGCTAACCTAGCTAGCCAACAAATGCTAACTGCAAACTACATCTAAGATGGTGATCGATCAAAGATTACGTGCACGCACTAAACGGCATGCTAAGGAGTAAAGGTGGCACTTTATGAGGCTTTCCTTCGATACTAGCGCCACGTAGAGTTGTCTCGCTGTTGTTCTGTTGTAAACAGCCAAAGAGTTTAGAAGTCAAGAGAAGTGCATGCAGCGGTCACTCGTTGGTTTACGTACAGAGAAACTATATTTCTATTGCGTGTTTTTCCTCCACCTCATCCAAACCATTTACATGTTATGTAGTGGATTTTGATTTTAAAAAGAACAAAATAAATGCAAAACGACATTTTCATGAAAATAAATCTATCCATTATCTTACACTTTAGCTGTTGCCGGGTAGCAGCAATCTGAGCAGACGCCAAGACTTCTGTAAGGATTTAAGCAGACAGAGACGGATCGTGGTGTGCCAAACTCTGGAAGTTTATTTAAGTTGCTCTCAAGTTCCACTGGTTTACTCTGTTTCTTTCTCTCAGACAGAATAAAGGCAGTACACAGTTTATATAGTCATTGTCACGTCACACATCGAAAGACATACGTGTCACAAAGAGACAGTCACATCATAGTCATAACATGGAGTCCTTGTAGAGTCCTTGTACAGTCCTGCACGTAGGCCATATTGCTATCTAATACTAATACCCTCCCCTTTGATCACATAATCACATGTGATCACTCAAATCGATCAATCAATAAAATGGAAAAAGAAAAAAAAAAAATTCCAAAAAAAAAACTTTAAAAAATTATTAAAAACAAAGAAAATGTATGCATTAAACTCATAATCATCAAAATCAATATCAGTGGATTTTATCCTCTATCCTGGGAAAAATAAACAAACAAAAACAAAGTAAATAAACAAACAAAAAACAAATCAAAAATAAAAACAAACAAACACTATTGGACACAGTAGAACTCAGCAGATTCAGTCAAAACACAGACAAAAACGAGCTGAGTCTCAAATTTGAAGCTAATTTCACTTTTATTACTCTATACTTTTATTCTAATACTGATTGTTTACACTTCACTTATTTCACTGTATTATTTTCACTTTTTAATCTTAGACTGTGTACTTTACTTTTACTATTCACTATAGTTTAAACTATTCTAATCTATTCACAAATATGTTTGCATATTTGCTTCTATTGAGCCATATTCTTAAACATACATTTTAATCTAATAAATCTCTCTTTAGTTTTACACTCTCATTATCTCTGGCTTCCTGTTTCTCAGAGAATAGACTTCAAAGCAGCTTTACTTGTGTACAAGTCTCTCCATGGTCTCGCGCCAAGGTACATCCATGACATGTTTGTGCCATATGAACCGACCCGGACTCTGAGGAGCACAGGGACTGGACTCCTGTTAGTGCCCAGAGTCGGTACTAGACATGGGCAAACTGCATTTCAGATTCATGCGGCTAGAGTCTGGAACAGTCTTCCTGAGAATGTGAGACAGGCGTCTACTCTGGCATCTTTTAAATCTAGGCTCAAAACAATTCTGTTTAGCTGCGCATATACAACTGAATGATTTTATCTTTTCATCTTTGTTTTTATCTTTAATCTTTTTAATGCACTGTGACTATTTATGATTTTAGTCCCATCTGTGATTTTAATGTTTAAAGGTTTTTAATTTTTGTGATTTTATTTTTAATGTTTTTAATATATCTTGTGCTCTTAATGTGTTTGATTTATGCATGATGTGATAGGGGATGTGAAGCGCTTTGCGTTGCCTTGTGTAGGAAAGGCGCTCTACAAATAAACGTTGATTGATTGATTGATTGATTATCAGTGGCATATTATCAGTGGGATTTTGCTCCATGTCTACTCTCATTCTCAGGAATAAAACTGTGAACACAGTAAGGCAAATGGTCAACATTTACACTTCTATAGTGGTCAGTGATTTATTACTTTTTATTATCTAAAGATATTATTGTCAGGCAGTTTGGGATGAATGTACATCATTAATCAAATTAGTATTATCCTAATAGTAGCTAATTATGTTTGGGGTTGGGGTCAGTTATTCTACAATGGTGTTTGTGCTGGAAACTTCTCAATATCTAAATATCTACTATACTGTTTTTGTGCTACACACAAATACATCAAAATGCTTTTGAATCTCTCTTGGTGCTAATCTATCTCATTGATCTAGGCATTAATCTAGGCTACACTCATATGGACTTTTGTATTGTCAACATTCACCAATGTTTGAACACAAGTGAATTTGGCAAGTATCTAATAAAACTGTACATAAAACTGTAAGTAACTTTATCTACTTTTGAAGTAAATGTTTGTGAAATGGTCCCTTTACCATTTGATATTAACACTGGCTAAGAATATTCTCTATTTTTGAAAGCATCTATGGTTGATGCATTTATCTATTCCTATTTTTACGCTATTTTTTAACTCCAAAGCTCGGCTGCAGCTTGAGCCAAGGCATATTTCTAGTTTGTGACTTCTGTCACTTTTAATATCTCTAAAATACTCTGATTCTAATATTTTAGCTGATCTATCAAAAGGATAACATTGTAGGGTACTATTTTAACTCTTACGTGGAAATATGTTTATGAACAACAAAGGAAGTCAAATTCTACTTTTTTACTACTATTTAACATCTACTAAAACGCTACAATACTCAAACTTTATCATTTTCAAAGTTTTTAACAGTTGCTCAGTCTACCAGACTAAAAAAGTCAAAGTTTTTGTCTGTCAGATGTCTGAATACTTAACATTTATATTGCATTTGGTCACAGGTTCTGGTTGTAGCAATAGCATCGGCAATAGACGTTTTCATTGGCTGGTTCTTGTTCTGCAAATGGCTGTGTCCAATAGATCATCAGATGTCCAGAAGCTAGGGACAAACAAAAACAAAAGAAAGAATCATGAGTATCTCTCTCATTTAGCACTCATCAATGTATGATTTCAAAAATATAAACATCACTCCCCAGTTTTCTCTCAGGTCCTCAGGTCCTCAGGGTCCCCTGAGGGTGAGTCTCAGTCGTCATCAGGTCAGGTCATCTTGGACATCAGTAGGGTCCAAGCCATGGTTCTGGTCACTCCAGATGCACATCAGATCTCCAGATACAGTCTTTTCACTTGAAGCACATCAGGTCATTTGCGATGCACTTCTGGTCAATGGTGCAGTGTCTCAGTTCCTGTACACAGCTTGTAATGCAGTAGTTACTCTCTATGGTTAAGACACTTTGATTCTACTTTAACACAATTTCTATTCATGCTGTTGCTAATGTCTCTCAGACAAAAAGCAAGCGCAGTTTACTTCTCTAATTTGTGTTTTTATCAGATCTAATTCTCATCAATGTAATTACTTCACACAGTACAAAATCAACAAATCAAAAGTGTCAGGACAGAGGTCAATTATGTCCATGACAATATAGAATTCAAATGAACATTTCTGGTCTCAAAAAATACTGATTCAAATAAAGATTCAAGTGATAGACAATTAAAAATGTGTTTACATTGGAGTAAACTTTTAAAATGCTTTTTTCATGTTCTGCTTTTTCATGTATCTATATGTAAATGTGAATGTGTGAGTGTATGTGTGTGTATGTGTGTGTGTGTGTGTGTGAATTTTGGGGTTGTCTCTCCAGACTCCACGAACCACCTGTAGGTCTCAAAGGTCACACTGTGGTGATGTAAACCACGTAGACACACTTTCAACTCCCTCTAGGTCTCTACCTGACGCTCCACCCATCACGTCTCCAGATACCTCTCTTTCATGGCCCCGGTCTCTCTCACACCCACTCAGTTCTGCAGTGGCGTGGGGAGGGGCAAGGAGGTGGCATTTTCCTTTGCTCTTTGATCTGTGACCTGTGGCTGGGTGGGCTTTGCGCTGTCCAGTGTCCAGCAGTGACCTCTCGTACAGTGTGGCAGAGTCTGAAAAACAATCCTTGAGACGGCCAATTTAAAAAAACAATAGATATCAGTATGCGAATGAGATTGTTTTTCTCTCTGAAGTCAAAACAATTTGAGCGCTCTGGGTTTTCCCAAGCGCTATGTAAATAAAGATTACTTATTATCTTACTAATGATGACATTTGAAGACCAGAAACTAAAGAAGTTATCAAAACAACAATTATACTCAAAACAAACAACCTTTTAAACTTTAAAACATGTATTATATACTTTTGTACTGTGTGATTAATTATCTATGCATTTATCTCAGCATATATTTTACTAATTTAAAATAATTGCAGCATTTTTCAAATGAAGTTAGTATGAATTGGAGCACATTTTAGACCAGTCTCCTCTGCTGTGGCATCAGCAGGAGCAACAAGGTCAGGCGTGTAGTCAAAACAAAAACAAAAGTCACCACTTGCATGTGAATTGGGTAGTTTAACTTAATAATATAATACTTTTACAGCCTAATTCCCTCTTTCTTTTTTAGACGAAGTCTATAATCAATAATCACTTTTAACAGATTCTAATTTAAATGTTTGAAAAACGGCTTTTGTAACTAAAATAAAAAATACATGAAAAAATTCTCACAAACAGCTATGAAATATATCAGAGATACAATAATGGACTCACAAAATAAGCAGCAGATTTAAAAAGAAAAGCAAAGCTTTTTGTACTAATCTTTGGGTTTCAAAAACATACTAATTCAAAACTTCTATTCCCTAATGGTGTTTAAAAACGTTTAACTGTGTCATAACACAATGTTCAATGGCAAATTTCGCAAATTTAACGGAATAAAAACTATGAAAAGCCAAATTCCTAAAGCAGTAGCTTTGCTTCAGATTCACAGCCAGAGCAGCGAAGGAGGGGGCCGTTTCCCTGACAACGGCAGCAGATAGAGCGACGCACACACACAGGCAAAAAGATACAGAAGAATAACTTTCAAGATTACTTTGTTAAGCGAATATAACTGATGTTGTTCTTTATACTTTTGTCATCCAAATCTAGAAGTGATCACTTTCCACACTTGTAACAAAAGGCACTCTTGTCTTTAACGTTTACGCTTCTATTTTATCGAGGTAGCAAACTAGTTTAAACTCAAAATCTCTTTCTAAAAAACAAAAACAACTGTTGGATACATCCCTCTCATAGCTCAACTGTAGATAAAACTCGGCAAAAAAATGTAAATAACTCACGAAAGCTCTCATAGCTCAACTTTAGATAAAACTCTGCATTCTCCGGTGAACTCTGTTCACGCCAAAAACAAACTAAAAAACAAAAAAACTCCCTTTTTCTGTATGTAATTTAAACCGTGATCACTGAAATATTGTTGCTTCTTTACTTTTGTCATTTATCAGCCTGAAATTCGTCAATTTCAAAGCTTTTGTAACAAAGGCCTCCTTAACACGTTTCCCTTTTTATTGCTTTTATGTTTACACCATGGATTCACTAACTATTTTCTATTCTCTATTCTCTGCCCCGGCTACTCCAAAGGCAGGGACCCCGATACGTCAGGGGTTCCTTTCTCTCTCTGCCCTGACTACTTCAAAGGACAGGGACCCCGATACGTCAGGGGTTCCTTTTTCTCTGTCCTGACTACTTCAAAGGACAGGGACCCCGATACGTCAGGGGTTCCTTTTTCTCTCTGTCCTGACTACTTCAAAGGACAGGGACCCCGATACGTCAGGGGTTCCTTTTTCCTATAGGGACTGGTTACCCACACAGCTAACCTGTTTTCTACAACATAAGACATGACAAAGACGTGACAAAGACATAACAAAGAAAATTTGATTTAGAGAGATTTGGACAGACCTCCGGGACAGCTCAAAATTTAGCTAGTATCCAATTATGCAGACTTTACATATTAAAAAAGGTGTCTGCTTACCTTAATTCTTTGTCCGGACTGTTCGAGAGGTCGACCAACATCTTTTCCGCGTCGAAAAATTCAATTTAAACACAAAACAGAGAAAGTGAGGGAGCAAGAGCAAGCCCATCCAAAAGCGAGCCCTTTCAGCGTCCGCTGGGATTTCTCCCCTTCCAGATAACGTGCTGTTGCTCCCACACGCCAAAAAAAAGAAACAGAGGAAATTCCCTCAAAACAATCCAGAGAATGGCACAAACCGAGCCGCGCATTCTCCACCAAATCTGTAAGGATTTAAGCAGACAGAGACGGATCGTGGTGTGCCAAACTCTGGAAGTTTATTTAAGTTTCTCTCAAGTTCCACTGTTTTACTCTGTTTCTTTCTCTCAGACAGAATAAAGGCAGTACACAGTTTATATAGTCATTGTCACGTCACACATCGAAAGACATACGTGTCACAAAGAGACAGTCACATCATAGTCATAACATGGAGTCCTTGTAGAGTCCTTGTACAGTCCTGCACGTAGGCCATATTGCTATCTAATACTAATACTTCCTTCTCCATACACACTTTCTCAAGCTCATCCTGGAGAATCTGGGAGACAGTCCCTTTTATCTCAATTTGAGTAGATTTCGACAAGAGTTGCCAATGGAACAATCAAAAATATCTGGTTTTAAAAGAAAATTCAACAAATGACTCCCTTGGATGAGAAATGAGCATTTGAAATAAGGAAACAGCTTTTTCCATTGGCAAATCTTGTTTTAAAACAGTCAAAATGTACTCAAATCAAGATAAAAACTGATTCAGCATTTTTTTGCAGTGTGGAAACTGGGCTAATAGTGGGGGACACTGAATTAGCTAAAGATGTATCAGAGCATATTTTAGGAAAGAACCGCCCTCTCCACTCTCCTATTTGATATGAGCACGTATCACCAGAATGATTGACCATCCACCTGGAAGTGGACAATCATTTTATATACCTTTAAGTTTAGTGTACACATGAAAAAGCTTGTCTGAGAATATATTCACAAAGATTTATTAATCATTACACAAAGAAATATAATGTACATGATGCATTTATCAAAGCAGTCACACGGTGTTTGTCCAAAAGTGCAAAACCTTTTCCAAACTGAAGTCCCATTTTTTTTGTTATAAATCGATGAGCTCAAAACTGGTTAAAACACAAAACCATCACATCCATGTAGTCCAGTCCTTCTTTCCTCTTCTCTTCGTTTGGATCCTGGTTTTTCCAGTCCGGGTCCTGCTCAGTAGTTGGTTCTCAGTTTCCGGTTTTCTTCTCTGAGTCTCTGAACCTCTTCGACCAGAGACTCGTTCACAGAGTAGTGCTCCATCAGATGGTGCAGCTCGTTCTGGAAAAACAAAAAATAAACGTTGAAATTCCTTGAGCATTTGTGTGACCTTCTCTCGGTGAAATGAAAACTTACTAATTGAATATAAAACTGTCGAACCATCTCCACCTGAAGGTTGATGATGTCTTTGTGACACGCGTCTCTGTAGGAGGCAACAAAGCAACACTGACTTCATAGAACGTAATGTTTGAACTCAAGGGCTAAAGGGTCGGTCTCTCTCTCTGCTCTCTCTCCCTCTGGTCTCTCCCTCTGGTCTCTCCCTCTGGTCTCTCTCCCTCTGGTCTCTCTCCCTCTGGTCTCTCTCCCTCTGGTCTCTCTCCCTCTGGTCTCTCTCCCTCTGGTCTCTCTCCCTCTGGTCTCTCTCCCTCTGGTCTCTCTCCCTCTGGTCTCTCTCCCTCTGGTCTCTCTCCCTCTGGCCTCTCTCTCCCTCTGGCCTCTCTCTCCCTCTGGTCTCTCTCCCTGGTCTCTCCCTCTGGTCTCTCCCTCTGGTCTCTCCCTCTGGTCTCTCCCTCTGGTCTCTCCCTCTGGTCTCTCCCTCTGGTCTCTCCCTCTGGTCTCTCTCCCTCTGGTCTCTCTCCCTCTGGTCTCTCCCTCTGGTCTCTCTCCCTCTGGTCTCTCTCCCTCTGGTCTCTCTCCCTCTGGTCTCTCTCCCTCTGGTCTCTCTCCCTCTGGTCTCTCTCCCTCTGGTCTCTCTCCCTCTGGCCTCTCTCTCCCTCTGGTCTCTCTCTCCCTCTGGTCTCTCTCTCCCTCTGGTCTCTCTCTCCCTCTGGTCTCTCTCTCCCTCTGGTCTCTCTCCCTCTGGTCTCTCTCCCTCTGGTCTCTCTCCCTCTGGTCTCTCTCCCTCTGGTCTCTCTCCCTCTGGCCTCTCTCTCCCTCTGGTCTTTGTCCCACTGGTCTCTCTCCCTCTGGTCTTTCTCCCTCTGGTCTCTCTCCCTCTGGTCTCTCTCCCTCTGGTCTCTCTCCCTCTGGTCTCTCTCCCTCTGGTCTCTCTCCCTCTGGTCTCTCTCCCTCTGGTCTCTCTCCCTCTGGTCTCTCTCCCTCTGGTCTCTCTCCCTCTGGCTCTCTCCTCTGGTCTCTCTCCTCTGGCCTCTCTCCCTCTGGTCTCTCTCCCTCTGGTCTCTGCTCTCTCTCCCTCTGGTCTCTCTCCCTCTGGTCTCTCTCCCTCTGGTCTCTCTCCCTCTGGTCTCTCTCCCTCTGGTCTCTCTCCCTCTGGTCTCTCTCCCTCTGGTCTCTCTCCCTCTGGTCTCTCTCCCTCTGGTCTCTCTCCCTCTGGTCTCTCTCCCTCTGGTCTCTCTCCCTGGTCTCTCTCCCTCTGGTCTCTCTCCCTCTGGTCTCTCTCCCTCTGGTCTCTCTCCCTCTGGTCTCTCTCCCTCTGGTCTCTCTCCCTCTGGCCTCTCTCCCTCTGGCCTCTCTCCCTCTGGCCTCTCTCCCTCTGGCCTCTCTCCCTCTGGCCTCTCTCCCTCTGGCCTCTCTCCCTCTGGCCTCTCTCCCTCTGGCCTCTCTCCCTCTGGCCTCTCTCTCTCTGGTCTCTCTCCCTCTGGTCTCTCTCCCTCTGGTCTCTCTCCCTCTGGTCTCTCTCTCCCTCTGGTCTCTCTCCCTCTGGCCTCCCTGTTCTGAACTAATCACTGCTTGGACACATACATCCGGAAAAGTTTTCTTCCAACTTCATTTATCCGCAAGAAGCAAATGACAGTTACTTTTATTTGATGTTGTCAGCGCGCACACCCACACACACCCACACACACACACACACAGGGCGCATGAGGAAGAAGCACGCACAAACCCCCTGCAGCTCCACTACATTCTACCACCTTTACAAAGAATAATCACCTTAAGTCCTCCAGTGTCTCATGAATCATGTTTTGAATAAAGTGCATTTGAAGAGAGGTGAAGGGAGCGCCGTTCTGACTGGCTGTGTCCGCCATGTTCTGGACCAAAGTGGAGGACGCCGCAGCGGACAGAGCAGGGCCTAAACACACACACACACGAACACACACATAATAATTATTATTATTTCTTACCATAAATTCCGGCATATAAGCTGCAGCTTTTTCCCCACACTTTGAATGGTGCGGCTTTTACTAAGGTGGTGTCTCTCCCTCTCTCTGGTGTCTCTCCCTCTCTCTGGTCTCTCTCCCTCTCTCTGGTCTCTCTCCCCCTCACTGGTCTCTCTCCCTCTCTCTGGTCTCTCTCCCTCTCTCTGGTCTCTCTCCCCCTCGCTGGTCTCTCCCCCTCTCGCTGGTCTCTCTCCCCCTCTCGCTGGTCTCTCTCCCCCTCTCGCTGGTCTCTCTCCCCCTCTCGCTGGTCTCTCTCCCCCTCTCGCTGGTCTCTCTCCCCCTCTCGCTGGTCTCTCTCCCCCTCTCGCTGGTCTCTCTCCCCCTCTCGCTGGTCTCTCTCCCCCTCTCTCTGGTCTCTACCTCTCTCTGGTCTCTCTACCTCTCTCTGGTCTCTCTACCTCGTCTTTCTCCCTCTTGCTGGTCTCTCTCCCTCTCGCTGGTCTCTATCTCTCTCTACCTCTCTCTGGTTTCTCTCACTCTCTGGTCTCTCTCTTTTAATTCTTTTTTCAACAGAATTGATGAGTAGTCGTCATATTCAGACTGACCTGCGGCGGCGGCGGCTTGAGCTGGAGCCGGTGAGTCGTAGCTGAGGTGAGTCTGAAGGATGTCCCCCCTCCTCCCGTTGGGCTCGGGGGAGAACAGGACGGTTTTGGGCTGAGTGCTGTGATTGGTCGCTTGGGGCTCAGGCGTCGGTGCAGCTTCTGTCTCTGAACTGCTGCTGCTGCCTTTGTCAAACTGGGAAAGAAGAAGCTAGAATAAGCTCAAATGTCAACAATCGACTCATTTACTCAACATTTACTCTGGGAACTGTGTCATGTAGTTTCAATAGTGCAAGGCCTTCGATGTAGACATTAAAGGGATTGTCTGGAGTTTGTCAGAAAAAAGAGAGAGGTCCATGATTTGAAAGAAACGAACCAAGCTCCTCCCCCTTCCTTTCTGATTGGTCTACGCCTACGTGTCTGTAACAATCAATCAACACATTTGAATCTTAATCGGAGAACACATACATATACATCATTAATACACATGCACGGAGGTTTTCAGAATTATCTGTTAATGTTTTCATGACAAAAATAATGTTTTAATGCACACAAAAAGGCGATCGCGGTAAACTCGGTAGAAGCTAATATCATTAGAACATTGTAAGACACAACTGCAGAGGATCTGATTATGGATATATGTTCAGTATATACAGTGCCTTGCGAAAGTATTCGGCCCCCTTGAACCTTTCAACATTTCGTCACATTTCAGGCTTCAAACATAAAGATATAAAATTTTAATTTTTTGTCATGAATCAACAACAAGTGGGACACAATCGTGAAGTGGAACGAAATTTATTGGATAATTTAAACTTTTTTAACAAATAAAAAACTGAAAAGTGGGGCGTGCAATATTATTCGGCCCCTTTACTTTCAGTGCAGCAAACTCACTCCAGCAGTTCAGTGAGGATCTTTGAATGATCCAATGTTGTCCTAAATGACTGATGATGATAAATAGAATGCACCTGTGTGTAATCAAGTCTCTGTATAAATGCACCTGCTCTTTGATAGTCTCAGGGTTCTGTTTAAAGCACAGAGAGAACCATGAAGACAAAGGAACACACCAGGCAGGTCCGAGATACTGTTGTGGAGAAGTTTAAAGCCGGATTTGGATACAAAAAGATTTCCCAAGCTTTAAACATCTCAAGGAGCACTGTGCAAGCAATTATATTGAAATGGAAGGAGTATCAGACCACTGCAAATCTACCAAGACCCGGCCGTCACTCCAAACTTTCATCTCAAACAAGGAGAAGACTGATCAGAGATGCAGCCAAGAGGCCCATGATCACTCTGGATGAACTACAGATAACTACAGCTGAGGTGGGGGAGTCTGTCCATAGGACAACAATCAGTCGTGCACTGCACAAATCTGGCCTTTATGGAAGAGTGGCCATTTCTCAAAGATATCCATAAAAAGTCTTGTTTAAAGTTTGCCACAAGCCACCTGGGAGACACAAACATGTGGAAGAAGTTGCTCTGGTCAGATGAAACCAAAATTGAACTTTTTGGCCACAATGCAAAACGATATGTTTGGCGTTAAAGCAACACAGCCCATCACCCTGAACACACCATCCCCACCTCAGCTGTAGTTATCTGCAGTTCATCCAGAGTGATCATGCGCCTCTTGGTTAACCCTAACCCTCTGTTCAGTCTTCTCCTTGTTTGAGATGAAAGTTTGGAGGGACGGCCGGGTCTTGGTAGATTTGCAGTGGTCTGATACTCCTTCCATTTCAATATAATTTCTTGCACAGTGCTCTTTGAGATGTTTAAAGCTTGGGAAATCTTTTTGTATCCAAATCCGGCTTTAAACTTCTCCACAACAGTATCCCGGACCTGCCTGGTGTGTTCCTTTGTCTTCATGGTTCTCTCTGCGCTTTAAACAGAACCCTGAGACTATCAAAGAGCAGGTGCATTTATACGGAGACTTGATTACACACAGGTGCATTCTATTTATCATCATCAGTCATTTAGGACAACATTGGATCATTCAAAGATCCTCACTGAACTTCTGGAGTGAGTTTGCTGCATTGAAAGTAAAGGGGCCGAATAATATTGCACGCCCCACTTTTCAGTTTTTTATTTGTCAAAAAAGTTTAAATTATCCAATAAATTTCGTTCCACTTCACGATTGTGTCCCACTTGTTGTTGATTCATGACAAAAAATTAAATTTTTCTATCTTTATGTTTGAAGCCTGAAATGTGGCGAAATGTTGAAAGGTTCAAGGGGGCCGAATACTTTCGCAAGGCACTGTAAATGATCATGGATATAGGTTCAGTATATAAATGATTATGGATATAGGTTCAGTATATAAATGATTATGGATATAGGTTCAGTATATAAATGATTATGGATATAGGTTCAGTATATAAATGATTATGGATATAGGTTCAGTATATAAATGATTATGGATATAGGTTCAGTATATAAATGATTATGGATATAGGTTCAGTATATAAATGATTATGGATATAGGTTCAGTATATAAATGATTATGGATATAGGTTCAGTATATAAATGATTATGGATATAGGTTCAGTATATACATAAGTAACTCAGCGCAGATGTTCAAAATTCTTGTTCTGAACTTGTTCAGTTTTCATGTAGTTCCAGAGCCTAATGGAGGCTTGATTCAGAGGCTCCGTGAAAACAAACAACTGAGCATGAGCAGCTGCAAGCATCAGCGCCAATGATTGACAGCCCTTGGCATGACTCGATTGGTTAACGTGGACGGCATCGTGGATTCTGAGCTATTGCTAAGAGAAGGGAAGGCGGGACTTGCCCGTAATATTAGAATTCAATAAAGGACTTATTTTATATCAACATTTAAGGCCAGGAGGTCAATTTAACACAATTATTAAAATGTGTAATTTATTTTGAGTTCCAGACTATCACTTTAATTGCATTGTTCCTTTGTTGTTTTTTCACTTACGTTTCATTAAGAATTTTTACATTACAAAAATAAAAAACAAAAAACAGATACAACAGAACATGGGGTCGATTGTCATTTACATAAATTTGCAGATCACATTTGAAACAGGTTTAGCCTTCAATAGTTTGTTTTTCAAGCCACGGCAAATTTATTTATAAAGCAACCACTGCAAAAAATCATAAAATATCAGATAAAAATTGCTTGAAATGAGTGTTTTTTGTTCTTAATCTGAGCACATTCTGACTGTGTTAAAACTAGATTTGCCAAAGGGACAAAGCCATTTAGTCGTATTTCAAGAACTGATTTATTTTCTCATTCCAAGGACGACATTTCCTGTATCTTTTTAAGTCAGTCAGAATGTGATCACAATAAGACACATTTTACCAAATTTCATACATTTTTGGCTTATTTTTCATCACTCTTTGGAGCTCCAACAGACGCAGAAAGAACATTGGAAAACAATAAAACATTGAGGAATAAAAACAGTAAAAATGAAACACGCACGCACACACTAATATTAATTGAAAAAGTCTGACCTTCAGGGGTTCTTTAGGCTCAGGTGCATTGTGGGTCGGTTCCTCTTCTTTGATTGAGGGTGGTGTCATGAAGGTGGTCTGTAGAGGGGTGTAACGCCCGGCCGAGGCCAGCAGAGGGCTCCCCACCAGCGAAGCTCCCAGGGCCGTTCCCAAAGGTGTTTTACGAAACGAGTTGGAGCCAGAATGCAGGTCTAAAAACACAAAGTTATAAATAATATCCTGAGGTAGAATCAACAGTTTTCAAACAGACCCCACACTGACCTTCTCGAACAGGGGAGAAGATGTCCAGACTGGCCCGGCCCGTCAGTGGCTGCCCCTCGCCTTCTCTGGACAGAAGCTCTAAAGTGCCCACTGTGAAGTCAGACCAGTGCAACCAGTTAGAGGCATAACGATCAAAGAACCCGTCCCAGTTTAGAAGAGTCTTTACCGTGGGTTCTTCCGAGGGGCGTGTCTCCGTTTGAGCCCAGAGTCCGAGAGTCTGCAAAACAAGATCGTTCTCCTCAGCTCCTTCTGCCAGCTTTTCAAAAACAAATCATCTATTTTGTTCTTTATCTTTAATCAGAGACACAGGAGGCACATGAACCGACTCCTCCTCACGTGGAGAAGCAGCGGCTCTACTCGGAGTAGGGCTGGGCGATAAAACGATAACGATATATATCGCGATAGACATGTGTTCGATATCAATAGAGAATGGGGTCGATAGAATGTTCGATAGTTTAACTTAACTCCGTCACGAAAAACAGGAAGAAAACACCGGAAGTAAAGCCGACTCATAAGCGCATGGCATTGTGGGGGATGTAGGCAGAGGCTTCTCGACCAATAACAGCCGAGCAGGAACCGCAAAACTTTCTGGGAAATGCAAAAACAACAACAGCCGCACCATGCGTAGCGTCCATGGATCTATAGCTCGTGTTTCAATGCTGTGTCAATGGTTATGCACGTACGTGCGCGGAATAACATGTGCGGCGGCAGAGGCAGTGGACAGACACGATGTATTCGGCGAAAGCAAGAGATTAACTTTTTCCTCGGGAAGCATGTGCGGCACAGAGAGCCGCACGGAGCGGTCACGGGGACACAAGACCCTCAAACAGCTAAACCAGGAGCTAAACCAGGAATAAAAAAACAGGATTAAACCAGGACTAACAACGAGGGACACAGTGTGAACATATTCCTCCAGCCTCATCGCCCCGTGACTGTAAACAAGGCTGCTAAGGTTGGTTAGCCCACACGACAAATATATTTATTTAGGTAAAAAAAAAAAAACTCAATATATATCGTTATCGACCGATATGAATGACTTATATCGTGATATAGTTTTCAGCCATATCGCCCAGCCCTAACTCGGAGTATTGTTTATCAAATACACACTCGGATATGTTGTTCCGGATTAATTCAAAAATGTTAACCCCCTGGAAACCAATGTGCTCCGGAGAAAATAGTTGCCCACCCCTACTAGGCCCAAAAGTGGTCACCGTAGTAACAAAGAACCCATCTCCAAATGTTGATGGTCAGAACCAGAGCTGGAGGATTTGGCCTATCGTATATATGTTTTTAGTGGAAAGGGAAACCGTAGCATCCGGAGGAAACCTACGCAGACACGTGAAGAACATGCAAACTCCACCAAGACTGGCCCTGTGCTGACTGAACCCAGGTCCTTCTTACTGAGAAGCGATAGGGCTAACCACTCAACCATAACAATTTACTGCTACCATATGTTCTCAGCAGGGACTTTGACATGAACAGTATTTTTAAACATTTTCCAGCGTCACATGCGTCACTCACCGTCTCGCACCGGAGAGAAGACGTCCAGACTGTTTCTGCCGATGTTGTTAAACTTCTCTACTACGGGCAGTGGCTGTGGCGTGAGTACGGGATCCCCTGCAGCGCCACCTACAGGGCAGACGACACCGTTATAGGAACACTCTCTTGCCAAAAAAGAATATGAAAGCACCGACCTGTGGTGAGTTCTCGCTGTGGGGAGGGCTCTGAGTGACCGCTGCCCAACGCTCTGGAGGAAGACTTTTTACTGCTGCCCACTTTAGAAGAGCCGTGTTTACTGGACTGTGGACAGACAAGGTGTGTTTACAGGGCGGAGGAGGTCAGTCAAGACCGCACGTGAAAGTCAGGAAATTCCGCCGGGTTCTTGCCATGGATCTATAATAATAACTGGATAGGGTATTACTAGTTTATAGCTGTCCCACCCACGGGCACAGGGGGCGCTGTGGTACTGCAGACTAAATTCACGTAGGCTACCCAGAAAAAAGTTTCAATGTAAACTAAACCAGCTCGACCTCAGCTGACAGAGAGCCTACAGCTTTCATAAATATCAGATTTTGTGGGGATTTTAGTGTCCCTTGTCATGCTGAACTTTTTTTCTCCTTAAATCCTTTGGTTTTCTTTAAATCCACACTTTACTGCCACAAACTCTGCTCCTTTCCTTCCCGCTCTGACTCCGCTCTGCTGCTGCTCTGAGGAGCAGCTCTGATTGGTCAAAGCGCGGTCGAGCCCCTCTGTGCACGTGCATGACAGCCACACACGCGTATTTGGCGCAACGCATCATGGGAGCTCGTCCACTGCGCAGAACCGGGAGGACCAGACGATGCCCAAATACAGGCGAGTTCTGCTAATCTCCCGGTCCCTGTGAAGTCCCATGAACTACTGAGCACAAGACATTCATTTGAATAGGGCGCCATCTTGGATCACCGGGGCTTGGCTCTATTCCTTACGTGAGCTTTTCTCTTCTGGTAGAGATACAATAAACCAATACAGAAAACCTCGAGTAGAACCCCCCGGACCCCCATTACAACTCTACTTTTACATATCTGCCATAACTATGAAGTTGTTGCAGCTAACATACTCACTAACATCCTGCTGCTGTTTCTGCTAATCTCCTCTGCCCTGTGCCGTTTACATCCTGCCGACTTCTGCACTTTATACGCTTATATCACGGTGATGCTCAAATATAATTTAGTTGTTTTTCTGACAATGACAATAAATGAATGAATCTTGAATTTTTATTATGTTTAAATAAATAACAGTGTAGTTTACCACCCGAGGGCCAGGGCCAGGGCGAAGTGCCTAGAACGAGACTTAAAACCCAGGGCCTTTTCTGTAGCTGGACCAAAGCGTTTTAAGTCTCATCTTTAGACCCATTTTGATGCTCTGGATTTTAACACTGCGTGAATTGTATCGTCCTTTAATTTAATTTTATTTAGTTTTACTGTCATGTTCATATATGTGCTTTTCATCCTTTTTGATTTAAAAGAATTTTACTGTTTTAATTAGTCTTTTATTGTGCTGCACTTTGGGAACTGTGTTTATGAAACGTTCTATATAAATAAAGCGGATTGGAACAGTGAGTCACCTTTTGTCTGAGGCCGCACTGGAACCGCAGACTGGTGACGGAGGTCTTGTGAGCCGGCGTGACCCTGGTGGGGGCGCTGGAGTTCCTCAGGTCGTAATGGTAGATCTTCCCCTGAGTGGATCCTACCACTAAACCCGTCCCGTCCACGCTGAAGTCCACGGCGGTGAGCGGGCTGTCCACGCGGATCGAGCGCACCACGCTGAGGAGGATGGAGAATATTGTTTGAGAGTTGGTTTACTACAACTCTCAAATGAATTATCACATAGAGACCTGTCGAGAGAGAGAGAGTGAGAGAGAGAGAAGACCAGAGAAAGAGACCAGAGATTCAAGAGAGAGCGAGAGCGCGAGAGAGATAAGAAAGTTAAAGAGAGAGACCAGAGCGTGAAATCCAGCACTGTTTGTGTACAAGTGTACTACAGCAGCCATTTACAACAGGCACCTGCAGCAGCCAGCTAAATCAAGACCCAGCTTTTGCCGTTCCTATGGTAACGTAAAACAGACGCTTTAAAGATAACCGGCAGACAAAAGCTTAATAAAAACAACCCCCAGAATCACGTACATCTTGCTGGCCGTGTCGTAGCAGACAATCTTCTTGTCCAGGCCCACGCTGACCACCAGCAGCTCAGAGGCCGGGGAGAAGGACAGCCCCGAGCCCGGAGCCTTGTGCACGCTCTCGAACACGTGCAGCTCCTTCTGGGTGTTGGAGTCCCACAGAACCACCGTCCCACTGTCCGACACGCTGCCCAGCAACGAGCGCCGCAGCGAGGACATCCGCAGGTCGTGGATGGGCTGCGCAGAGGCGGAGAAACGTTATGCACAGGACTTTAAGAGCGTTTAATAATAATAATAATAATAAATCGGTTTTATTCTTGGGTTTCATATGACGTCAGGGCAGTGGCGCGAATAACAAACGTAGGACAGGACGTGACGTATCCTGGCGGTGCAGTCTGCCGGTGATATACACAGGGAGTTATTAGTAAGGACGTGGTGATGATCCAGAACATTCTACAACATGTATGGACATTTATGTGTTCTATATTCCTTCTGTGATTTAACTGTTGATCTCTGATCTGTGTTAGTGATTCAATGGTTTTGTTAAGTCTTCTGAGACGACTTCTGTTGTGATATAGGGCTATACAAGAATAAATTGTATTGTAAATTGTAAGAAGCGCTGTCAAAATGCCATCTTTTTGTGCAGTGCATGGTTGTAGCAACCGCACAAATAGTGAGAAAGACAATAGTTTCTTCATGTTCCAAAAGAATTACATTTAGAAAAAAATCACTCAAACGAGGCGGGCGAGGTGGATCAAGGCTTTACCAGATAAGCGCCCCCTGCAGGCCACACAAAAGAAACGCGGCAATTTCTTCTGTTATTTTTTCCAGAAATGCCCAAAATCAAGACTCTTTTGAGAAATATTTTTAGTACTACCTTAGAATTGAGTGTCCCCGATTAAGACTGTTACAACAACCATACACCGCACAGGAGGAGAGCCTTTTGACTCCAAACAGACTTTACATGGTTTTCAATGGGAGCAAAACTGAGTAGTCCCACCTCTGCTCATTCGTCCCCTACAGGCCAGGTTCATGAAACCCAAGAATATAACGCTTTCAGGATACTCAAAGACACTTCACATGCCATTATTCTTAAACTAGTCACAGCTGCCCTGGGACATACAAACAGACGCGAGGCAACCAGTATATGCCATCGGCCCCTCTGACCACCACCGACCACTCACACACACCAGAGATGAGACCAATTTATGTATTTTTATTTTGTTAGCGCACCCCTCGGAGGTCAGGAACAGATGTGGGCCAAGCTCCATCACCTGCAGCTCTCCAGAGCTAATGAATCAGCTCACATTCCTGCTTCTTGTGTGATTATGTGAACAGCAGAGAGGGGGAAGTGCAGGGAAACACACAGGACTTGTTTTTATGTGATTAGGGCTGTTGTCAGAGCAGGGTTTATGGACCTATTATTCAGACTCAATTAAGTTTTAAGAGACTATTTTGATCCTCCAAGTGAGTTTATAGTAGTAATAATTTATTTTAGTGCTGTCCAAAATATTGCGTTATTAACGCGTTAACGCAAATCAATATTAACGGTGTCATGTTTTTTATCGCGCGATTAATTTTTTTTTTTTTTTTTTTTTACTTTTTATTGCAGACAAAACACATAAAAAAAACACACAAAAAAAATAGAAACAAAGAAAAGGACTAGTTCAGATACATTGTAGACAGAGATTACAAACAATATGTAGTTGGAGATACAGGGGGCCAAAGAAGAAACCCAGAAGGGCACATAGGGGGAGGGGAGGGGGGGGGGGACATGAAGTGGGAGATGAGGGGGAGGGGTTAATAAAAAAGGCAATACAAGCAAACAGTATACAGTCATAGATAAACCGAAAGTAAACAGAGAAACAGCATAGAGTATTTACATGAACTAATTTACAAAATATTTACAGATTGTTTATCACCATCATAATGACACCATGTTTCTATACAGTCTATGGTCTATACCCACACATACACACACACACCCACACACACACACACACACCCACACAAATGTGTGACTAATTTGTGATTGATCGCGAGTTAACTATGAAATTCATGCGATTAATCGCGATTAAATATTTTAATTGTTGGACAGCACTAATTTATTTATATAGCTCTTAGGTCACAGGGGGCGTGGGGAAGAGCGGTACCTGGTTGCTGCCGTGTCCGAATGGTCTGCTGGAGACGTTGGTGATGAGACTGTGCAGGATTAGGTCTCCACTGGTCGAGCCTGAAGCGATGTGGCTGTCGTTGGCGTTAAATGAGACGCATGTTACTTCCTCTTTGTGATCCTGAAAGAAAAACATTCCATTTTAGATCAAGCAAAACTGTTTCCTACCTACAGGGAGCCTTCAGGGTTTACATTCTATAACATAACCAGCAATAAGCAAAATCCTTGAAGTAGCAGCGATCGCAGAGATATCAAACCTGTTGGCTGTAGGTATGAGCTGCTGCAGCTGTCAAAAGCCATACATACACTGTAAAATACAGCTGCAGAGGACACTGCACTGAGGGGCAGGAGCAGGACTGAGGGCTACAGAAAGACCAGAGACAGACCAGAGACAGACCAGAGAGACCAGAGAGAGACCATAGAGAGACCGTTGTAGTCCTTTGAACTAATCACCACGGTGCACAAAAGCCACAAATGTTTTCTTCTGACTTTAAAAAAACTGTCATGTTATACTAGCTGTTACATGATGTTGTTGGAGGTGGCACATGGGAAGCACCCTGTGAGAAAAGCATGTAAAAATCGCGCACACACAAAATCTGCGAGACTACAGTATTTAAATTAACTAGTCTACTTTTTACTTGGGTTTTTATGGTTTCTATGCAGCAGCTAACATTTCTATGAATTCTGTCAGACCAACACTACTTGAATATTCCTTGAAAACGAAGGTTACGTATGTAACATTCAGTGCTATGCACCGCCCTCTAGGGATCAGGAGGGATGAAATAGAACAAAAACACGGAATATGCTCTACCTCGAGTGAGCGGTGCAGACGCTTGGTTTTCAGGTCCCAGATGTGAACGCCACAATCGAGACCTCCGCTCACCAAGAACTGAGAGGACGAGCTGAGACACACTCGGGTCTGCTTTTTCTGAAACATGGGAAACATTAATACAGACAGAAATTAATGATGTCATATTTTATAGTAAATATATTTTGTCTAAAACACAAATAACTGCTTCAAAACAACAATAGCAACTTCTCATACCTAAATTTGCAGAGCCGATATCAAAATATAAACACCAGGATCACAGAGAGCACTAAACTAATTCTCTGAGCCCAAAATGGTGAGTGTGACACAATCGGTTACTGAGCTGGAGGAGTCAATAGTCTATTTTCCCCATCAGGCTTCATAGAGTTAGCGGGTTAGCATGGTCAAGGAATATGCAGTCTATGGTTTGACTACAAGTGGAGCAGACAGAAAGCAGTCTTGTGTCATCCTAACAATGATAGTGCGTACAATTCTATTCAAATATAAACAAAGGAAAGCAGTTAGCTGTTGGCGCTAACAAAACACACAAGAAAGTAATCATTTGAGCCACCTTTGTGTAACAGACAAGAATATGGAAAACTTGAATATTGTACACAATTTCTCAGGTATAATTGTAGTGTAGTATTAAAAGTTGTTGTTGTGTATACATTTTGTTTGACCCTTTTTTTTCAAACACAATATGAACTCATGTCTTTTAATAAACAGGCCAGAACTGATAGACGTTTGGGCGTGAAAATACTTACAAGTGTATTATGTTCCGCAATGATATTTATAGATCGTTGTTATTTGTATTTGTTGTGTAACTAATAAATAAATTAACAATAAAATAATAACAACAATTGTGGTTGAGCCTTTACCCCTTCAGCGAGCTCCACCACTGGGACTGGAGAGGATTTGAGGCTCGACAGGACAAGTTTGTCGCCAACGGTGCTAGAACTGACCAAGTACTGATCTGAACAGAGTCAAGGCTTTGGGCGATTCAACAGACAATTTCACAAAGTAATCTTTTTTATATAGCGCAATAGACCAGAGTCACAAAGCATTTTACAATTGTTGTATAAACAATAATTTAATTCAAGTAATTATCAAACTATAAACAACATATAGATACAGAAAAGTCACTCAGATAAGAAGACCAAAAACGCACTGATTAATTTAACTTCCAAAACAAAAACCCTTCAAATTGACTGCACCGGGAATTCTAGTGCACCAATACATTTGAAGGTACTCAAATGTATTTGCAATATGTTTAAAAAGTATAACAGGACCTTGGTGCGAGTCTTTCTTGTGCCTCACATCAAGTAGGTCCTGGGTTCAATTCCGCTTCCTGTGTGGAATTTGCATGTTCTTCCTGTGTAAGTAAGTCTTCTTTTTTTTTTATATAGCGCATTTCACAGACCAAGGTCATACAAAAGGCTTTGCGATATTCTCCATTCACACCACACACAGTGATTTAAGCCATACAAATCTGGAAACAATCTTCCTGAAAATGCGAGACGGGCTTCTACTCTGACAGTGGTCAAATCCAGGTTAAAAACTATTTTGATTAGCTGTGTGTATACAACTGTACGATTGTATCTTCACCAATCTTGTTTTGTAAGGCACTTTGCATTGCATTGTGTATGACCTGTGCTAAACAAATAAACGTGCCTTGCCTAAACTAACCCACAACAAAATTCTGTAAGATTGTGCAGCTCTAATAGCAGTTAACATGTACAGACTCTGACTGGAAGAGTGAAATATGAAGGATACTGTTGGAGCTCCAGCACGCCTGAGCGATGGGATGGCTGCTGCTGTGGGGGTGAAACTGCTCCAGGGTTGTCATAGCAACGGCGTCCCATATTTTTACACAGTCACCCGTCGAAACCAGCCGCGTCACGTCCTCCATTGTTAGCGGTGCTGGTCACTGAAACGACAAACGTTTAGAAAGTTAGAAGAGAAAAGTCACGGAAGGTTGGAAGACGTGGGTGACATTGATTAAAAAAATGGCATCAAGTGTATATGCTTATATATATATATACGTATATACACATCTGGATTTACAAATACAATATCAAAACTTAAAACAAAAAAACAGGATGACAGAGAGCGCTAATCTAGGAATGTTTAAGCCCAGAATTGAGAGTGTGACATAAGCTGTTACTGAGTTTGAGGAGTTTACTTATCCAGTGTAAGTCAATAGGAGCAAGTTGCCAAATGTGACATGTAAATTTCTCCTATGTGAGATAAATAAAGCACATCTTATCTTATCTTATCTTGCAGCAAAACTTCACCCATGAGCACTTCCCAATTGGGCGTCATTGAGCTAGTGGGTTTACTATGTCCATCGATATACAGTGTAAGGTCAACACATGTTTTGGCACAATTGATATAAAGCCTTAAATGGCTCATGAAGCGTATATATGCCATAATATTTTGCCATAATTAAAAGGCAAAAACTGCATAGATTTTGCATGTAGCATTGTTATTATCAGGATAACCACAATGGATGATCTAAAAAGTTGTAAAATCCAAACTCGTCCAGAAAAGAGGCTAAATGATCATAACAGGGATTGAAGCGACTTGTCAACAGACTGCAGCTAAAGACACTGAGCTGAGGTTTGTTACTTCCTAAAATAAGTTCGACTGAAGCTACAGAAGCAACAAAAACAAGCTAAAGACGAGTTTCAAACAGTTTATCACGTGTTAAAGGCGTGTCTTACCTGTGTATTGGTGAAAAACAGCAGAAATGTACTTTATTGTGGTTCAGACTGGAGAAAACAGGCGCTCAAAGTGCTCTGCTTCCACGATCTGCTCTGCGCGCAGTGTGTGGGCGCCACCGTCTGTGCAGGAGTGGAACTACAATTACTAACAACTAAAACAGGCCAAAAATAGTGTACGAAACCACTAGTTAGAACAATATTTATATAGTATGATTAATATTTACAGTTTATGGTTATAACTCATTTAACTGCTCCCAATTAAGTCAATGGAACGCTGAAAAAATCCCCCCAAAAGTTAGTTTTCCTTCAGTTTTATTTAAAGTGAGTAATCGCCTTTAGTCACTTTTAATAAGTGCTAAACCCGGTTAATGTAACTTGAAATACAGAGAATTTGTTTTGAAAAGCTAATGCCAACTTCTAGCAAATAAACAGTGTGTTGCTATGGTAACTAGCACTTGCTCTTCTTTGGTGGAAAACCAGGCTGACTCAGCTCTGAACCAGAACCAGTCCGGGACCAGGCCAGTACCAGTTCAGGACCAGTCCAGCACCAGTCCAGAACCCTTCCAGAACCAGTCCAGGACCAACACCTTGAAAAAGAGGCCTTAACTACCATAGAAAGCTGGTTACCAAGCAACAGACAATGCTACATTTGAATTTTAAAATGAGAGAACTACCCACATTTATAAAAAAAAAATAATAAAATAAAAATAAAATAAAAGAATTACATAGAAATAATAAGACAAATCACACAATTGGTACATACACTGATTAATCACACTCCCAAAACTAAAACCCTGTCAAATTGACTGTCATCATGGCGTAAATACGTTTGACGGTACAGCGGAACATGCCAGTACAACAAAACACCAGCAGAGGGCGTTGTTTGGCAGTCGTATGGGCTGGGGCAGAAGGAGGGGCTCCAGTCGGTCTTTTTTAATCGCAGACGCGGGATTTTCAGCACCCACACAGCAGCAGAACCACTACATCTGCACTTAGCTCCACAACATGGTCCGAACTAAAGCCGACAGCGTCCCCGGGACCTACAGAAAGGGTAATCATGTTGTGTATGTGTGTCTTCTACGCGTTTATGTCATTGCTGTGTGTGTGTGTGTGTGTGGGTGTGGGTGTTTCCTCGTATTGTGAAGCTGTTTAGTGTTTGCGTGGGTCGTGAAGTCGCTCAAACTGGATATTATTTTCCCCTGAGCAGTTCTGTCACTAATAGCCTGATGTTCTGTTGTGTGATTGTGCAGATCTATCTTGTTTTGACCCCAAGAGTAGTTTCCTTGTGTTTTCTGTTTACAACAACAATCTCCCGCCAAACGATGGTGCTGGCGGGTTCTCGTCTCCAGCGGCTGAAGTCGTCACATGAGTCTGTATTCATGTGTAGAGTTGAGAAACTGTAGAATAATAGTGACCGCTTTGGATTGATTGTACTTAAACGTGACTTAAATGTCATTTTTAAGGCTTTTCCTTTGAATTGGCGCCAGGTGCAGCGCCGCACTGTGGTGAGTAGTGTTTAAAGGTCCTTAGGTTTGTCTTGCTTTGTCTTGGTTTCTGGTCAAATTATTATTTCAATTGTCAGTTTTTACTCTTTTGTAATGAGGCTCAGATCCAAGGGGTCCAGGGTTTCAGGCTGGACTTGTCCTCAGGTCCAGGGAGTCCATGGTTTCCAGGGTTTCAGGCTAGGGACTTGTCCTCAGGTCCAGGGAGTCCAGATGTTTGTGATGGCTTGTAGTCAAAGTGTTATTTCCAAAGATATACAGTCAATGTTTACCCTTTTTAAAATGGCAGGCTTTGGTTTGTTGCTACATATATGATGTATTCTAAAATGGCAGTGTTGGGTGTTCCATGTTCATGTGATAAGCTGGGGATAAGTTTACAATTTCTTGTAAAAAAAAAACAAAAAAAGTATTATAATTTAACATCAATAACCATTTCCATACTTGTGTTTTTCAGCTGTTGCAGCGTCTGCTCCCCGGAAGTCCCTCGGTGCCAGTTCCTCCAATGCTGGGTCTTCGAGCAGCAGTTGCTCTACTCCAGGTCTGCACATTTGCACATCTCAGAGTTTAGATGCACTTCTTTGAAGCATAAAAAATACAGGTTTTAACACATTCTACTTTGTTCATGCACTGATGCTCAGCTCGACCCACACTCTGGGCCTTTTTTTATTTTTTATCATTACTTAAAAATCAGTTTTCTGCAGCGTTCATGGGTTATACTAAGAACAAAAAAGGAAGCTCCCCTCAGCTTGATTTAAGCTGCTCAGTCTTGTGTTGGCACAACTTAACACGTTACAACATGTAGGTACAAGCTTTGTGAACAAAATAATACAGCTTTTGTGTTTGCTATAAGAAAGTGCACATCTAGACATTCGATGCATATACATCAATTCTCCTTATATATCTGTGGCATGTAGCTACAGCTATATTTTATGTACCACCAATCATTGTGTTTGCTGTTCGTTAAACTCACAGCTAATAATTAGAAATGGGTTTACCCATTTATTCACTAGAATACTGTTGTCAATAGATACTTCTTTGACCTCCCAGCAAATTAAATGATGTATGTCGTAATAACCAGCTTAGTTTTATCATAATTGCACAAGGTCATCAAAAAGATCCATTTATCTTCACAGAAATGCGCGACTTTAAAACCTTCTTTTTTGTTTTCAGCGAAGGGCAAATATGCAGGCGGTAACCCAGTGTGCCCGCGGCCCACCCCCGACTGGCAGAAGGGCATCGGGGACTTCTTTGGGGGTCCACCTCGCAAACCTGAGAAAGAAAAGGAGAAGGAGAACCTGAAGCCTTCTGTGGAGGACGAGGAGGAGGCGGGAGGCAGCGGTGTGTCAAAGTCCAGCAGGAAGTACGTGCTCCTGGGGTTGGGATTTACCGTTTAACTAGAAAAGCTGAAATGGGCTCATACCACCCCTTCTAAGAACAAGGACTCCAGTTTTAACCATTATTGTTCATTTAAATCGTCTCAGACTTGTTGTTGCATCCTCCACAATGGATCAGAGAATCAACTGTTCAAATACAGGAAATACAATGCTAACAAACGTATTGGAGCCTTTAGCATTATGGCGGCGCAGTGGATGGACGCTTATGGAGTTTGGGCTAGGAAAACAAAACTCGATATTCACGCATAATTTGAAATATTAACCAAAAAAATGACATTTGCACGAAATATTAGACAGACCTTAATATTCCAATATAATCATCGACAGTCGTGCTTAGATAGATGTTCCTGTTTTAGAACTGGTCAGAATATTGTTTTTATACGTACGCACAGGCGGCATGTGGACGTACGACTTCCGGCTCCAGTTATTACACTTACAACAAAAACCCGGGGTTGAGTTTCTTCTAAAAACAGCATTGATTCGCTGCACACACTGCCCTCTGGTGGACAAAACCTTAGCCACTATAAATAAATAAAAGTTATACCCAGGGGTTTGTTACAAGCATTTATTAGTCCAAATATGAATACATTTTTGAATAATATTAGAATTTCAATTTTAATAAAACAATGACATTCTGATATGGTTTTTGAGATGAATTCTTGGCCCTATTTTGCATGTTCTCCCCGTGTCTGCGTAGATTTCCTTTGGGTTCTCCAGTTTCCCCCGTCCTCTAAAGACATGTACAGTAGGTGAGGGTTGTGTGAGTGACAGTGGGACTACAGATGGAAATGGGCCACTCTGCTACATTCTGGTTTCTCAAGCTTCAGATCCAGGACTGAGACTTGTAAAAACTGGTCTATTTTTTGAAACGCACTAATTTCTTGGGTTCTAATGTCGTGTTTTGTGTCCCCAGATCCAGACCGCTCATAGTGGACGATGAAGAGGAGGATTGAATCATCGTGTTGTCGAATTGTCCTGAATTTTTTTAATGTACATCTGTAAATATTTTCATCACTGAATTTCAAATTGTATAGTTCATTAAACTCTCCCTCATGTTTTTTTGTTTTAAATGGCTGTTTGTTTTAACGCGGGGGAAAGTTCCTAAGTACTATAATCGGTGTTCATCTCCACGGTCTGAAAGTGGGAATAATAAAGTTACTTGTAGCACTCTGACGCAGCAGTCTTAGCTGGTGTTTTTATTTGCTCTTGTGTCGTTTACAGCTGGAGGATCGTCTTTATGGTCTCCTTTATCTTTTTGTTTGGTCGTTACCATGGAGCAAACATCAAATTCATAATCATTAACTCGTCAATGGGACTATTGAATGTTCAGGCAAAGGTGGATTGGATCATAGCCTGTATATAGTTGGACAAAACTAACCTGCAAACTCAATGAAGCCCAATAGGGAAGTACTCATGGTCAGTGTTGGGAGTAGCGTGATACAAAAGCAATTGTTATGTTGCTGTAATCTAGTAATGAGATTTTATTCTTTTTAACAGTAGTATTTCTGCCATTTAATAAATACTACCGTTTTTTTTTTACTCTGCATTTTGTGTTTTTATCCTATGTCACGGCAAGATCAGCAGAGGAGAAAAACATCTGCACCTCTACAATTTAAGTGTTTTTCCTTCATGGTAGAAGACGGCTGAAGCTGAAGCAGGCACTACGTCTGACAATGGTACATATTCCCATTAGAGTACAGAGACTGGGATGTGGAATAATAAGTTAAATGTGCTTTATGTACCAAAGAAATCTCTCAACTTCAGGCTAGATTTAGTATGAACATTAATATCTGGTGAAAGTATCTTCAAAGTTATGCAGTAGTAGTGTAACGCATTACTTTGAAAATACAGTACAAAGTAACGCATGTATTACTTGGCAAAGACATACAGTGCTTCATATACTGATGTTTTAGCAGTAATGCAGATATAACGGGTCCACAGTAGAAAATATGCTGGTCCTATTGCACACTAGTGTACGTCTTTCTTTTCCACATTGTTTGTACAGTATCTGAGTCATTAATATCTCAAGAGGAAAAACACCAGCTCCTGCATAGTGTGTTAAATTTAAGTTTAACCGAAATTACTTACATGTGTTATAAAATATCCATTCACCTATTGACGTTCATTAAACAAAATCAACTGTTTTTGTCACACATTTAGGCTTAAAATCTGTGGTTTAGTGCTCCATATGATCCAAGTGTTTATATTTTGATATTAAGCTTAGCAACCATGTCAACAAATGCCATGGCTCAAAAAGGTTGGGGAACACAGCCAATTTTATGATACTTTTTTTTTTTTTTTGTCACAAAGTTCTGGTGTTTAGCTGAATTTACAAAACACTAAAACGGTTCCTGTCCAGAAAGTGTATCTTGAGTGTATTCAATGTCAAATGTAAATACAAGAGCATTTATTTCAGGAAAGAGAAAAAAAAGAAAAACGTTGTAATATCTTAACATTTCTACATGATTTAATATAAGTAGTTTATACCGCACGTTATTTCATGTGTACAGTTAAAAAAGTCAAAAGTGGCGTAAACATGTTGCTAACATGCTAATGCTAATGCAGTAGATGGTGTGTCCTTCAATATACAATCGCCTTTTGGACCAAGCCTGAGAAAAAGCATTTTAATGGGTCGCTAAGAGCTGGGATACCTATCTTTTATCTTTATTTGAGGAGCTCTGAGTAGAGTCGCTGCTTCTCCACATGAGGAGGAGCCAGCTGAGTCACTCTCATATTCTCTGCTGCTTAAGTAGAACATACACATCTGTAAACACCTCCGAACCAAGTGCAATCATAGCTCCAGAGTTTTATTCTATTCCATTGTATTATCAAACAGCGGAAAAAGCGGAAGAAAATGCTTTGATTGAGAAACAAAAAGTTAGGCACCCCAGCTTTACTATAACACTTGTAGATGTTATTTCTGCGGGTTCCTTCACAGACTGGATGTCATAACCTTCTCATCAGACTCCTCCAGCTTATCCCCAAGTCCGCTGTCTCCATCCGCATCACCAAACTTGACTCTTGGCGCCTTCATCCCTCCCTCCTCATCCTCCTCATCCTCCTCATCCTCGTTCTCCTCCTCAGCTCGCCCTTCGATGATCACCACGTCCTCTTTGGCGTTGGGGTCGATGTCCTCCTTGAACCACACCGCTTTGTAGCCGTCCTCTTTGTGTTTGTCCTTGCTGAGAATGGGCTTGACCTCCTTCTCCTCCTCCTGAATGGGCGACGGGGGTCTGGGGAGGACTCTGGGCTGGGATTTTTCTGACGGGGCCGAGCTGCTCTGCTGACCACCTCCTGACGGACCTCCTTTGTCGTCTTTGTCGTCGTGTTGGAAAGCTTCGTTTGTGTATTGGACGCCTCCTTTTTGACCGGAGGAGCCCAGCTGGGGAAAAGGAAAGGAAATAAACATATTAGATCAGCGGTGTCAAAGTCATTTTAATCGGTGGCCGTCTTCCGTGAAGAAGCAGCTGTACTTTTTAAGGCTGTAAAACTCCTCACACACACTTTTCTAACCACCTGAACTCACCACTGCTGAAGTGAGAGAGACCAGAGATATCGAACCTGTTGGTTGGAGATCTGAGCGCTGCTGCAGCTGTCAAAAGCCGTGCATACACTGTAAAACACAGCTGCAGGGGAAAACAGCGCTGAGGGGCAGGAGCAGGACTGAGGACTACGGGAAGACCGCTGTTGTCTTCTACAGCGGTTCAGACAAGACACAAACGTTGTTTTATCCAGACCTCTCCTCAAAGCCCGCTGTGGCTGATCTTCAGGTTAAGACTGAACTCACTTGAGGAAATGGGTGGAGTCTGCTCCTGCTTGGTCTGATAGAAAACCTGCAGCCCTTTCAAGACCGGTTTGGACGTCCTTGCATTAAATACATTTGTAAATTTCTCTATTGTGAGATCAATAAAGTTTATCTTATCTCTTAAAGGTAACTGTCATGTTATACTAGGGTTATATCAAAAAACGCGCAAAATTGCACACAAGGTGAACCGTGTTATAGCGAGGGACCCCTGTACTTCAGAACAGACCCATGGACTTAAATATAAATCTCTGACCGATGGCAACAACCATTTTTTGTGTGTCCTCGGGCAAGACAATTAACTCACAACATTTAATGAAAGGTGGAGGGTGGAGAGTTTCATCCATTTAGTACTATTTACCAATGATTTTTACTTTTGAAGTATATGGTATTTTAGTGTATACAGTAATCAATCAATCAATCAATCAAATTTTATTTATAAAGCGCTTTTCATACAAAAAGTGTAACACAAAGTGCTTTACAGTTTAGTTAAAAACAATCCAACATGCCCAGCCCTAAACCCACCTCCCCACAGACCCCCCAAAACCACATTTATAATTATATATACAATACACACACCCACAGTAATGTGTGTGTGCGGGGTTTTACAGCTGCTACTTTGTGGGTTTTGCATATTGTGGGTAATTTCTAGAACGTAACCCGAGCCATAAATGAGGCACCACTGTGTAAGATATACATTTTATACTGGTTTATTTTATTCTAGAGTTAGAGTTTTAATTCTATTTTATTTAGCATTCTTTTATCTTGTGCCGTGTTCTACTCATTTCTGCTTATCTGTAACTGGTGATGTAACTCTGAAATGTAATCTCTCTGAATATATTTACAGCGCTCCTGAAGACACTGGCTTCGTTGATCTTCTTCCAGGCCACGTCCCCTTTACGGATCTTCACAAAGAGGACGGCGATGACCGCGATGGAGACGAACAGAAGAACCCCCAGAGAAGCCCCCAGAGCCGCCATGTCCACCGACGTGAAGCCCCCGACCGGGATGGCTTCATGGAGCAAAGGGGAAAACATTCAAGTTAAGATTTTACAATATCAGTAGGAAAATAAATGTGTCATTGGCTAAAGCAATACAGGATTAGCATTAGCTGTAGCTTGAAGCACTTGGCTCTGATTGGTTGCTTTATTTGACAATACAGACATAATAATAAAAATGGACTATCGTGAAAACTTCAGAAAGTGAAAAAACTGAACTATGTTGCTCCATGTGTAATGCATCTACAGTATGTAGAATAAAATCCACTTTCTGAAATCATGGACAAAAATCCATTTTCACAACATTCTTTTGTTACTGTTGGATGAATCTCAAAGTTTAGCAAAGCATTGTAGCTGCAATTTATTAGGTAATACACACAAAAAGTCTCAAATTCTCTCTCGCACTATATTTGCTGTTTCTCATTTTCATTATATTTTGAACTTTTTAGAAAATAATTTCAATTCACAAGATTATTGGATTTGAAAAACCTTTTGAGGACAGGATATCAATACAAACATGTGGTTTGTTTGTTTACATTTGATTAGATTACTATTAGCATTACTGAAACACACAGTAGCTATTCTTTGATCACCGCAACAGTGGTGGTCTTTTCATTTGCATTTTGAGACGTCAAGACACTGATGCTGGTTTGAGACTTGAAAGTGGGCACCTGTGTGCGCTGTGCTGGCCGTGGTGACTCCAGGGGTTGGTCCAGAGGTTGGACCAGGGGTTGGTCCAGGGTTGGATGTTTCAGGTGTTCCCAGGGTGGTCTTGACGGGGGTAGGGGTGGGAGTCATTGAGGTGTTGTGTGTTGGATCAGGGGTAACGCCGGTGCTGGGTCCGATGCTGGGTCCGGTGCTGGGTCCGGTGCTGGGTCCGGTGCTGGGTCCGGTGCTGGGTCCGGTGCTGGGTCCGGTGCTGGGGTCCGTAGCCACAGAGGTTGGGTTGCTAGTTGCATTGGTCAGTATGGAGGTTGTAGTTGGAGGGGGAGTGGTAGTGGTGGGCTCTGCGAGGAGAGCAAATATGAGCCAAGAAATGACCCTCAGACCCAAAGTAAAATGGCCAATACATTTGAGAGCAGTACCTTTAAGTTTAGTTTTGTACTTATCCCATTGAGGCTCTACATCCACAGAACTTGCAGGACTATTAAGCGCAACCTGTTTATGGTGAGCTGCACCAACTACAATACGTTAAATGAATACATGTTGATGATATACAGGCCGCACTTAAATATAAGTTGCAGGTTTTCATGTTGTACTGAAGACTGAACCAACAGCTCCAAAGCAACACACTCCATCCATCCATCTTCTTCCCCTTCCATTTCTGTTTCTGGTAATCCATTTCCGAGTGCACAGGAGGATGGCTGCTCTGTCAGCAACAACACAGCTTTGATGTTTCAGGCGTCAGGCAAAGTGGGGTTAAGTGTCTTGCCCATGAACACAACGACAGCAGACATCAGTCAAAAAGCCATTGCTCTACCAACTGAGCCACTGTCGACACATGATGATCAAAACCCTCTGGTAAACATGTTCTGACAACAACATTCCTACTAAAACTAGTCCAGCCCTAATTGAAAAGTGTCTTAGCTCTCTGTTCACATAAACACACAAGAAGCAGGAATGTGTGCTCACATCAGCTCTTGGGATCTGCAGCTGATAAATTAAAAATACATACATTGGCAGCATCTCACCCATGGTGACAGTTTTTATCACAGAGCAGCAGACGCTAAACTGCATTTCGTTGCATTGTTCTGACTTTGTAATGACAATCTAATCTAATCTAATCTAATAGACTGTAAATATTAATGGACGTAGTCACGGCTAGCTCCGGCATTCAAACTAATGTGCGACAACTTTTGGCTCATATGGGCAGTTTCAAAAGGCAGCCCCATTCATTTGACGAGTGCCTTCAAAATTCCACTGAGACTAAACCAAATAAATTCACCCCCCTCAGCATTGACACATGTGGAAAAGAGCTTTGGGCCAAGAGACAACTTTTGGACCATTGTGTAAAGCTGTTTTTGAGAGGTAAGAAGATAAATTAAAGCCGGAAGTGGCGTTGAGCGGCCCTCGCCTCACCGCGCAACTCCCCGCACCGCGCACACCATCCCGCGCCACGCGGATCTGCACCACGCCGCTTCACACCACGCCGCTTCACACCACGCCGCTTCACACCACGCCGCTTCACACCACGCCGCTTCACACCACGCTGCCCCACACAAAGCCGCCCCGCACCAAGCGGATCTACACCACGCCGCCCCGCACCAAGCTGCAACGCGCTGCTCCACAACGCCCCGCACTTCGCCGCACCACACCGTACCACGCAGCATCGCGCAAAGGAGGTGGCGCCGCCGTGTGATGATTTGTTCCCATAGCAAATTGCTAGATGATGTGGAGCGATTTTGAGGCGAATCGGTGAAACGGCCGAGGAGGAGTCGCTTTCCAACCGACATGTATGAAAACTATTGCTGTTCATTTTTCCATTTTGCAGTGAAATTCATGGGCTTCCTGTTTGTCAGAGGGCGGAGCCATAATAATATTTTTTTCTTGTCCTGACTTGAGGAACATGTGTACCGAATTTCATGGCTCTACGACAAACTTGATCTCCAAAACTCCCATAGGGGTATTATTTTGGCTGTTGTAGGTGGCGCTGTTCTGGCATTTTTTGAGTCCCATAAAAATAAACACCAAAATATAATTTTTTTTGCCAGGTCTGATTTTTGGGCAAAATTCTACAACTTTTCATGCATGTTCAGGGGGTCAAATTAAGGCTCAAAGTGCAGAATTTGACATCTCTCGAGCAAAAACAATTAGCATTGGCTAATTCTTATTCCTGGTCCACCCCCACTGGCCCAGAGTGGTATTGCAGCATGTCAGCGCACCTCATTTTGGACATTTTTGAGCCAGGACCCGCCCCCACTGGTCTCACCATGGAGCGTGAGATTGACTGGCAGATCGGTGCAGTGTGTGCAGTGATGCGGTATCGGACCGTTGTGGTGAAGAAGGAGTGGAATCAAAAGGCAAAGCTCTCTATTTACTGGTCGATTTACGTTCCCTCCCTCACTTCTGATAATGACCGAAAGGACGAGATCGCAGATACAAGTGGTCAATATGAGTTTCCTCCGCAGAGTGGCTGGACGCTCCCTTTAGAGATAGAGTGAGGATCTCAGTCACGCAGGAGGAGCTCAGAGTAGAGCCACTGCTTCTCCACGTCGAGAGGTACCAGAAGAGATGGCTCAGGAACGACCCTGGTCACAGGACACACTGGAGGGACTCTCAGCCGCCTCAGGATTCCCTCAGATGAGCTAGAGGAAGTGTGTGTGTGGATAGGGAAGTCTGGGCCTCTTTGCTGAGACTGCTGCCCCCGCAACACGGCAACGGATAAAGCGGAAGAAAATGGATGGATGTATGAAAATTGGCCGTATCGCTGTACAGGCCGCTGGGTTCAAAGACCTTAAAAAAGTAGTGGCTTATCGTCTGGCAAGTGCTGTAAGTAGGTCTGGTAGGTCAGTTTAACACATCTATTCACCTTTGATTACACAGACAGCAGCTAATAGGTGTTTCGCTGAGCCGCAGGAGCAGATTTGAAAATGGCTTTTTGGTAATCATTTGGCACAGCGGTCTGCAAAAGCCCCAAAAGCGGCGTACTGGTGCGCTCTCCAAACAAGGTTCCGCTCCTACCTTTCACCACCTCCACAGAGACTCGAGTTGTGGCTGTCCCCGGGTTTTTCTTGTCTTCAGCCTTGACCTAAATAGAATCAAATGTATTCTCACTTTCTCACAAAACTATAGCTTATGTTGAGGAATCGTCCTTACTTCCAGCTCATACGGTCCTTCAGCGACCTCCGTGGACATGAACAAATATCCATTAAAAAGAGAGAATGCGGTGCTTCCCGTTATGGTGTAGACGATATTAGGATTTATACCCTGGGAAACACAGAAGTAATTACATTGTTTTGGTCATTTCAATTTCTGATCTCTGTTAAAATTCTGTATTCATATTACAGTGATCCCCGTTTATAGTCTAAAAATAACACACGATATGATAGGTCTGATCGCTGCTGCAGCTGTCAAAAGCCGTGCGTACACTATAGGTCTTCCCGTAGCCCTGAGTCTTGCTCCTTCCCCTCAGCGTGGTGTCCTCTTGCAGCTGTATTTATCAGGGTACGCACGGCTTTTGACAGCTGCAGCAGCACTTCAGAGAATCAAAACATACAGCTGATTCAAGAGATTGGATTATTGTGGGTTATTTTCGGAAAGTAACCCTCGCAATAAACTAGGGACCACTGTTCAGGAGAAAAATTCAAATTCACGCAACTCAACAGGAATTACAATAGGAACAGGATGCGTCTTACCCCATCCACAGCGTAGTCCTGGTCTAACGCGCGTACGATCAGCAGCTTGTCTTTGTCTGCAGCGTCCACGGCCATCGTCCCCACTCCCTCCACCAAGGCTTCATACAGCGGCTTCTCAAACTGGGGCTCATGAACACTCTTAGCCACCACATTTATCATCAGACTGGTTGTTGCCATCTGGAACGAGTTTTTCGCATGTGAGGCCTGCGTGGGAAAAAAAAAACATGTATTTAATTTCTTATTGAAGCAACACAAAACACAAGGATGATTTTTAGGGTGAAATGTAACGATAAAAATCCAACCAGTATTTTCCGAGGCTCTGTTTGTGCTACTTAAAGGTGCAGTTTATAGGCGGATTTTCTACTTCCTGGTGGATCATCAAGACTATTGGTCCTCCCACTTGTCAATCATTTCGTCAGATAAGACCAGAGAGATTTGTTCAAAAAGTGGAAAGGGCAGTTCTTTCCTAAAATATGGAAAAATCCTCTTATGTACATTTAAGCCCCGTTTCCACCAGCCCTTCTTGGTCCTACACTACTCGGCTCGGCTCTACTTTACCCCGATTGAGAGCGTTTCCACTGGCCCTGTTTAACCGGTACCAGGTATTTTTCATCTATTTCAATTTTCCTACGGTTTTATCACTTAAACATAACACAAGATTGAGCATTGTTTAAACTGAAAGTAAATGTAGTTCTTACCAGTACGGTCATGACAATGGTCTTTTCCACAGTCACAGCTTTCAGCATTGTGATGTTTCCATTAACTGGGTCAATCTGGAATGCGTCTTCACTCCCTAAAAAATGAACAGAATTAAAGTGCTCTTCTTAAACATGTCTGTGGACTGCTTTTGAATCTGTCCATTTATTTAGTGCAGGCAATATATTGATTATAATGATGGTAACAAGAAATCAATAAATAACAGTTCAGAGAGAGAGAGAGAGAGAGAGAGAGACCAGAGAGAGAGAGAGAGAGACCAGAGAGAGAGACCAGAGAGAGACCAGAGAGAGAGAGAGACCAGAGAGAGAGAGACCAGAGAGACCAGAGAGAGAGACCAGAGAGAGAGAGACCAGAGAGAGAGAGACCAGAGAGAGAGACCAGAGAGAGAGAGACCAGAGAGAGAGAGACAGAGAGAGACCAGAGAGAGAGAGAGAGAGAAGACAGAGAGAGAGACCAGAGAGAGAGACCAGAGAGAGAGAGACCAGAGAGAGAGAGAGACAGAGAGAGACCAGAGAGAGAGAGAGAGACAGAGAGAGACCAGAGAGAGAGAGAGAGAGACAGAGAGAGACCAGAGAGAGAGAGAGAGAGAAAGACAGAGAGAGACCAGAGAGAGACCAGAGAGAGAGACCAGAGAGAGAGAGACCAGAGAGAGAGACCAGAGAGAGAGAGACAGAGAGAGACCAGAGAGAGAGACCAGAGAGAGAGAGAGAGACAGAGAGACCAGAGAGAGAGAGACCAGAGAGAGAGAGAGACCAGAGAGAGAGAGAGACCAGAGAGAGAGAGACCAGAGAGAGAGAGACCAGAGAGAGACCAGAGAGAGAGAGAAGAAAAATTAGACCAGAGGGAGACTTAGAATGAGAAAGACAAGAGAGGAGGGAGGGAGGAAGTAAGAAATCTTTATTTATATAGCGCCTTTCTCAGACCAGAGTCACAAAGTGGTTTACAATTGTTATTTTTGGGCACTTGTCTCTCACTCGTCATAGAGATGGGAGCGGGGCCAGTACAGGAGGCGCAAGCCAGACCTATTGTACATGTTATTAGTGGTAGGGGAAACCGGAGCACCCGGAGAAAACCTACGCAGACACGGGGAGAACATGCAAACCCCACTCAGAAAAGTCCTGTTCCGACCGGATTCGAACCCACAGGACCGTCTTGCAGAGGAGCGAAAATGCTATCCACTCAGCCACCGTGCCGCCCATTGCGATTGAGGCGGGAGAAGAAGACGGCGCGGACAACTTTATGGAGAACGACAAGTAGATGGAGCCAGGTGGGTTTGGATGAGGGAGATTGATTGGGGCCGGTGGAAGAGGAAGACTTCGGATTTGGAAGTGTTGAGCTATAAGTTACGGGCCATCCAACTTTTCACATTGTTAAAACAGTCACCATAAACAGCAGCACCATCAAACACCATCGTCTGTTTTTAACTTTTTGCTTTTCTACCATTCACTATTTAACCTGTTGATATTTTTTTACTAATGTTTATTCTGCTCATATCCTCCGCTGCTAAAGTACAATATACACATCAATACTCGCTGAACCAAGTGCAATTATAGCTCCAGAGTTTATTCTATTTTTTATTATTATTATTTTGTATCTTTTTTATTGTATTTGTCTAATATCTTAAATAATAGACTAAATCTGAGTGCTGTTGTTTCCTTCTTTCTCTGCTGTAATGTGCGCAACGATGACACTGAAATTTCTCCACTGTGAGACGAATAAAGGCATATCTTATCAGATCTTAATGGTTTTTAGATGTACTTTTTGTAAGACAATCATGAATCCCTCATGTGATTGGACCTGATGGGGCCGTGTCCTGCTGGGGCCGTGTCCTGATTGGCCCCGTCACTCACCGCTGACGATGGAGTATGTGACCGGCTCGTTGAGACCTCTGTCGCCATCGAAGGCCCAAATATGATTGGGTTTCAGAGATAATGGTCCTTCCTGCAAAAAAATATGAATCATGTCGGGACTGTCACAGGGCACTATTTATTGTTATATCTGTAAATAGTAAAAATACACAATAATCAATGTAATAAACAGTAATTACAGTACCACCAATGTTACCTCCCTTTGGGTATTGGTGAGAAAATTGCAATGTTTATATATTTTTTTTATTTATGGCTTATTTGGTTGGTTCATTCGAGTAATCTTTTTCTTTAGACTTAGTATTTCTTCTCAATTTTATTTCTTTTTTTATTTTTATTTACATTGTGTGAACATAAATAAAGACACAAAAAACAAAAACAGAAAAAAGAGAAAAATAAAATAATAACAAAAATACAGTGATTTTTTTTTCTTTAAAAAAAATCTAAAATATTGAAAAGAAGTCACTAATTGAGAAGCAGTTTGTGTAGAAATGTCAATTAGACTGCATAAATTAGCAATGCTAACCAGCTAGCCCAATGAAGCCCAATGGTGCTCCAAGTTTTTGCTCCAACTCGCTCCTATTGACATACATTAAAAAGTAAATTACTAACATCAAAGGTCTGGCTTTCACATAATTGTTATTTTCTAGAAAACAAAGCCCATTGATAAACGGGAGTGAATTTGGACCTGTCGTATGCACTCTAACAAACCGATCATTGGCTGACCTCCTTCTCTCCCAGATCCACCACTCCGCTGTAGCCAGTGTTGGGGCAGATCTTGACCCCTTGGACCACTGTCACGGGGCAGGGCTGGAACCACGGCGGCCGCGTGTCCACGTCCTCGATGATGATGTCTATTTTGGTGGAGGCGCTGAAGAGTGAGTCCTGTAAGTGTAAGACGAATTTTAAAGCATTGACCCTTCAAGCAGTGGCTTCTGTTTAAACAGCTATGGAGGGGCTGATATGAGTGTGTGTGGGTGTGTGATATTCTTTTATTTGATCTAGATAACTAATATTTTCCATGGAGTAAAAATAAGTCCATAAACTGCCCTGCTGTTCGATTTGTACAGTATTTTGTGCATTTCTTTGTGTCTCTCTGCTGTTCATATAAAAACAAGACTTGATGGATAGAGATGTGCCGACATTACTCTACCATTCTACCACAGTAAAAACGCACACATTTAGGATTAAAGAAATTGAACAAAGTAGCAGCTCATAGCTCGGCAAAAACAGGGGTAATAAAAAAAATGAATTGCTTTCTTTTTTTGAGGCGACAGTTCAATTCACAAAAGTACATCTGTGACATGTTAGTGTCATATGAACCAACTCGGACTCTGAGGGGCACAGGGACTGGCCTCCTGCTGGGATTTTCTCTGGCCTCTCTCTCTATGGGATCTTTCTGGTCTCTCTTCCTGCTCTCTCTCTGGTCTATCCTTCTGGTCTCGCTCTCGGTCTGGTCTCTATCTCTGGCCTCTCTCTCTGTGGGATCTTTCTGGTCTCTCTTCCTGCTCTCTCTGGTCTCTCTCTGTCTCTACGGTATGTCTCTGTCTCTCTCTGGCTCTAAGGTCTCTCTCTGGTCTCTCTCTGTCTCTAGGGTCTTTCTGGTCTCTCTTACTGCTCTTTCTCTGATCTCTCGGTCTCTCTCTGGTCTCTCTCGGTCTCTCTCGGGTCTCTAGGGTCTGTCTCTGTCTCTCTCTGCCCTCTTTCTGTCATAGAGTCTCTCTCTGGTCTCTCTCTATCTATAGGGTCTCTCTCTGGTCTCTCTTCCTGCTCTCTCTCTGGTCTCTCTCTGTCTCTAGGGTCTCCCTTTGTCTCTAGGGTCTTTCTCTGGTCTCTCTCTGTCTATGCAGTCTTTCTCTGGTCTCTCCCTGGTCTCTCTCTGGTCTCGCTCTGTCTCTCTCTGTCTCTAGGGTCTCTCCCTGGTCTCTCTCTGTCTTTCTCTGGTCTCGCTCTGTCTCTAGGGTCTCTCTATGTGTCTGTCTAGTCTCTCTGTCGCTCCAAGGACATCCTGGGTTTATGCACATTACATCAAACTATGCTTCTTGCTGATGCTCTGGACTTGTTTTCGTTGCTCTCTGTGACAATGACAAACCGTAGAGTTCTGAATCTACAGTATTTGTTGTAGAAAAAGCTTGGGGTCGTTTATGTGATGCAGGCCCGTGTGTACAACCGTGAACAGGTTAGACATCACCTTAGCAGTCAGGGTCAGCTGAACCTTTGGAAAGTCGTCATACTCGATTAGTTTGGCGACAACAAGGTCTACTTCTCTGCCAAAAACTTTCAATTTGAAGAGATCCTGAAGGCAGACACACAAGAACATAGCACATATGAAAATTAGCCAGAATAATGAGAAAAAGTGACAAGACGAATGGCCGAACTAAACATGGGAAGGCTGCATATCAGATTCGTCAGCGCTAGATCATATATGGAATAGGGACGGAAGCGGAAGTAAATATAAGCAACCACCTAAACTAATAGATCCATGCCAGTGGGGGCGGGTCCCGGCTCAAAAGTGGCCAAAATACCACCCCGGGCCGATGGGGGTGGACCTGGAATAAGAATTAACCAATGCTAACATACAGCATCTTCTTACGTCTCGAAAACGTCTTCACAGGACGGTCCAAAAGTTGGCTCATGGCCCAGAGCTCCGTTCCACATGTGTGTCAATGCTGAGGGGGGTGAATTTTTATGGACCAGTCTAGTTTACTCTCTGTGAATTTTTGAAGTCTCTCGTTTAAATGAATGGAGCTCGTGCAGCTGACACATGTGCAGATGCGTTTCTTCACATTTTCCAGCCCCTGCGGCCATTTTGAAACTGCCCATAGACCGCAAAAGTTGTGGCACATTAGTTAGAACGGTGGAGATAGGCGTGGCTACGTCCTTTAAAGAAGCTATACCCGATTTATTTTTCTAAGTAGTTGATAAAAATGCTTATTACTACATACAAGTTGTATTATAATTCGTAATTTAATTGAAAACTTGAGGTCATTGATTCAGCTGTGTTAGAATTACAAGCAGTGAAAAGTGCTGAGTGGAGTCTTAGCGGGACGTTTGTTCTCCTCCACTCACAGAACGAGCAGCGAACAGCCTCTAGCCTCTACAGCGCTGCTCAACACCAGGGCTTCGACTTCGAAATTCAAATATAATTCTAAAATTAAAAATACATTTATATATTCGAACACATATTAGACAGCCCTTATAATTCAAAATGTATTTAATGACTGCAAATAAAATAGTTAGCTCCCAAAGGTTCCACCGGGACGTGCTAGGCAGGTAACAGCTAAGCTAGCTAGCTCCCTGGAACTACATGTTAACGGTTACTTCCGGGTTTTTCGCGATCGCTTTTTGTCACATTAAAATAGTAATTTGGTCATGAAAACGATAACAAGAAATTCTGAAAAAAATTCTGCATGTGTGTTAAGGATGTATATGTATACAGTATTGTCCGATTAACATTTAATGGTGTTGATTGATAGATATGTAGTTGTTTATTGAGCGTGGCTAGCTCGGCTAGCTTCTCTCGTTGTACTTGCAAAGTAATGGCAGTATTTTACACACCTGAATTACAAACAGAGATTGCATTGTCAAAGGGCAGAGGTCATAATTGATTTGAGAGTTCTGTTATCAAGAAAAAATGATCGGTAGAATTGCATTCAAGTCAATGGAGTGCTGCTGCTGTGAGGAGCTGTATAATAAATTATAATTAAATACTAGAATATATTCTATTGTTTTAATGAATACATTTGGATACGAAACTAGCAGTATTCTTTTACCTATGTATTGTTTATTTTTATTGTTTTTTATTTTATTTGGTATGGACATAACAATAGCATTGGACAAACCAGATACATTGTTTTTAGTGTTATAGCAAGACTGCTAATTTGCAACACCTGTCCATAAAAGGCTAGGAGAGCCCCTACACAAAACACAACACAATACAACAAAAACAAAACAATGCAATACAGTACAGTACACAATACATTATTTAAAAAGGTAAGTAATACATATTATCAATGTCGATTTCATTTCATACATGTGTGCAGCTTTGATTTGACTTTAGCCACTGTTTTAGACCTCTATAAAAACTGTTCATGTCAGTCTGCAGTTTTAAATCACTGGGCAGAGAGTTCCACAGTTTGGATCCATTAAAGGAGAAACTTGACTGACCAAAGGATTTGGTGAACTTTGGGAGAACACAGTCCCCACTGACCGTGGCTCTGGTGGTGCTAATTTTGTTAGCAGTGCATTGCTTTAGTGCCATTTCATCAGTGATTGTTGCACAGCTTACAAGAAGTTGCGCTAATGCTAATGTTAGCATACATGTCAGATCGCAAATTGAACTAGATGGCTCTGTGTTATGAGAGCGTAGGGGAAATGAGAAGCCATTGAGCGAGTTGGGGGGCGGTGCTAAACATTCAAACCTTGCAGAAACGGGTATAGGGCCTTTAATATTTAAAGTCTATGATTCATGCCTAAACTTAACCAGCCATTCCCATAGAATAACCCCAACCCACCCTTAACCTTAACCATAAAACTCAACCAGTCACCACTTAATCACTAATTAGTCTAAAACAAATTCAAAAATAGGATTGTTACTTCCGCTTCTGTTCCGATTCCGTTTATGATCTTGTGCAGACCATTTCAGATTCATGCTGCTAAAATCTGCAAAAACCTTCCTGAAAATGTGAGACAGGCCTCCTCTCTGACCATGTTTAAATCCAGGTTGAAAACAGTTCTGTTTAGCTGTGCATACAACTGAGGGATTGTATGTTTGTATCTTTCTTTTTCATGTACTTTGATTATTTATGATTTTAATGCTATCTTGTCTTGTTCAGCATTTTCAGTTGCCTTGTGTATGAATTGTGCTATACAAATAAACTTGCCTTGCGTTATTCTTACCGTTGAAGAGAGAGTGAAGATGTGTGTGTCCTCAATGTCTGGATCTGTTACGATGATTGTTCCCACAACGGTTTCTACAGGAGTCATCTGCGACAAAAGGGTGCCTTTAAAAAATGATTATACTACTAGCCTGTATATAGATGGACAATGCTAACCCTCTAGCTGCTCATCGTGAAGTTTTGCTCCATCTTGCACTAGCTCCTATTGACTTACATTCAGATTCATTTATTTGCCATTTGCAGTAAAACCAAATTGGAATACATCCCAAGTGTGCACAAGACAAGATGTGACAACTGTGAAATTGGTCGACTAAGACGGTTTCAAAACAAAGGCATGATCATTCAAAGTGCCTTGTTTAAACTGGTAACAGCTTGTGGAAAGAAACTGGAAGCAAAACAAAATGTCCTACATCTCAGCAAACGATATCTTCTGCCAGAGGGAAGAAGCTGGAACATGGCTTTTCCAGGGTGGCCAGGACAAAGGCGTAGAAAAGTTTACTTTGAAAAGAAAACGGCTCTAACTCAAAAACCGACTGTGTCACACTCATCATTTGAAGCTTTAAAAAACATTGGTTAGTGCTCTCTGTGATCCTAGTGTTTATATTTAAGTAGGACTGAATAATATAAGGACTGACCAATAATTTACGGGGGAAACTACAGCTTACCGTAAGCAATATGTCTGCCCTGTTGAAGCTAACGCCGTTGGATCAAATGGCCTTATAAGGAAATCTTCCTAGGCTTCAGCTAGCTAATGTTGAAATTGGTTTCTCCCGCACTAAGGTTAACACTACGGCAGGGGTCTCCAACGTGTAGCTCGCCAAAGGATTTAAAAATGAACAAATCAGATAATATACTTAATGTTGCAGTTTGTGTTATTAAAGGGCCTATATCACGGTTTTTGACTTTTCTCTGCTTTAAACATGATGATAATGCTGTTTCAACCACAGTTGAACCTGATGAAATCTCACACAACAAAGAGACAAAGTTAATCTTTTACTTGTTACATTGTACAAGGAGAATGTCTTGACAGAGGCAAGGCACAGACCCTAGCCTCTCTCAGGACAAGTCTGAAGATTCACAGTCTACAAGCCCCTTTTGGCAGAGCAAGACACACCTTCGTATGCAGATGGGAAAGGAAGAAACCAACACAACAAAAGACACTTCGAATTAGCGTATACAAAGACTGCTTCCACTGGTGTTTAACATATGAGCTCCCCAGACCTCCCGGTGTCTTCCTGAAGCTAAAGTGAATTACAATACAGAGCCGTCAGCACATAGCCACATATGATTTACCAAAATGATAACTTAAGTTATATTCAAATTAGTGCTGTCCAAAATATCGCGTTATTAACGCGTTAACGCACATTTTTTAATTTTATTTTTTTTACTTTTTATCGCAGACAAACACATATACAGAAAAAAAATAGAAACAAAGAAAAGGACTAGTTCAGATACATTGTAGACAGAGATTACAAACAATATGTAGTTGGAGATACAGGGGGCCAAAGAAGAAACCCAGAAGGGCACATAGGAGGGGGGGGGGGCATGAAGTGGGAGATGGGGAGGAGGGGTTAATAAAAAAGGCAATACAAGCAAACAGTATACAGTCATAGATATACCGAAAGTAAACAGAGAAACAGCATAGAGTATTTACATGAACAAATTTACAAAATATTTACAGATTGTTTATCATCATCATAATGACACCATGATGTTTCTATACAGTCTATGGTCTATACCCACACATACACACACACACCCACACCCATAAACACACACACCCCACAGATAAGATAAGATATAAAGTCTGCCCGCCTGAGTTTCACCAAGCTACAGTAAGCGGAACCCAGCCAACATCAAAACCAAATCCGACACACACACAGACCCCCAAGCAGGCCCCCACCCCAAAAAGGGGGGGAGGGAGCCCACGCCCGGCCCATTCCCTCTCTTATTTTGTTCCTTTTTCCCAAGTGTTTTTCTTAACTAAACGTGTCATGCATTAAAATAAGCTTTCGCTTACCCTGACTTGTGTATTATCATTATATGCACATATGCACATATTATTCATGTTATTATTATATTTATCTACTTATTCATTCATTTTTATTTTATTTTATTATTATTATTTATTTTATTTTATTATTATTATTTATTTTATTTTATTATTTTTATTTTATTTTAATTAATTCAAGGAACATAAAGAATAGATACAAATGTGTGACTAATTTGCGATTAATCGCGAGTTAACTATGAAATTCATGCGATTAAATATTTTAATCGTTGGACAGCACTAATTCCAATATCACATGATTACAATGCTATTTGGCCTTCATACACAAGCCCACAGTAGTTTACTCATTGATTCTGTCAATCTTTTGTAAGAGAGCAATCTGTCTCCTTCCCCAGCGAGAGGCACAGAAACGCTCGGGTCCACTTCAGTGACGAAAACCACACTGATGACGCGCATGACGCGCATGACCCCGTTTGCTTTGTATTTAAAATAGTTGTTAAATACTTTTGTCAAAACGGGGTAAACAATACACAATTAGTATGCTGTTTTTTGTCAAAAATAATAAAAATAAAAATAAATTAAAAGCCGGCGGGAGGTGATTGACGGATCAAAACAGCGAATCAGAGCGCACAGGCTCCGGCTCCCGAGTCCAGCGTCTGTGGTCTGGTCTCGCGGACACCACATAGAGCTGCTGTTTTTATGCTTTTGTCAGCAACTAAAAGTTTTAGGATCACGTCAACTTGAATGAAGTGTGTTATGGGTGTAAATATGTGACACACTATTTGGCCCTAAGAGGAAGAAAGCGGCTCGACTTTTTTCATCTGTTCATCTCATGGATCTATTATAATACCGGTTCTACGTCATGGTGCTACGTCCCTTAGGACTTCGCTAGTGGGATATCACTCGTGACCCCCAGGTCACACGCCAGAGAGATCAAAATAATTTGCTCCAATCACCAGCCACCCTCCTCTATAAATGCCCCTGCACAAGGCCGCACCCCCTCTTTCACTCTGGCGCCGTTTGAGATCTACCACAGTACTTACTTAATTCTGAGATGTCTTCCTTGTTCGTCCGAGTTCCCTTCGCCCTCCGGCGTCGGACGTCGTCGCTGGATCCAGACGGTGGAGGACTTCACCTCTGTGGTTGCCACCACTCGAGGAAGGAGGAGGATGCAACCCACGTTGTGCCCGCGTATGGACCCGTTCGTCCATTACGCGACACGTGAGTGGCCTAAGCCCCTAGCAGCCAAGAGGCCTGCTCTGGGGTACGACATGTACTGCAGCGGGCAGGACTGGTCCTGGACCGGTGGTGTCCCGGACATCGAGGATTCAGTCCGCATGGCCCTGCAGCCCTCCGCATCCGTGTGGCCCGGCACCAGACCTCTCCTTCCCTCCGAGCGGGACAGGATGTCTTGCCGATGCTGGATAGATATTATGCCAATGCGGCACAGGTCGTCACATTGGCTAACAACATGACTTTCATCACTGGGGCCCTGGATAGGTCGCTCTCCTCTGGCCAGGCGCTCAGTGGAGACCTCCTGTCACAGGCAAGGACCACCTCGGCGGCGATCCTGCGCATGTGCCAGACGCTAGCCGTGGATGGTGACCCGGACACCGAGGATTCAGTCCGCATGGCCCTGCAGCCCTCCGCATCCGTGTGGCCCGCCCCCGGCGCTCACGGTGTGACGCAGGGGGCCCCCCGGCCCTTTCGGCCACCCCCCCTCCCTGCTAGGAACACCAGGAGAGGGCGGGGCCGTGACGTCTCGTGTTCCAGCTCCCGTTCCGCCCCTCACAGACTTCTACAGCATCTGGAGGGAGCAGGGTTTGCTGACAGATATATGGCTGGAGGAAACATTGCGCAGGGGTTACGCACTGCAATTCTTCCGAAAGCCACCACCATTCCGAGGCGTACGGGCAGTACGCTCTCAGGTACGGGGATCAATAGAGGCACTGCAAGCGGAGGTCTCCTCTCTGCTGAGTCGAGGCGCAGCAGTGGAGGTAGACCCGAATGACACCACCAGGGGGCTGTACTCCCCTTACTTCTTAGTGCCAAAGAAGTCAGGCGGGGTGCGTCCCATTCTGGATCTGCGTGTGTTGAACGAGTGCATTTCCAAACGGCAGTTTCGGATGCTGTCCACAAAGCAGCTCCTCGAGTGTGTCAGGCAGGGAGACTGGATGACATCCATAGACCTGACAGATGCGTACTTCCACGTGCCCATAGTGCCAGAACACAGGAGGTTTCTGCGCTTCGCAGTGGGAGAGAGGAATTACGAGTACTGCCGTCTTCCCTTCGGTTATGCACTCGCGCCTCGGACTTTTTCCAAATGCGTGGAAGCAGCACTGGAGCCGCTCAGACGCGCAGGGGTAAGAATTTTAACCTACATAGACGACTGGTTAATTCTGGCATCATCCAGGGAAGTGGCCGTGAGTCACACGCACTGGGTCCTGTCCCACATACAGCGCCTGGGCTTTGTGGTGAACAGGGAGAAAATTAATAGTTACCTAATGTAAAAAGTTCTACGAATAGGTGCACGTGTTATCCCACTAGCGAAGTCCGCTAAGGGACGTAGCACCATGACGTAGAAGTAGGCTGCAACCGGCTCAGCGCATGATCTATCTCGGCCTGCAGCTAGACTCTGTGACATTCCGTGCTGCATGGTCCGTGGACAGACGGATGAACACTACCCGTCTGCCCGGGGAGGTTCTGGCGGGCCCCAGAGTCCCCGCTCGGCGCCTCAGGTCCCTGCTGGGAATGATGGCGGCGGCTCATGCTGTGGTGCGGCTAGGCCTTCTCCACATGAGGAATTTTCAGAGGTGGTTCTCACGCCTCAGGCTTCACCCCTCCTGGGACGGGGGGAGGCTGATCTGGGTTCCCCAAGTGGCAGCATCAAACATCAGGTTCTGGCTCACTCCGGGTCTATTGCGGGACGGAGTGACTCTGGCCTGCGCCGTGTCTCACGTGGAGGTGTTCACGGACGCGTTGCTCGAAGGATGGGGCGGGGTCCTCGGCCAGAGTTCTGTAGGAGCGCTGATGGTGCGCTCAGACAACACCACAGTGGTCTCCTATCTGAACAGGCAGGGGGGCACCAGGTCCCCCGCTCTCCATCGCATGGCGACGGTGACGCTGCTGTGGGCGGCGCTTCACCTCCTGTCTCTCAGGGCGCGCCACGACCCGGGGGTCCGGATTGTGGGGGCCGACAGGATGTCCAGGGGGGGGCCCACTCCAGGACGAGTGGGGCCTAGCCCCACGGGTAGCTGCGGAGATCTGGCGGAGGTTCGGCCGTCCAGTGGTCGACCTTTTCGCCAGTGCAGGAAACGCACAGTGCCGTCCTGGTTCGCCTCAAGGGCCGCGGACGAGCCGCCCTTAGGCGTGGACGCTCTGGCTCATTACCCCTAGCCAGGGGGCCTGCTGTACGCTTTTCCCACCAGTGCGTCTCCTGCCGGTCCTGCTGCGGAGGATCGAACAAGAGAGGAGGTCGGTGATCCTGGTGGCGCCGGTCAGTCCGCATGCCCGGTGGTTCCCCTTCCTGAGGGGCATGGCGGTGATGGAGCCCTGGGCCCTCCCGGACGAGCCGGGGGCTCTAGTCCAGGGGGGAGGAGCCCTGTTTTCACGCCCGATAATCGGCCGCAGGCTCTGGGTTTGGAGGCTGAGAGGCGGAACCTCGTAGGCCTGGGTCTTCCCCCTGCGGTGGTGGAGACCACTCAGGGGGCGAGGGCGCCGTCCACTGTTAGGGCCTACGCCACGAGGTGGAGGCTCTTCAGCGACTGGTGCGGTTTTTTGTTCCTGGGATCCCAGGCGTTGCCCGCTGGAGGGGGTCCTGGGATTCCTACAGGAGCTCTTTGACAAGGGGAGGGCTGTCGCCACCTTGGCGGTGTTCGCGGCAGCCATTACTTCGGGTCACGACGGATTCGGGGGGTTCACAGCCCGCTCTCATCCGTTGGTTAAACGTTTTCTGCGGGGGGCACGCAGGAGGAGGCCCCCGCTCCAGAGAACGCCCCCGGTTTGGGACCTCAGGGTGGTCCTTAGGGGGCTGTCGGGTCCGCCTTTTGAACCGGCGGCGGAGGCGAGTCCCGAGTGTGTCGCCTTAAGACGGCCCTCTTGTTGGCGTTGGCGTTGGCGTCTGCTAAGAGGGCGGGCGACTTGTGTGCGCTCTCTGTCCATGCGTCTTGCCTGTCCTTTGGAGAGGGCGACGGCATGGTGGTATGGTGGCCCAATCCGGCTTTTCTCCCCAAGGTCATCACGTCGGCCTTTAGGTCGAGAGTCATCAGGATTAGGGCTTTCTATCCGCCACCGCATGCCTCCCCCCGAGGAGGAGCGGCGGCACCTTCTGTGTCCTGTCAGAATGCTGAGGCATTACCTGGCCATGACCTCGTCATTCAGGTTGGGTGGTCAGCTGTTTGTGTGTCTGGGCCCCAAGAACAGGGGCGCCCCGCTGTCGGCTCAGCGGCTGGCGCACTGGGCCGCCACGGCTGTGCGGCGGGCGTATCAGACGCAGGGTCTGGCCCTCCCGGTGGGCTTCAGGTCGCATTCCACGCGTGGGATGGCGGCCTCTACGGCCCTTCTCAGGGGGGTGTCGGTCGAGGACGTCTGTCGTGCGGCTTCTTGGGCGTCGTCCTCCTCTTTCGTCCGGTCTTATCTTTGGATGTGTCGGACCGGTCGGTGGCCCATTCCGTGCTGAGTGCAGCGGACTGAGTTAGACCATTAGGTCCCTCCTCTGAGGGGGCCTTCGGTTTACTTTCCGCCCTGGTTCAGGAGCTCTTGGGAGAGGCATCCTACAGGTGCGGTACATATATGTGTGTTTGGTCGGTCAGGTAGTCCACGTCAGGAGCCCTTGGGAGAGGCGTCCTGTGACTACGGATGACCTACATCTGTGTTACGTGGGGGTATCCTTGGTAGGAGTGGCCCTGTAACACGCATTGTTTCTTCTGCCCTGAGTCCTCTCACTGTGTGAGGGTCTTGCTCGGGCGGAGCTCCAATCACCCTTCGCTGGCCTGCTGGGAGTACATGTTCCTACGGCCTCTGCGTTGTGTCCCACTAGCGAAGTCCTAAGGGACGTAGCACCATGACGTAGATTTAATAGTTACCTAATGTAACTTAAGTTCTACGAATAGGTGCGTAGTCCCTTAGCTACGAGCCCATCAGGCCAGCCCGGCTTGGCAGAGTTCAAGAGGGGGTGCGGCCTTGTGCAAGGGCATTTATAGAGGAGGGTGGCTGGTGATTGGAGCAAATTATTTTGATCTCTCTGGCGTGTGACCTGGGGGTCACGAGTGATATCCCACTAGCGAAGTCCTAAGGGACTACGCACCTATTCGTAGAACTTAAGTTACATTAGGTAACTATTAATTCATCTGCGACACTTCACTGAGACTGTTCCAGAACTACAGGGACAATGGAACTGGACTTACTCAAAAGCTGATCTGGAAACACGTTATTCCCACGGTAAAAGACGTAACTCTGACCCCCTTGATCTGTAAGTAGTGACGCTAACTCGCTGTATACTTCTGTAAACTAAATAACTAGGGTCTGATTGTGCATCGAGGACATAGGGCTCGATTGTCATTGTTGGAAAAAGTTTATTCTTATGTATGAAATTACTAAGTACAGGTGATAAACGACAAAAGCGTGATGCTACGTCACCGTGCGGGCGGGGGGAGGCGGGCTCACAGGCAGAGGAGCAGACTCTTCTCTGGATCAGCTCGTTTGAGTCGAGGTGACGTCACCTCTACACAAGAGATGGCTATAATCTCACAAGCTTTGATTGTTGTGTGGTGTATCATACACATTAATATCACACATGTGCATAGGATTGAGTGTGAAACATGAAGAAAAGCGTGATATAGGACCTTTAAGTATCAGTGTTTATCACAGTAAATGCACTAAAAAATATGCAATGATAAATAATGAATGTACCTGATATCAGGCATGTTCACACCAATATATCATCAAACTTTTCCCAGAGCCGCTTAAAGGAGTAGCTCTCTGCCTTGATTGTTCCGGGAAAGTAGCTCCCTGTGTGAAAAAGGTTGGACACACCTGCACTACGGTGACGTCACACTCAATCAAATGCCGGAGCAAAACCTTGACCATGAGCACTTCCCTGTTGGTGCCAACAGGCAAGGCAGGCAGGCTGCCTGGGGCCCCCAAACCGGCAGGGGGCCCCTGAGGGCCGACTAGACACAAGCGGTCAACTTGTACAGGCTACAACAGCTGCCTGTAGTCACGAGTTGGCGGATAAAAATCTTTCGTCTGATGCGAAACTTGCCACGTGTTTTATTAAGTGTAGTGGTTAAGTCACTGCGCTACCGCCCCAGCGACCAGGGCTCGATTCCAGGTAGGAGCGGGATGACAGTCTGAGATATTTCTATTATATTCAAGGACAGATTGCTCAAGAATGGTAAAAGATAAAAACAAGCTGTTTTTTTCAGATTAAAGCTAAGAGCTAAGATTTTGTAGGATTAATACACTTTGATAGGTAGTTTTTGTAATTAATTATAACATGATGAGTGTAGTGAACAAGCTTTTAAAAAGACATGCTAAATTATTTCTCATTGCTTTGTGTCACGATAAGTACTGAAGTACTCACAATTTTCTATGGAAGACTGTACAGTCTGCCAGGCAGGCCCCAGGCCTATCCATTTATTGTTAAAAATAAGACATTATCTACATTTAATTTATATTTATGTAAACAAGTAATAGATATTGCATTTTATCTTATTATTAAATATATATGTATACCTACTGTAATATAAACTGTTTTATGTGGTTATGTGGTCGTTATCAGGGCCCCCAAAGACTCTGTTGCCTGGGGCCCCGGGGTACCCTTGGAACGCCACTGCCTGTTGGGCTGCATTGAGCTAGCGGGTTAGCATTGTCCATGTGTATACAGTCTATGGAAACATGTTGTCTGTCACCATCAGAATATTGTCTGTGTTTTTCCTTCAGTCTCTTTCTTTCGTACCTCTTTGACGGTTAGCGTGTAAAGCTCCTTATCGAACGTCGGAGGGTTGTCGTTCACGCCTTGCACTGAAACACTGATTCTTAATCTCTGAAACAAAAAAACAGTGATTCTTGAAAGTCAGGACGAAAATGCTCCTTTCTAAAACAACGTATGGACAGAACCACTGTACTTATTATCATCGTATGAAAACGCTATTCATGTATTATTTTATTTTGAAATGTGATTTATTTTGGAAGGATCCTGTCCAATCGATGGTTTGCCCCGCCCCTTTTGTGATTCCCCTGCGTCTCCCTGCTTTTTCCCACTTGCAGTTCGTCCATTGTCTATTCCATGTTTTAGTTCTCTGTTATCGTTCTCCTCTCTTTTTCTTCTCCCTCTCTCAAGTCTCTTTCTGGTCTCTCCCTAGTATCTGCCCTGCCTTTGCTGGTTTCTCTCTCTAGTCTTTCTATCGCTCTCTCTCTCTCTTTCTCTCTCTCTTTCTCTGGTCTCTCTCTCTCTCCCAGGTCTTCTTCTCCCTCTTTCTGGTCAGGTCTCTGGTTGTTTTAGTTCTTGTGTTGTGTTTTATTGTTACCCTGGATTCAGTTCATTTTTCAGTCCCTCCATCTATCCATCCATTTTCTACCCTTTAATCCATTTCTGGGTCAGGGGGGTGGCAGTCAGAGATGCCACCCAAGTCTCATAGCACCAGCCCCTCACTGACCCTCTGCAGGTGGTGAGTCCACAGGAGGACGGCTGCTCTCTGAGTGTGAGCATAGCCTTTTTCAGTCCCTCATTCTTAAAAAAGAAAAAGTAATTTTTTTTCTTTTCTTTGAAACCTGCCCCCAATTTATGTTCTTTTTATTTTTGTTACAGCTCCCCCTGGAGTGCAGGAAGTGAATCAGACCCAAGGAAGTGCTGGGAAATAGAACCGTAGACAAGGAAGATTTTATGTGTGGTTCAGCATGGAAAAAAAAAATCTTTCAAATCCATAAATATATAGTAGTCCTACCTGTTCACCGCATCCAATTTGTGTTATGTAAGTTCTGATCTGTGAACAATCCAGATGTGAGCAAAGGGAAAATCAAAGCATTGTCTCTAGCAGCACATGGATTAAACAGGTCTCACCGATTCGGCGTCCAGAGACTCAGTAGCCACCAACGTGTTTCCCTCCAGCCTGAACGGATGCTCTGGGGTTAAGTATTCGAGGGTCACGCCGTCTGGATTGGTGATCACGACAACCACTGCCCCCACTTCGTTGTTTTCATCAATTGACACATTATCCGGAGCTGAACACGCTACAAGCAAAACAGGGAACAGCCTCTGAGTTTGGTCTTATTGATTCACAATATGGACGAGACTTCAATTCACTTCAATTCAAGTTTGTGTAAAGCTCTAAATGTGTACAGCAGCAGGACTTGGAGGAAGTTGTCGCTTCGTCAGTGATAGTTCAGAGAATCAAACAGGAAACGCCATAATAACAAATACATAGCAGCTATTGGTCCATAGGTGTGTGGTTTGGAGTGGGTCTGTTGGGTGGTCGGGGGGAGGGGTCATGGGCCGGCTGGATTGTTTTTATCCAAACTGTAAAGCACTTTGTGTTGCATCTGTATGAAAAGCGCTTTATAAATAACATTTGATTGATTGATAGGGAGCGGGGCGACCGCAGTCCATAAATGTTGCGGAACATCCTTAAAGCTGCATTACCTCACTTTATTTTTGTATTCATTAGTTAGACTCAATCCATGTCCACGCAGTGCATTGGGATATATGTCCTTTTGAAGAATAAGTCAAGCGCAGGTTTGTGCTGGCGTGTCATTTTATTTTAGACCAAGTTTTTGTGCAACAAAGAAGAAAATTTGTTTCGGGACCAGATTGTGACCAATCACAGCGGACCACTGGCCCCACTTTCTGGTTCCTTGGCGCTTCCCGGTTCTATCATTCTATCTATGGTCACGCCATCCATGTGCAAATGTGCGATCCATATTGTGAGACGTGAGCTCCTTAAACAGTTAGCACATGAGCACAGGCTGAGAGGGAGGGGGGTAGTGGGGGGCGATAGCTTCGTGAGTGAGGGGAGGGGGAGCAGAAAGAGCGAGGCCAGCGCTCACATTCAAAAAATGTCCAAAGTGAGTTAGTGCAGCTTTAAACCCCAAAAGTAGTAACGTCATGATGTATTTTCAATGGATTTAGGAGAGGACCGATAGAACAAAACAAATGTGGTGCGTTCACCCCTCCTCCAACCAATGAGCTATACAACCCCTCCTGCTATTCGTCAGTGCATGCACCTATCTATCCTATTTGTTGTTCTTGTGTTTGTTAGATTAGTGCTACGGCTAATCTGACAAAAATCCTTCACTGCCCCTTTAATAAATGTAAAAAAAAAGAAAAGAAAAACACCTCAAATGTCCCAGATCGTCACTATGATTTCCCAGTGAGAAAAATGTGAGAAAAAATTTGCTCCTACGGACGGAGAGGTTGAAGATCCAGAACTCAGACTGTAGAACGAGGACCTAACAATATGACCTTACTTCACTGTTAGCTTGTTTGCAGGCCATTTTTAGTTACTTTGGTCTCTGCCTTAGCTCCGTTATCATCATCTGCAATCGATCAAACACTGGGACCATAAACTGTATTCATAAGGACAATGCGAACATGCTAGCTCAGGGGTGTCCAAACTTTTTAGTGAGAGGGCCACTTTAGTTCATCAGACTAGTTCAGGGGCCGACATCTCAGACTGAAAAACTGTCTTGACTGAGCTCTAAAATGATCTATAACAGAGCTGAAGTTGCCTGAATGATACATGTTTACCATCTCACCCGCCACATTAGCATCTTTAACGGAAGTTTGTGACACAATAAAAAACCACGTCAGCACCGTATGTACAAATAACGACTGAATTTGGGAATGGGCTTTGGAAGGAAGTCTATATTGGCTGAGCTGAAGTTGGCTAGATGACACAGAGAACTTGTGTTTATGATCTCATTGACAACTTTGGATTTGCGAGGCAGAGGGCCACATAGCATGACACTGAGGGCTGCATTTGGCCCCCGGGCCTGAGTTTTGACATGCCTGTGCTATCTCAATGACACTCGATTGGAAAGGGCTCATGGACAAAGTTTCGCTCCAACTCGCTCTGGCTCTTATGGAAAAATGTCAAAGTAAACTCCTAAAACGCAGTATCGGCTTGTGTCACATTCACCATTTTGGGATTAATCTTTGGTTTAATTCTCTATATATGGTGTTTAAACTTAAATGCATTGTTATATAGCATTGTCCATCTATACAGTCTATGTATGGAACTTTGATACACTTACATTGCCCGGTCCCGGTCTGAAGCAGAGCCAATAAAAGTAAAAGTCCAAATTCTGCTTTCATCCGATGGTGGTGGTCCCTGCTGGTCCCCATGGTGCCGTGGTCCTGGTGCCGTGGTCCTGGTGCTGTGGTCCTGGTACAGCCTGTATCTGTCTGCTCTTCCTTATGGCTGTTGGTTTATGGGGGTTTGGACTTTTCCCTGCCATAAAGCACTGTGCTTACATGTTGTTGGCTGGAAAGCAACACAAACTCCCATTAGATCCTCATTTGTTTGAACCGAGCAGAGAAAGAGGAAATAACCTGTTCAGTTTAAACTCCAACATAGATATCATTTTTATGGATGTAGTTTTGGGAACATTTATCTGAGACCTGAGGTTGGCAGTAGTTTCCGAGTTGATTGTACTTTGCGCATGACAACCATTGTATACATAATGTTTCTATCACCATGTTTTAATACAACATTGTACAGATTGACTATTTTGTTAAGACCTGTTTTTTGTGTGGTCACATGACGTTCCTTTGACGTGTCTTGTCAGCTGTCTTGATTTTAATGCTATCTTGTTTTCTTATTTGTATAGCACAATTTTCTCCTGAATTGTGCTATACAAATAAACTTGCCGTGCCTGTTTTAGGGACGACAGCTCCATCTGTAATCTGATTTCTTCAGGATAGAATATGGGTTTTATATAGCGCTTTTTTGGACACTCAAAGACGCTTCACAAAAACTCATAAACGCCTAATCATGATAAACTACTACTATAGCCACAGCTGCCCTGGGGCACACTGACAGAAGTGAGGAACTCCGTCTGTGCCATCAGCTCCACCCAATACCACCACCAATCATTCTCACACACACACCCCCCCCCACTGCACTCATTCTAATGTGAATGAAGTGTCTTGCCTAAGGACAATACAACAATTGTCAATCTACAACTCCCCTCACTGTCGCCCCTGTTGTTCCCAGAGGTCTCCCATCATTGTACTAACCAGGCCCAATACTGCTTAGCTTTGGAGGTCTAATGCAATATAGCTTTTACATGCAAGTGGCCCCAAAGGTCAGGGAGAGTAAAAAAGTCGTCTCATCCCAGTTTATAGCAGTTATTCTGTATTACTCTTTCCTCTTGGATCCAGCGTCAGTGTTTGTTGTCCTCGACCTCTACGACATTTGCTTCGTCCCCCGTCTTCTTGTTCGGAGATGGCTCTGTCTTTAATGTGGATCTCTCTTTTCCCATTTCAGTTTCTCTTTTTCAGTTTGTTTTGGTTTAGCGGTCTCTATGATTCGGGTGATTTCATTTTAATATTGTCTTTTTGGAAGTTGTGTAACATGTTGTGTATTGTTGGTATATGAGTAACTGCATATTGTGTCATCTATAATTTTGATCATGTCTAACATAATTTAGAATATGGAAGTTTCATTTTGGACGTTTTGTCACATTGTAATAGGGGTTAGGCAGTATACGTTTTTTTGACTTCAGCTTAAACCCCTCTCGGTCAGGCATTGTTTAGCACAAGGTCCTTTATGGACACATTTTGGTTCTTTTTTTTTCTTGTTGTAAAATGTGATGTCTGTAACCGTGTGACCTGAGATCAGGTGTACATATTGGCCGAAGAAAATAAACTACTACTACTATTTCCTTTCTTTCCTTCTCTGTGCGGTGTACGGTTTTTGTAACAGTCTTAATTAATCAGGAGGGGGACACTCAATTCTAAGGGAGTACTAAAAATATTTCTCAAAAGAGTCTTGATTTTGGGCATTTTTGGAAAGAAAAACAGAATAAATGTATGTGTTTCATTGGGGTGGCCTGCAGGGGGCGCTTATCTGGGAAAGCCTTGATCCACCTCGCCCGCCTCATTCCAGTGATTTTTTCAAAGTGTCCTCCTTTATATGAGACCACGGAAGAAACTCTTGTCTTTCTCTCTATTTGTGCGGTTGCTACAAGCGTACACCGTACAAAGAGATGCCATTTTGACAGCACTTCTTCTTCTACTATATCTCTGTGTATAAACCCGGCAGACTGCACCGCCAGAGTGCGTCACGTCCGGTCCCACGTTTGTTATTCGCGCCACTGCCCTGACGTCATATGAAACCCAAGAATAAACGTAGCATCTTGTGAACGTGACCTAAAGTGTAAATAACAGAGTTTTTGACATATACAATATAATTACCCAAACAATAGAAAGACGACAAAGGCAGCGTGGATTCATGAAAAAGTCTTTATTCTTAAAGTAAACCGTGCCGTGCTTCGGGCAGAGGTCAGAGGTCAGAGGACCAGGGCAGGACGGAGGGACACATGTTCTGTTGCAGCAGCAGGTTGACGCGCTCCGTGTCGGCTGAGACTCCACTGAGGACAAACAATGGACAATCATGACTTTTCAATAAACCTCTGTATATGCAGCCTGCCATCGAGCAAGTCTGCTGCATAGCCTGTATATAGATGGACAATGCTAACCTGCTAGCTCAATGTAGCCCAATAGGGAAGTGCTTATGGACAAAGTTTTACCTCGTTTTGCCCTGGCTTCTATTGCCTTACATTTAAAAGTAAATTCCTCAAGCTACAGTAAGCAACCGTTTGTGTCACACTCATGATTTTTGGGATTTTAAATCTGTGGTTTAGTGCACTCTATGATCCTGATGTTTATATATTCATATTCTCTTTGTACATCCATATATGAGCCGTATGAGATGCATTCATTCACGGGGAAAACTCCAGCTTTCCCTATCAACTGTCTTAGCAACACGTCTGCTTCTGTTACGAAGCGAAGCTAACAAAGTCGGAAGAAATGCCCATATAAGGAAATTGGCTCTAGCTAGTTTATGCTCATCTCAGCTTCTTCCGCATTAAGGCGAACACTATGGTGACGTCACACTCAGTCTATGGAGCAATTTAGTGAATTGAAAAAACAAAATAATAAATAACTATTTAAGAACTAAATATCTTAATCCAATATGCCGATCATATACGTTTAAATATTTAGAAATTATTTGATTCTTTTTTGGGGTTGTTTTTGACAGGAAACAGCACAATAGAAAGTCATGTATTGGCGGCACGGTGGCTGAGTGGATAGCACTCTCGCCTCTCAGCAAGAAGGTCCTGGGTTCGAATCTCGGTTGGACCAGGGCCTTTCTGAGTGGAGTTTGCATGTTCTCCCCGTGTCTGCGTAGGTTTCCTCCAGGTGCTCCGGTTTCCCCTACCACTAAAAAATATGTACAATAGGTCTGACATGTGCCTCCTGTACTGGCGACCCCACTCCCAAAAATAACAATTGTAAACCGCTTTGAGACTCCGATGTGCAGTGAAAAGGCGGTATATAAATAAAGTTTACTTACTATGTATACGTTTAAAATATTCTCTTGTAATTATATATTTTTTACGCGATTAAAAACCTGGACAGTAAATACACGGTGCTGGAGGGTCACCTCTTTTTGACGCCCTGCATGCGTCTGAGGAAAGCACACATGGACGTCTGTTTGGCCTTGGACCTCAGAAACTCAGAGTATCTGTTTGAAAACTCGATGTCCCCGAGCTGTCTCCTCCGGTCCAGACCAGAGACCGACCAGGACCTGCACCAAGAGGGGGGAAAAGACCTCATTACTGCTGGTTTGTCCTTTAGCAATACACTTAAAATAGTAATAATAATAATAATTCACTTTTTTTCATTGCGACTTTTAAGACACCCAAGGACGCATTACAATACACTATAAGCGTCTCACACACAATATTAAAAGTACAGAATAAAATACATTTTAAAATGACAACGAATAAGCCAGTTTAAAAAGGTAGGTTTTGAAATGTGCTTTGAAAATGAGAGTCCAAAATGTCGCAGATGAATTGTCACTTTTAATGACTTCTAATATTCTTGCACTTGAGCAGGGATGGGCAATGATTTTCCTCGAGGGGACACATTTGGAAATCGCCCTTTTGTGGACGACCAAACCCAATTTCACAAGGTTAAAGCAAAACAATTATTTATTTATTTAACTAACATAAAGCTTTCCAGTGGTTTCTTTGTGTTTGTGGATATTTTTTTAGAGCAAATTTATACCAATAATCATGAATGAGAACAGAATGAATGTGTAACAATAATAAGTTACCAGCCTTCATTAAGTATTGATTCCTGAACGGCTGGGAAGGGTCCGGGGGCCGCATAGAAATGTGAATCGGGCCGAATATAGCCCCCGGGCCACACTTTGCCCAGGTCTGCACTTGAGTGTATCTACAGATGTATCTACAGAAGTATACATACAGGTATATATTAATTACATTAGAGTACACACTGTTTTATACTTGGCTTCTTTTCTAAGCTAGACATATAGATTTTATTTTACCTAATTTTGTAGCTAACGGTAAATAGGAGAATTTTCCCAAATTTTAGGAAAGAACCGCCCTCTCCACTTGAAACAAAACTCTCTGGTCTTAATTGACGAGCACGTATCACCAGAATGTTTGACAACTGGGAGGACCGATAGTCTTGATGATCCACCCGGAAGAAGAAAATCCTCCAATATACCGTTAATTATATAGTTGTAAAGAATAGAGTTGAAAAATACTATATATTCACTTATCTTGCGTTGTGTGCTGCTGATTCCTACGCGGTAACTTGTGATGCAACACTGAAATTTCCCCACTGTGGGACCAATAAACAATCTCTTCATCTCAATCCTCTCCGTACCTGAGCACTTCATCCAAGTCCTGCTCCAGGGTCCGTGGGCGTCGGAGCGCGGCCGGAGAACTCCCCTGTTCGTCGTGGATCCTGCAAGAGAATGAGCGAGGTCACAAAGGAGCCCGTCGATTTCAGATTCAGATTGAGTTTATTTGCTGTTTGCAGTAAAACCACATTAGAATAGGTTTGCAAGAAGTCCCCAGTGTGAACCAGACAGGTACAAACAAGGAAAACAAGGTTAAACGTACACAACAATTGTCACTGTTTGAATACATGTGCTCTGTTTAAACTGATAACAGCTTGTGTCTCTCTGGACCCTCTCTGGACCCTCTCTGGTCTCTCTATGGTCTCTCTCTGGTCTCTCTCTGGTCTCCCTCTGGTCTCTCTCTGGCTCCTCTCTGGTCTCTCTCTGGCTCCTCTCTGGTCTCTCTCTGGTCTCTCTCTGGTCTCTCTCTGGTCTCTCTCTGGTCTCTCTCTGGCTCCTCTCTGGTCTCTCTCTGGTCTCTCTCTGGTCTCTCTCTGGCTCCTCTCTGGTCTCTCTCTGGCTCCTCTCTGGTCTCTCTCTGGTCTCTCTCTGGTCTCTCTCTGGTCTCTCTCTGGTCTCTCTCTGGCTCCTCTCTGGTCTCTCTCTGGTCTCTCTCTGGTCTCTCTCTGGCTCCTCTCTGGTCTCTCTCTGGCTCCTCTCTGGTCTCTCTCTGGTCTCTCTCTGGTCTCTCTCTGGTCTCTCTCTGGTCTCTCTCTGGTCTCTCTCTGGTCCCTCTCTGGTCCCTCTCTGGTCCCTCTCTGGTCCCTCTCTGGTCCCTCTCTGGTCCCTCTCTGGTCCCTCTCTGGTCCCTCTCTGGTCCCTCTCTGGTCCCTCTCTGGTCCCTCTCTGGTCCCTCGCTGGTCTCTCTCTGGTCCCTCTCTGGTCCCTCTCTGGTCCCTCTCTGGTCCCTCTCTGGTCCCTCTCTGGTCCCTCTCTGGTCCCTCTCTGGCCCCTCTCTGGCCCCTCTCCCCTCTCCGGTCTCTCTCCGGTCTCTCTGGTCTCTCTCTCTGGTCTCTCTCTGATCTCTCTCTGGTCTCTCTCTGGCCCCTCTCTGGCCTCTCTGGTCTCTCTCTGGTCTCTCTGGTCTCTCTCTGGTCTCTCTCTCCTTTCTTTGCCTGTGATGTCACCAAACCACACAGTCACAAAACCAACAAGCAAACTTTCAAAGATGCAGCGATAAAAGCAGAATTTTAGAGTTTGTGGTAAAAAATTTTAAGTTTCCACAGGAAGTAGAGACGCTAACGAGCCGGTTGGTGTTTTTTGTCCCATTTTAGTTGAACCTGAATCTATGGTGATCTATTGTTTTTATGCAGCGCTTCTCTGGTCTCTCAAAGGTACTTCACATGTCATCGCGGTGTTGTGTGTTTAAAGACGGTATTTTTACTCGAGTGGAAGAGCGGCGGCGGAGGAGACCAGGCCGAGCAGCACGAACACACACGGGACTGTGAGAGGCACCATCATCATCATCATCGTCACTCGAATGTTTCAGCCTCAATCTGTGGATTCAAGTCACAACACAACGCTTGAAATGAAGAGAAACCTACAGCGTCAGCAGAAAAACAAGAGAAATCATGCCCTGTTTCCACCAGCCCTACTTTTCCCTACTCTAGTCTACTCCATAGTCTAGTCTAGTCTAGTCTACTCTACCCTGATTGGAAAGGTTGGGTGGGTTGCTAGGATACGGTACCAGATACTAAAGCGTAATGGAAAAAGGTAGAGTAAAACAAAGTGGAGTAGAATAAAACCAACTCGAGCGGAACCAAGTAAAGTTAATATGAGTAGAAGCGAGGAGAGTAAAACCAAGTAGAGTAGGGCATAGTAGAGTAGAACCAAGTAAGAGTTGAATAGGAAAGAGTAGATCGAAGTAGAGTAGATTAGAGTAGGGCATAGTGAAGTGGAGTAGAACCAAGTAGAGTAGAGTAGGGCACAGTAGAGTAGAACCAAGTAGAGTAGAGTAGAGTAGGAGAGAGTAGAGTAGAACCAAGAAGAGTAGAGTAGGAAAGAGTAGATCAAAGAAGAGTAGAATAGATTAGAGTAGAGCATATTGAAGTGGAGGAGAACGAAGTAGAGTAGAGTAGAGTAGAACCAAGTAGCATAGAGTAGAGTAGAGTAGAACCAAGTAGCATAGAGTAGAACCAAGTAAAGTAGGGCATAGTTGAGTAGAACCAAGTAGAGTAGGGCATAGTAGAGTAGAACCAAGTAGAGTAAAGTAGAGTAGAGTAGAACCAATTAGAGTAGGGCATAGTAGAGTAGAACCAAGTAAAGTAGAGTAGAGTAGAACCAAGTAGAGTAAAGTAGAGTAGAGTAGAACCAATTAGAGTAGGGCATAGTAGAGTAGAACCAAGTAGAGTAAAGTAGAGTAGGGCATAGTAGAGTAGAACCAAGTAGCATAGAGTAGAACCAAGTAGAGTGGGGCATAGTAGAGTAGAACCAAGAAGAATAGAGTAGAGTAGGAAAGAGTAGATCGAAGTAGAGTAGAGTAGAACCAAGTAGAGTAGAGTAGAACCAAGTAGAGTAGGGCATAGTAGAGTGGAACCAAGTAAGGTAGAGTCGAGTAGAGTAGGGCAGAGTAGAATAGAACCAAATAGAGTTGGAAATGAATAGAGCAGGGCTGGTGGAAACAGGGCCCTTGACTAGCTCATCTTTTGGCCCATAGAAAAAATAAATAACAAAATAAAGATAAATTACAGTTTTAAATCTCAGCTCTGACCTTGATCTCGTCCGCTCTGGTCTCGGTGACTCTGAGATCTGCGTCTCTCTCTTTTGTAGCCGCTCTGTTATCGACCCGCTTCACCGTCGCTCCGGGGTTCGATTACTTTCCGTATTTACAGAATCACGGAGGAAGTTTGCGCACTGATATTCCACACTTGAGTTCGTGCTTGGCTCAAATACAACTTCCCTAATGAGAGATTATTGCCTCACGCTACTGTTTGAATAAATACAGAATACATTGATTTATGAACGCGCTTCTGTTTGACTAAATATTACCGCAAATGTCAGAGATATCGCCTTCGTTATGTTTGCTGTAAAAATTAATACGACATTTCCCATTGATAAGAAACTCAGGGATATTCTGCCTCTGTCGTTAGTTACACACTTTACCAAACAGGGGTGAAAAGGGGTTGGGTGAAGCAGACGTTCCATCCATATTCCACAGACAGAATACAGTTATGATAATGTGCAGTACAGACAGAAGTGGTCTCCCATAACAAGTTGATGTCAAAAAATGATTTGACTGACGTGTTCAGAATTTGATACAGAAATAAGGCCAAGAATGCAGGAGTTAAAAATAGAACATTTAATTCTCTTTACAATTAAATATTGATACAAAAACTCTCGGAGCCCTAAATTCTCTAAAACTAACCCTATGCTGAGCCATTCTAACTGTCCCTCCAGGCCTGAAAAATGTGCAGGGGACATCCAGGCGCTCTGCGATGTTCCCTGTCTAACTATCCCTGCTCAGACTGCCTGAAAATCTCCTCCGAGCAGTTTCTATCAGAAAGTCTGATGACGTCACAGGTCCCAGACTGGTCCAGTCTGATCCAGCTTTTTCTGGTTTTGGGAGGCGCGTACTCCAGCTAGCCCATTGGACTCCGGACTCTGTCTGGTCTGGTCTTGGTCTGGTCTGACATCAATCTCCTTCTCCAAACAACTCTTATCTGGCTGGGGGAGCTCTGCATTCCTCACATGGTCTGGCTGACTCGACTAGACCCCACTTAATATGAAATCACTGAAAATATAAACAACGTGTGCAGCATTTCTTGAGATGATGCATTATTCCCTCTTTTGACCTATATTAAACCAATTTAGGTCACAATCTTTCAATATCCCTTCTGGGTGACGGGACTGGGGAACTCTTCCATCATCGCCTTGGTTCTGGCTCGTTATCTGTGAAGAGTTAATACAGAGAAGACAAACAACACACAACAAACCACATTCGAAGCATTCCTTCACTAAACTCTTTGATGACTACTGCTATGTCCTTCTGAGTCTTTCTTCAACCTCGTCTGTAATGTATGCACTGAATCTATTCACTATAGTTTAAACTATTCTAATCTATTTACAAATATGTTTGCATATTTTGCTTTTATTGAGCCCTATTCTTAAACATATGTTTTTTATCTAATAAATCTGTCTATACTGTGGTTTGCTGTCATTATCAGTGGCTTTGTGCCATTTTGTGGGGCTTTGCTCATTTTTCCAAACACATTTTGTTGAACCAGGAAGTGCTGTCACTTCCTCCTCTCAAGACAGTTTGGGATAAATGTACATCGTTAATCAAATTGGTATTATCCGTACAGGAGCTAATCTATTTTAGCAGGTTTCTCTGGGGTCAGTCCCTATACAACGGTATTTGATTCTCTAATCTGTTGCTGACAAATCAACAGTTTTTTTAAATTCTCAAAAATACCTAAATATCTACTTTTGTGCTTTACCCAAATACATTAAAATGCTTTCAAATGTTTTTGAATCTGTGTTGGTTCTAATCGATCTCATTAATCTATCTCATTAGCTTTTTGCATTGTCAACATTCACCCATGTTTGAAACAAGTGAATTTGACAGTATCTAATAAAACTGTGCATAAACTGTAATGAACTTTATCTACCTTTGAAGTAAATACTTTTAGACATAATATGAAGGAAATGGTCCTTTTACCGTTTGATATTAGCCTTGGCTAAAAATAATCTCTATTTTTGAAAGCATCTATGGTTGATGCATTTATCTATTCCTATTTTTACTCTATTGTGACTCTAAAGCTCGGTTGCAGCTTGAGCAAAGGCATATTCCCAATTTTTGAGTTCTGATTGTAACAATTGCATTGGCAATAGACGATTTTTTATTGGCCGGTTCTTGTTCTGCAAATCATTATTCTATGTATTGTATTTCAGACAATTCCAAAAACAACACAGTCGTTCTCCAATATTAAAGACATACATCTAAATCAAGTTGCCTGAAAGGGATTTTAACTATTTTAAAACGTTCTCTACGATTATAAGGCTATGAAATTAATTATTTAATAAACAAAAGCACATTCATGGCTTCTGTCCACTGCTTATAACTGTTTAAAGAGTTGTCCCAAACTTAATGTGTGTAAATACATCAGCTGTTTGTAATAAACAATAACATTTAACCTGTTCTCCAATGGAGCAGCTCAGAGGCTGCGTCAAGAGCAATGTTATATTTGAGCTATTTTTAGATTTAAAATTGTGTTAAAGCCTGTCGTTCTATGTCTGCATTTTAATACTACTCTCTATAAACACCTCTGCACCAGTTCCTACAGATGTGGAAAACAGAAACATCTAAAATCTGACTCCATTTGATTCCTTTTTACTTTAGTTATTAGAACAATTTGACCTTATTGATACTTATTTCCACAATAGAACTATTTTGATTATTCACTAGTCTAACTATTATTACTATTGTTTATTCTGACACTTCAACCTATAGCTCCTCGAATCCAATGACATTATAGCTCCAGACTATTTCATTCTATTCTATTATTATCTTATTATTATATGATCTATTATCTTAAAGAGTAGATCCGTTTGATGTTATAAGCGCTATTATTTCTCCTTTTGAATTTGCACAACACTAAATTTAGAATGACCCCCTATACTCCGAAAATTACTTAATAATTTTCCCATTTTGCTTTTTTAGGCTGCCCTTTCTATTATTTATTTGTTCTTGTAAATATATGTTTTACACTTCTTTCTAATGATTTAGAAGGTTAAGGACCATGACCACCTATGACAATACAATACTCCCCTCTGTTGGTCGTGGTCCAAAGTATAAAACATGCATCTGTATGTGTGTGTAGATTACTGTTCCAATCCTGTTGCTCCTCCCGGATCGTCCTCAATTCATATTGTGGGCTTTGGTGCCAAAGTAGAGGCTCATTTCCTTAATTCATACTACTGTCATCCCTGAAGCAGGTGCAGTTTATCTTTCATCTGAAAAACAAACATTAGAACACAAGAAACACCCACTTTCCTCTCTTCGCATGGTGCGGCCTGTCAATCAATCCAATTGGGCAAAACATTACTGCATTGACAGACGGTGTGTGGCATCAGGGCAGAGGCTGTAGCCAAATACAGACTTAACAATATGTATGTTTCTAATTTTATACTCCCCTAAATGTGAATTACAAACCAAAGTTGTCCTCCGCCCAATGACCGCTCACTGCGGTTGGACCGAATCACTGTCCGGGCAAACAGCAGAGGGGGGGCTCCCAGTACCTTCAGCAAGGTATTTCATCTCAGAGTACTTTCCGCAGAGTACTTTTCTCAGAGTACTCATCCCAGAGTACTCTCACTTTTACACCTGTTCAATAAAGCTTGTCATCTTTGAATCTCTAGTACTTACACCGTATGCTGTTGACAAAAAATAATTATTCCATGATCACATTAAAACATTACAGAAAACTTTTGTTATTCCATGATTCCGTTCAGCACTCCTCGTTCACTCCACA